GAACTGTGGGCGAACTATGGGCCAAGTATGGCAAAGTATTGGAGCCGAGGAAAACACTATTTTCCAATTTTTTGAACTATGGGCGAAGTGTGGGCCAAATATGGCGGAGTATGGGCAGCGAGAAATACACTTTTTTCAAAATTTTTGAACTATGGGCGAAGTGTGGGCCAAGTATGGCGGAGTATCGGAGGCGAGAATATCACTTTTCGCAAACTTTTCTGAACTATGGGCAAACTATGGGCCAAGTATGGCAAACTATGGGAGGGGAGGAAAACACATTTTTCTAAATTTTTGAACTATGGGCCAAGTATGGCGGAGTATTGGAGGGGAGAAAAACACTTTTCTCAAAATTCTTGAACTATGGGCGAACTATGGGCCAAGTATGGCGGAGTATGGGAGGCGAGAAAAACACTTTTTTCAAACTTTTTGAACTATGGGCGAACTATGGGTCAAGTATGGCGGAGTATGGGAGGCGAGAAAAACACTTTTTTAAAAAAAAATGTTTGAAATATGGGCGAACTATGGGCCAAGTATAGCAAACTATGGGAAGCGGGAAAAACACTTTTTTCAAAATTTTTGAAGTATGGGCGAACTATGGGCCAAGTATGGCAAAGTATGGGAGGGGAGGAAAACACTTTTTTCCAAATTTCTGAACTGTGGGCGAAATATGGGCCAAGTATGGCGGAGTATCGGAGGCGAGAATATCACTTTTCTCAAACTTTTCTGAACTATGGGCAAACTATGAGCCAAGTATGGCAAACTATAGGAGGGGAGGAAAACACTTTTTTCTAAATTTTTGAACTATGGGCCAAGTATGGCGGAGTATTGGAGGGGAGAAAAACACTTTTCTCAAAATTCTTTAACTATGGGCGAACTATGGGCCAAGTATGGCGGAGTATGGGAGGCGGGAAAAACACTTTTTTCAAACTTTTTGAACTATGGGCGAACTATGGGCCAAGTATGGCGGAGTATGGGAGGCGAGAAAAACACTTTTTTCAAACTTTTTGAACTATGGGCGAACTATGGGCCAAGTATGGCAAACTATGGGAGGCGAGAAAGCTCGTTTTTCAAAATTTTTGGACTATGGGCGAACTATGGGCCAAGTATGGCAAAGTATGGGAGGGGAGGAAAACACTTTTTTCAATTTCTGAACTGTGGGCGAACTATGTGCCAAATATGGCGGAGTATGGGCAGCGAGAAATAAACTTTTTTCAAAATTTTTGAACCATGGGCGAACTATGGGTCAAGTATGGCAGAGTATGGGAGGAGAGAAAAACACTTTTTTCAAACTTTTTGAACTATGGGCTAACTATGGACCAAGTATGGCAAAGGATGGGAGGGGAGGAAAACACTTTTTTCTAAATTTTTGAACTATGGGCAAATTATGGGCCAAGTATGGCAAAGTATGGGAGGGCAGGAAAACACTTTTTTCCAAATTTCTGAACTATGTGGCGAAGTGTGGGCCAAGTATGGTGGAGTATGAGAGGCGAGGAAAATACTTTTTTCTAAATTTTTGAACTATGGGCTAACTATGGACCAAGTATGGCAAAGGATGGGATGGGAGGAAAACACTTTTTGCTAAATTTTTGAACTATGGGCGAACTATGGACCAAGCATGGCGGAGTATTGGAGGCGAGAAAATGGCTTTTCTCAAACTTTTGTGAACTATGGGCAAACTATGGGCCAAGTATGGCAAAGTATGGGAGGGGAGGAAAACACTTTTGTCTAAATTTTTGAACTATGGGCGAACTATGGGCCAAGTATGGTAAAGTATGGGAGGGGAGGAAAACACTTTTTTCCATTTTTTTGAACTATGGGCGAACTATGGGCCAGGTATGGCGGAGTATGGGAGGCGAGAAAAACACGTTTTTCAAAATTTTTGGACTATAGGCGAACTATGGGCCAAGTATGGCGGAGTACGGGAAGCGAGAAATACACTTTTTTCCAATTTTTTGAAGTATTGGCGAACTATGGGCCAAGTATGGCAAACTATGGGAGGCGAGAAAAACACTTATTTCAAACTTTTTGAACTATGGGCGAAGTGTGGCCCAAATATGGCGGAGTATGGGCAGCGAGAAATAAACTTTTTTCAAAATTTTTGAACCATGGGCGAACTATGGGTCAAGTATGGCAGAGTATGGGAGGAGAGAAAAAGACTTTTTTCAAACTTTTTGAACTATGGGCGAACTATGGGCCAAGTATGGCAGAGTGTGGGAGGCGAGAAAGACACGTTTTTCAAAATTTTTGGGCTATGGGCGAACTATGTGCCAAGTATGGCGGAGTATGGGAAGCGAGAAATACACTTTTTTTAAAATTTTTGAAGTATGGGCGAACTATGGGCCAAGTATTGGCAAACTATGGGAGGCGAGAAAAACACTTATTTCAAAATTTTTGAACTATGGGCGAAGTGTGGGCCAAATATGGCGGAGTATGGGCAGCGAGAAATAAACTTTTTTCAAAATTTTTGAACCATGGGCGAACTATGGGTCAAGTATGGCAGAGTATGGGAGGCGAGAAAATCACTTTTCTCAAACTTTTGTAAACTATGGGCAATCTATGGGCCAAGTATGGCAAACTATGGGATGGGAGGAAAACACTTTTTTATAAATTTTTGAACTATGGGCTAACTATGGGCCAAGTATGGCGGAGTATTGGAGGCGAGAAAAACAATTTTCTCAAAATTTTTGAACTATGGGCGAACAATGGGTCAAGTATGGCGGAGTATGGGAGGCGAGAAAAACACGTTTTTCAAAATTTTTGGACTATAGGCGAACTATGGGCCAAGTATGGCGGAGTATGGGAAGCGAGAAATACACTTTTTTCCAATTTTTTGAAGTATGGGCGAACTATGGGCCAAGTATTGGCAAACTATGGGAGGCGAGAAAAACACTTATTTCAAACTTTTTGAACTATGGGCGAAGTGTGGGCCAAATATGGCGGAGTATGGGCAGCGAGAAATAAACTTTTTTCAAAATTTTTGAACCATGGGCGAACTATGGGTCAAGTAGGGCAGAGTATGGGAGGCGTGAAAATCACTTTTCTCAAGCTTTTGTAAACTATGGGCAATCTATGGGCAAAGTATGGCAAACTATGGGATGGGAGGATAACACTTTTTTCTAAATTTTTGAACTATGGGCGAACTATGGGCCAAGCATGGCGGAGTATTGGAGGCGAGAAAAACACTTTTCTCAAAATTTTTGAACTATGGGCGAACAATGGGCCAAGTATGGCGGTGTATGGGAGGCGAGAAAAACACGTTTTTCAAAATTTTTGGACTATAGGCGAACTATGGGCCAAGTATGGCAAAGTATGGGAGGGGAGGAAAACACTTTTTTCTTTTTTTTTGAACTATGGGCGAACTATGGGTCAAGTATGGCAGAGTATGGGAGGCGAGAAAATCACTTTTCTCAAACTTTTGTAAACTATGGGCAATCTGTAGGCCAAGTATGGCAAACTATGGGATGGGAGGAAAACACTTTTTTCTAAATTTTTGAACTATGGGCGAACTGTGGGCCAAGCATGGCGGAGTATTGGAGGCGAGAAAAACACTTTTCTCAAAATTTTTGAACTATGGGCGAACAATGGGCCAAGTATGGCAAAGTATGGGAGGGGAGGAAAACACTTTTGTCTAAATTTTTGAACTATGGGCGAACTATGGGCCAAGTATGGCGGAGTATTGGAGGCGAGAAAAACACGTTTTTCAAAATTTTTGGACTATAGGCGAACTATGGGCCAAGTATGGCAAAGTATGGGAGGGGAGGAAAACACTTTTTTCCAATTTTTTGAACTATGGGCGAACTATGGGCCAAGTATGGCGGAGTATGGGAGGCGAGAAAAACACGTTTTTCAAAATTTTTGGACTATGGGCGAACTATGGGCCAAGTATGGCGGAGTATGGGAGGCGAGAAAAATACTTTTCTCAAAATTTTTTAACTATGGGCGAACTATGGGCCAAGTATGGCGGAGTATAGGAGGCGAGAAAAACACTTTTCTCAAAATTTTTGAACTGTGGGCGAACTATGGGCCAAGTATGGCGGAGTATGGGAGGCGAGAAAAACACTTTTCTCAAAATTTTTGAACTATGGACCAAGTATGGCAAAGTATGGGAGGGGAGGAAAACACTTTTTTCAAAATTTTTGGACTATGGTCGAACTATGGGCCATGTATGGCAAAGTATTGGAGGCGAAAAAAACACTTTGTTCAAAATTTTTGAACTATCTGCGAACTTGTTTTTCCCCTTGATCTTATTGACCTTTAGGTCAAAAGTGATATAAAATTTGATAAAAAATTTAATGTTATGTTCGTCTCTAACTATAGGTAAAAAATTACCTTAAATTTCTAAATCTACTTACCTGGATAGATTTATAGAAAAGTGCTCTTTGAAATTTTCATGTGAATTCTTATTGGCAATTGTCGAAAGGTTATTGAAAAGAGAAATTTCAATATAATTATGTAAAAAACAAATACTTTTTACAAAAAAAGGAAAAAACTTCTAATGAAAATCGAAATTCTAACGGAATTTCTAATTAGCACGTTCCATTGAATCTTTCCACTTGTGATAATAATGATAATTATCAAAAAATTTCTTTTTATAGCTTACGTTCAGTGAAAGAAGAAAGGGGATGTAAGTTTCACGAGGGAGGAGTGGACAACCGTCATTAATAACCTCATACAAACGTTGCGCCACCCCAAAATTAAGAAAAATTCATTATATTTTTTTCAAATTAATTAAATTAAAGAAATTAAAATTTATTAAAATTAATTGTTATTATTAATTATTGTTACTATTCATTATAACTTCAATAAAAAATCAATATAATTATTAGAGGCACGAGACATTTTTTATTTAATCGTCATTATAAATTGAAACCAGATTAATTTTGTTAATCAAATTTTTATTAAAAATAATTAACATTTTTCTAACTTAAAAAAATATATTATCAATATATTAATATTTTCTTTAATGAAAGGAAATTTATTTGTAACATTATTTTTGTTTAGTATTTTCTTGTGTTTAATTTCGTTTATTGTTCTTTTTTTATTTATTTCTGAAATTAACTTCTTTAAATCTATTAATGTTTATTAAATTTTTTTCATATTTTATATATTAAGCCAAATTAATTTTCTATCCAACAATTTTCAATTAAACAAATATTTTTCTTCTTCAAAATCTTGTCTTGTTACCATTAACACCGAAATGCTTCGTATCAAATTCTTCGACCAAATTCTTTAAGTGAGTCAATTTTCCATGCAAATAATCGTGTCTCGTGTTACGTTGCTTGAAGACCGGATCGTTATTCATATTGTAATCTTTAAAAATTTTTATTTTTATCTGAAATGTAAAAAATTTTGTAATATACTTTTTGAGAATTAAAATTCAATTGGGAGAAACAAAATTCATAAATCTGTAATAATTTACAAAGAAATCTACAATTTTTCATTGTCTTTTAAATTAGTTTTGAAACGAAGGTAAATCTGTTAACTTTAAATAATTCCCGAAGTTTGAATTTTTTTCATCTTTTTTAAGAATCCAATACCGTTAAAAATCGAAAAAAATCAAGAAAATTTATATAAAATGTTTTTGTGCATCAAACACAAATTTTACGTTTTTTTCTGCTTGTAAGTTCTTATAAATTATAAGTAAGCTCTAAAAGATGAATTAGAAATTGAGTGATTTTACAAAAATTATTTCCATGAATTATCAAATTTTACTAATAAATATCCGACAAGGACTCTGGGGGAAATATAAATTGGCTCAAACAAAATATAAAAAATATTTTACTTTATCTATTTAGCAAAAAATATTTCAAACAATTACCTTGAGTTCTTGAAAATTCCCCTGAGCTTTCACTATATTATATTGCTGCTGCCACTTATAATATCGACTTTTACTGTTAACGTATTTTTATAATTGTTTATATTCCGGACAAAGATTGTTGAATTCCTCTTTATAATGTCTCCTCTGTTCGTAGTTGCTGTCTTTCGTATAATAACTAAAAATTCAAAACACAAAATTGTCGTTATAAATCTGATTTCCGTAAATCGACGAGTAAAAACCGAAGAAAAAATAAAATGAGAGGAAAAAGAAATCTTAAAATCGAAAAGAAAAAAGCCTGTTTTTAACAAAATTGTCTAAATCACAGTTTTACTGTAAAAGACAAATAATTAAAAATTAGTGATAAAAAATAATTATTTCAGTATGTAAACAAAGTTCCACATTTAATTGACGGGGAAAATACTGAAATCATAAGAGAATTATTGGTTTTATTTTCCAAATATAAAAACATCATTTGTGTTATTGTTTACATTTTTCTAACCTACATGTTGTTTGAAAGTGTTACTCACCTGCAATTGATTGCATAATCCTTTTATCAATCACTTTAACATTTAATTCCCGAACACATTTAATTATTTTAACACTCGGAATTATTTCTAAAACATTGAAGAATTTACAAAAGCCGCTATCGAAAAAACCAACCGATCAAAACAAACTTTTCTAGTGATGACCATTGATGACACCTGATCATTTGGCAGATCTGTCGGCAAAGAGTACGAAAATACAAGACTAACCGCAAATATTCATTTTCTAGCAGCAACTTCAAGTGGAAGGCATTTGTACGTTTTACTGTACATATATAAAGGAGGGATTGGTTTTGTTGTAAAATCCCTTCGTATCGCTTGTTAAACGCTACCTATTTCAAGACTCACATGACCTAATATTTTCTTAAACTACATGCACGACATATCTTATATCTTTTGATAAAACTCTTCTATAGATAATACTGTACACCTTGCGACAGATCCTCAATAACCATAATTATTCATATGATAAAGAAATCAGCACTCAATGAAAATTTATATGCATTTTTTTTTGTAACAAATATATTTAGTCAAAATTTTTTTCGTGGTTTCTTTTATTTGACCTGATATTTATTTAACCTTATTTTTATTCACCAAATATTTATTTAATATTAATAATTGAAAATTAAATTTTTATAAAAAAATTCTTTTTCTTTTTTTAATAATAATTAATTATTTTTCAGAAGTTTTTCCATTTGTGGAACATGAATGTCGAATGGGACCGGAAGTTTGTAAAGTGCAGGCCAAAGATTGTGCCGAATATACACGACTTCGAGAATGCTGTTGTCATGCTCATTTAGCTTCATATTGTAAGTAACCAAATATATTTTTATTCTTTTTATGTATATATACATATATGTATAGCATATATGAAACGAAAAAGAACAATTGTCTGATGCTTTTATTATGTACAATTCTTTGAAATATGCGAAAATTTGCATAAGTTTAATTGCACTTGAAATAAAAATAAAAATAGTTCTTTTAGAGAACATTTTTAATGATAATAAAAATTAAGAAAAAAAGGAAAATTATAAAAAGTTATTTAAAATTTAAATACATAATTAAAATAAATTGTCTGTTTTCAGGGAAATATTTGGCAGGAGATTCGTCTCGCATGAAAATTAGTTTTACAACGATCATGACCGTCCTCCTGATGGTTAAATTATTTTCATAATTTCATCAAGGATGTAGCTTTTTACACCAAAAAGAAATCTGTACAGCGTCATTTATTTTAATAAATTATTTTTTCATTGCTATATGAATTATTTTTCTATTTATATACGCGAGCAATTATAATATAATATTGGTAATTATTGATAGTTCTAAGATTTTTAATTGTATGTACTAGACATTTTTCAAAAGAAAAAGAATTTTTTTTAGAAAATACAGGATATTTTAAAATTATATTTTTAAATTGAAATTGTACTCTAGGTAAAATTTTTTTTTGGTAATTCGACAACGTATTTCTAAAATTTCAAACCCAGCAAATTATTAAAAATATTATAAAAGCTTTTCTCGTCTGAAATAAATTTATCGACTCTAAGCTACTAAAATTTTTACCTCTAATAGTATTAATTATCATTCTTAAATATTGACCAGTTTTAAAGTACCCTGCATTTAAAATTATTTAAAATTATTTTAAAAAATGTTATCGAATTTTGTTACGTTTACATATGTTAAAAATTACTGAAACTAAAAATAATTTTTCAAATTTTTTTTTAAAAGGCGATAAAAGTATTTTTTCTTATTAAATTAATTTTGTCTTTATTGTTAATTATAGGATTGTTATAAACTGAGGTGTAATTGTTTTTATGATAAAATGATAGAGCAGAACACTTGATTATCGACACAAATTTTCGCACTGTAATTTAAAGTTTTCTTGGTAATATGTACTTGAAAGTAATAGGATATAAATCGATTACGCAAATTATCCTATACACGCAAAGTATTGTCTACATTTTATCATTAGTTTACAAAGGTCATGTATCCTTTTAGAATATTTTGTAATTTCATGGGAATCATTAAAAGTTCAGGGATTAATTTGTGCTTTATTTTTTTTCAAATAAATTATTGGTTTTAAAAATATACCAATTTATTTGAATAAAAATAAAATTTTATTTGATTCAAATAAAGTTTATTTGTTTCAAATAAAAATTATTTGATTTAATTAAACTTTATTTGTTTTAAATAAACAATATTTTAACTTCATGTAAATATTTATTTGATAAGTAAACCGATTTTTTAAATCAAATAAATTTGTCCCTTTTTCAAAAAAAAATAGAAATTAATTTTAATTCACTTGAAGAAAAAAGAAACGTGACAATAAATTACAATTTACTTAACGATAATTTGAAAAGTATTAAGAAAACAAACAATTCTATTGTATTCTAGTTTTTAGGATCAGTAAACAAAATTTTACAGTCAGTTAAACTTTTTTCCTACCTCTTTTAAATTCAAGATGAAGAAGAAGAAGAGAGGAGGATTTTCAGTTATGAATAACGGAATCGCGAATGATCTACATAGAAATCTTAGGTCTATATTGTTCACAATTCTTTTAAGTTTCAAGTGTTAAACGTGGACCACAACAAAATTGCAAATTGAAGAAGAAAAGTCCTAGCAAAACAATTATAAAGCAAATTTTTTTATATATTTTAAAAAGCTTTTAAAAAATGTCAATTTTAAAAAAAGTGATTCTTTTGTCTTTTTCTATTAATTTTTGTTTCGCCGATAATCAACGTAAGTAAAATATTTATTCTGATAAAAAAAAATGTTGCAAAATTTAATTTATTGAAATTATTTCATTTAATTTATACATTAATTCTATCGTCAAAAATTGCATATATAGAATATTAATACAATTATTAATTTATTAATTATTAATGACAATTAAAAAAATTATTGACGTTGATAATCATATTTATTTAAAAAAACAAAAAACCTTAATTATTAAAATATAACATTTTTTATCAATTAAATAAAAAGGGAAAAAAATATTTTTCTACAATTGCGAAAATATTTACTAGATTAGACGTAAATTCATTTTAGTGCCCCTGAGCGTTGAGGATCATAATACGACAACCGCAATGCAGAGTGGCCGTCAATTAGGCGTCATATCTTTTCTTCAAAAACTTATACCGACTCAAGATCCAAAAACATATATATCACTTCCATTTCAGTAAGTATTTTTTAATTTAATAAAAATATAATATTTGATAAAAAATTTGGCTTTATAAAATTCGATCAACTTGAATTTTAAATAAGAATTCATGCGTCTCTTATATTTTAATTGCATACGAGAATCAAAAATTTATACAATTTTTAAGAAGAAGAAGAAGAAGAAGAAGAAGAAGAACAACAACCCAAGATATACTTTCAAAATATTTAAAATATAAATTTTTCAATGAAGAGAAAGAAATTTTGTGCTAAATTTTATGTAGAAATAAATTAGAACTATACAGTAATAAATATTGTTCTTTTTCAGTCAAAGATGTCCACTGTGTGACACTTCGGTTTATTCCTACTGCGGAGAGAGACTTTTACATGATGCCTGTTGTTGTACTACTAAATCTTCTAATTATCAATTACCCAATCAATGTTACCTAGCCGATTGCAGTTTTTTACACGCGAATACTTGTCGTGAACATCGATTAATTGCTAATTGTTGTTGCAGCGATGAATATCGTTCTGTTCTAAAAACTTTGAAACATTAATAATTATCAGATCATCATATATATAATAATTGACATCACTCAGAGGAAAATTATGTTTGAACCAAATTTATTTTCTCTACACTGAAAAAAAATTATTTGGTTCAAATAATCGCGGTTACTTGTCTATTATCTAATTAATATTTATTTTCAATAATACATTTTTTTCTGTATAAAAATGCATTTATTTGCGGTTAATTCAATCAAAATTTGGGGTTGTTTCAAATAAATTATTTTCTGAGTGTATTTTTCAGTTTATATAGTGTAATAATTTAGAATATAGTAAAATATATAAAAATTAACAATGTAAGTTAAAGTTTAAATTATTAAATAAATGATATTGTTATAAATAAAAATAGAATAATTGATGGTATAATTTTATTTGTATAGTAAAAATTATTATTGGCATAAGTGGAAAATCTATAAAAATAAAAAAGAAACAAATGAATTAATAAAAATTCTAAACTCGTACCTGCGCAGATATACTTTTCTTTCTTTAAAAATAATCTTCTCTTTTATTGTTAATAATATAAAAAATGAGAATTTCAGAAATCTTTTACTTTAAATGAATAGAAGCATATATATGCGATATTATATTATGATTATAAAACTGTTTTTTAAAATTTTTTATATAATAATGCGATTCTTTTAAGAAATTCTCTTATCTCACTTTCATTCCAAATGAATTAATGCATAAGTGCAATAAAGGTCCCTTCGAGTCAAGTGAAGGTTAAACACGTGCTTCTTTCTCGTATACCAAAAAAAAAAAAAAATTAATTGATATCCTTGCCCTCTATTTTAGAATATATTTTTTAATGCAATTTATTCTTAAATTCATTATAGTCTCAAAATAAAGTAGATAACTAAATTGTTTTAAACATTTATAATAATTTTTTATGGAAAAAATTGAAGAATATAATACCTAGGAATTTAGTTGTATAAAATTGAAGATATATTTCTAAGAAATATTAAACGATAACAATTATAATGAAACAAAAGTGGAAAGAACAAATCTAGAAATTGAGTCAGTACCTAAACATTCTATTAAAAAAAAATTCAAAATTCCTAATAATTATAATACCATATATTACTATCGCTAGCTATATGAGAAAAGATTCCTTTTCTTTTGTTCATATTTGAAAAACGATTACCTTTTTATATATATATATATGTGAAATTTGATTAGATGCATTTTAAAATAATTAAAGAATTTCTTTTTATAATCTTCTTACGTAATTTTAAAACAATTTTCCTAATCGTTTATTTCCTGTTTATAAGAAACTTTTCTAAAATATTGGGCTGACATAATATAACCATATGATTTTTTTTTGTTCCGAAAAAAATAATTTCAATTTCATGGAGAAAAAGCAATTTAGTAAGTGTATACCTATTTTCTAAATCTGTTTATTAACTGAAGATTTGAATGCTACTATATATAATGACAATTCAAACACATAATACAAACAATATTTTACATAAGTATCTAAAAAAAGTTGTTATAAATTTTCTGTACTTTGCACTTTGCACCGTAAAAATTTTTCTTTTAATTCAATAATAATAATGCAAAACAATATTGTCTCTAATAAAAAAAGAGAAAGTCACCAAATCGGTATCATTTTTTTTCTCGATAAAATCTAAAATCTTCCTTATCTCAAGTACCTATCTATATTATTATAGCAAAATGTGTTCTATATTTTCCGGAGGGGGATTTTTTTTGTCAAAATCTATTTGTTTTATATCTGTTGCATATATGCTGAAAGGATGCAGGAATTTTTTTTCTTTCCCCCTTATGAATATTCGTATATGGTGAAACCAATATCGCGACTGCAGTTTAGAGAGAGAGAGAGAGAGAGACGACTGCGTCTGAAACTGACATTGTTTTGCAGGGGTTGTCGCCCTGAAATGGTTGGCACGTGTAACCCTTTTGCGTCCTTGAAAATTATAGACACTGGACCAGGTAAAATTATTGACACAAATAGAATTTCAATTTTCAATAGCAGAATTTGATTTTTCAATAATAGAATTTCAATTTTCAATAACAGATTAAAGTTTTCAAAAACAGAATTTGAATTTTCAAAATAACACAATTGAATTTACAAATACTGAATTGAATTTTTAATATCAAAATTTTCAATCCTATATTATAAAAAAAATGCAAAAAAAATGCACAAACTCTAAACGGATTTTAATTTTTTTTGGAAATTATACCATCAATATTCTTTTTCTATAAATGTATTCGAACTATGTAAATTTACAACAAGAAATTGCTAATATAATAACTTTTGGGAGAGAAAATCCTCGACAATGGCCTTCAAATGTCAGATCAGGTGATCGGATGACGTAAGAAAAAAAATTTCGGCACGTAATACATTATGTTGCATTTCCAGGCGATTTCATAAAGGCGCAACATGCACTCGAAAGTGACCCGTCGTCCTTGCTCATTTTTGGGTTTAATTTTAGGGTTTAATAAGTGGGTTATTTTAAATCTTACGAAACAGTTACTCGATCTTTTACTCTTCCCCGAACCAGCAAAAATTGTAAAAAAATAATAATTTCAATACTACTACAAACATAATAATAATAATCGTAAATTTTTTAATAACAATTTCACACAATTTTTGCCAAATTTCAAGAAAAATAATTCACTGAAATATATAATTTTTGCTTGTAAATTTCAAAATGTAATAGTTTAAAATTTTGTTTCATCAATAATTTCCTTAAATTAAATGTATTAGTCAAAGAACAATTTAAAATCAAATTCTAATTTTGTAAACATTTGTGCGTGTACAATAACAGGAAGATATATTTTTTTCACACAAATTTTCTGCGGAATGAACATTATTTTGTTGTAAATCATTTCGTACCTAAATATATTTTTAAAAAATCTATAAATATAAAAATAATAAAATTAAAAATTTTTAATGAAAAAAAGAACCAGTTTGAAGCGGAAACAATTTTTTCATTGACTGGGATATATAATCGCGCGAAAGTTTTTGGAGACATCATATGCACTTACGTATATGTATATATATATATACGGACTCAATATATGTCTGCCAAGTCTGTGAAAGAAGTTTTTATATTTCATTTTGCAGACTTAATGGTATATACACTAAAGATGAAGTCAGATCGACACGTGCGCTCCAAGAACGCATTCAGTATATTATAACCGGTCAATTTCTTTTATTGATCAAACTATTTCTGAATCGCAAGTCCGACCCAGTTTCGCTTTTTCATGATAAATATGCAACAATTATAAAAAGGGTCGATTAAAAAATAAAATACATCAATTTAGAACACGGAATAAAAAGAGAAAATTGACGTTTTAAGGAGGAAAAAAAGTCTTCTATAAATTCAGATTAGAACAGAATCAGTAAAATGATTGATATTAGTTAGAAGATAAATCTCCATAGTATATAATTGGATTTAATGGATTATGTATTTTTATTGAAGATAAGACAAATTATTTCTTTAAACTAAAAATAAATATTAAAAAAATATATTTAAAGAAATGATAAACATCAATATAATTATTTGTCTGTTTTTAGATATGTGAATGATTTATAGATCATCTGATTTGCTATATATATATATATAAATATATAATTATAAAAAGACAAAACGAAAAATAAAATATTTTCATAAATTATATATTGATAATTAGAAAAAATTTTTACTAATGGATCTTAATTATAGAAATATTATTGACTAATGGACCAGACTAGACGCTCCAATTCAAAATCAGCTGTTGTAAGAAAAGGAAACGCTATGATAAGAAATTTTTTTGATAATTATATCATGAGAAAGTTATGTATTATCAATAATTAATTTACTACATCAAAATTCGTAGACTGTACGCACACAAAGTGCAAGAATAAAAAAGTAGAAAATTAATCATGAATGATCATATCATTGAAGATAATCTTAATATAATTTAGATCTATAGGAGCTTAGTATGACTTTGTGAAAATGCTTTCATCTAATTTTCTAAATTTGTATATACGCAAGTTGTATAATTATTATTATTATTATTATTCAAGTATTCATATAAATAATTTAAGGAAATTTTAGAAACAAAATTTGAAAAAAGCCTTTTGAAATTTAAATTTGAAAAAGTTTCCAACGCGTCATGATTTTGACAAATAACCTTCAACTATATAGAAAAACTACAATATTTATTCTGAAAATTTAAAACATGTGCGACATATTTCGAAAACTTATTTCTATGTAGTTTTCTTAAAACGCTGAAGGTCATTTGTATAAAGTTGTGATGACGTTATAGTCAATATGTCGAATCCAAATTTAAGATATATATAAATTAACACTCATTATTCTTTATGTAAATCTATATAAGTTACGAAAAAACAAAACTATAATTTCAAAAAAAAAAAGAAAAAGTAAATAGTGCGATGCGTATATATATGAAGTGACGTATATTGTCTCTATATCAATTTATAAAAGAAACAACAAATAATTCAAGTCAATAAAGAAGTTAATTTACATTTTCTAAATGATTCAAGTTTTAAATTTTTGACAAAAATGTGTGCGACTGATAATACTCGATTAAACAATGTTTATATAGAGAAGAGAAAAGACGCACAATTTTTTACCTTCTTGAATTTTTTCTATATTCTATATCAATCCCCTTCCTTAAATATTGTATATGAATGTCGATTTGGAAAATAAAAATTAACATCACTAAAAGGAATCTTTTTTTTTCTTAATATTCTGATACTGTCCTGATTATAATTACACGTGGAAACCTGTTCATATTATGCAATACTGTTGTTTGCATGATCCATGATTCAAATAAGATGAGGTCGCACACGTGGAAGCCCATATCTCTAATTATACATATATCAAGCGAGGAAAGTTCGATATCCGATCGAGAAAAGTTCACCGGACTGAACACATTAACAATTTCGTGGCCTTTTTAATTAAGAGTGTGATTCAACTCGATTTGTAACGTGTACTATAATCCAGACAAAATGCCATATTAATTTATACAGGCAATATACATAAGGAAGGATGAATAAAATGATGACAAGATAATAATTTGTCATTCAATTGTTAATGTTTCTGCATGTGGAATAACTTTTTTTTCATATTGATACCACAATTGGACGATTTGAGAATTATGTATTTAATTACGATAAATGTAGGTTATACACGTTTTAAGGTTTCAATTATAGCACACTAGGTCATTTAGACACTAGATAAATTGTTTCGACTCTAAATTAAATTCGTTACTTTAGATACAATCAAATTAATGAAACTACTGTTAATTGTTCATGCTAACAATTGAAACTATCCCTCATTAAAATTTTTTAACTAATTCCTGATTAAATCAGGACAGATTAATACGGAAATTGTGTACGAAAACATTCCGAAAATGATCCGGTTCAGGTAGAAAGACAAAACCAAAATTAGTCAGAAATTATTTGAAATCTGCATGCACACAATCCAGTCGAATTTCACGATAATCCAGATTTAGAATGATCAAAAATCTGAATCAGAAATGAGTCTAGAATAATTCCAAGATACAAAATCTCCAATAAATCATCAACAATTTGCAATCAGTTCGAAACTAGTGTCTAATTGCCAATTGTTAAAAATACATTAATTTGTATATGTACTACTAACGATTGAGATTACCATATATTATTTATTTAAAATTACCAGCAATTGAAATTGCGTTCCATTAATTAGAGATTAAACTATGAAAGTGGAAACGGCAAAAGGAAACAAAAATGTTTTCTCAGAATTCTTAGGGACTAAAAAATTCTCTTTAAGGAACTAAACGCATTTTTGAAGATGTTCTTTTGGCTAGAATTTTCTATACAATAAGTACAATTCGCCTCGTGGAAATAAATTGTCAAGTCATGAAACACGTGTCGATGCCTAATAAAAAAATTAAAAAAAAATTAAAAAAATTGCTTTAAATCTTTGTTTTTTATCCTCATATATTACACTCTTGAATGAAACTAATTTATTAGTCAATTATACCAATTACTAGACATGAAAATATAGTTATTTCCAATTTCTGCATTTTTCCATTTACAATAATATTATTTATATTTTTTCTATACAAATAATAATTTATTGAAATTGTACTTTTCACAGTATAATTTTGTAAAGAAATACATACTTTTCTTCGGAATTCATTTTTTTATAATAACAAAAGCAACCATAGAAATGGTGTAGAGAGATAAAAAAAGTCATTGCAATTGAATTTTTGCCGATACATATATATATATTATATATATGTATAATAGAGAATACCAAAAATATTAAACTAACAATGACAACCTAGAAAGTTTGGATTTTGCGATAAGATTCATTCACCTCTTTCATTTTTATACTTGACATACTCCAGATTCAATATTTTATTCTTGGATTCTTTTTTTCATTATTCTTGAAGAAGAAATATATGTTTTGAATTTGTCACAATGTTTACTATTATTAAGTTAATTATTGGTCATGAATTTTTTGGCTTTTCTTAATTACTTTTCTAATTAGTAGAATGACAGGAAAATCCCACTTCTCAAAACCTACTACTAGTTTCTCTAGTACATACAAAAAAAAGGGTCTTCTCGTCTAGACTCTCTTTTCTAAAACCAGACGTCCTTGGTTCTCGTTTTCAGACTGCATAAAAATAAATGAATAAATCCTATTATCCTCCAGTTCTTAAATTTTTAACGGACACGATGTAAAGTGTGTCTACGACTTAAAAAAAAGAACAAAAAAAGTTTTATATGACTCGTGTGTGAGACCTATTGAAAAATATTTTCAGTAAATATACACGTGTGCTTAAATAATACACATATATGTTTATACCATTTTTTCAGTCTATTAAAAATAAATTTAAATTTCAATCCTAAACTGATTAACTTAATGACAATAATTAAAATATATTACACGAAAATAAAAATAGATAAAATGAATGGAACCATTGGAACCAACAATTGTTGCTTTATTTTGATGTCAAATTAAATTTAAAAAAAATAATATTACTATTTAAAAACAATAGTAATTAAAAATTTCTATTTTTAATATTCGAAAAAAAAGAAAATCTTTTTCTCAGACATGCAATTAAACATTTTTTCAAAATCGACAAAATTCTCATCATTGAAATAACATTTTTTTTTATATCTAAATTCCGATAAGGTATATTTTATTTCGTAAATTACGAAAATTTGCATAACAGCTTATTTGTATAGTCTGCTTAAATGAAACACATACAAGTTCTTGTCTCTCTAAAAAAGAGGGAATGAACTATGTGTACATAAATGTGGTGTATGAAGAGAAAAAAATTCAAATCAAATTGAGAGAGATATTTAGAAGACATTAATATAAAAAAGGGGTTGGTTGGAGACAGTTCAAAAAGGGGCAATTGAGTAGTTCTTTTTTTTGTGGTTGTCACGTGGACGAAATATTGTAGAAAATCGCAAACCGATCTCGTGTGTGCGTTATCGGGGAGGTTGGATACCGACCACGTGTTTCTTTCATTGGCTGAGAGCTAGCCACTGGTCGTAGTATATATACACCGTTCTTCTCAAGATTCGAACGATATACAACAGTACTCTTTACCGTCTTCTCGATCGTGACTTAAAAAAAATTATTATTATTATTATTAAATTGTAATTAGAAAATATTTTGCGGGTTAAATATTTCAAGAAAAATGGAATTTCGTTTAGTGTGAAATTATTAGTGTTTTTTAAAAAAAAATTTGTACGGAAAAAAAAAATTTTGTGAATAGTAAAAGAAACGGTATTTTTTTGAAAATAATTTAGTGAAAAATGGCTGCAATTTTGGAGTCAAATTTTGGAATACAATCATGGACTACTGTTATTCTTTCGCTTTGTGTTTCATCAATTTTCTTGATGCTTTTGGTGAAAAGAGCGCATTTTTTGTATACATTGAGAAAAGTACCTTCTCCATTCGCAATACCTATTATAGGAAATGCTCATCAACTTAATTGTGATTTGGAAGGTAAGTTTTTTTTCTGAATATTTTTATTTCGTTATCTGATATTTTTTGAATAAAAAATTTGAAATTAAAATTTTTATACATATAGAGAATAAAAATTTTCTTTACTGGTGTTAGGTAACAATTAATGAATAAATTAATTTTATAGAAATAAAAAAAAAATCTTTAGAATTCCAATATATTTTAGATAAATTTCTTATAAAAGATATAATCAATATAAATTTTATTTTAGATATCAATGCGTATATAAAGATTAAATTTAGATAATTGATAACATATTTCAAATTAATAGCAAATTTCACATATTTGAAAAATTGTTTGGGTTTCAAATTTTTAGTTTCGCGCTCTCTCACTCTCTGTGTTAATGCTTTGTAAAAAATTCAAAAATTTTGAATTCTTAAAAGGTAAATTAATATTTGATGTTAAATATTTAAACAAATGTTTATTATTTATTAATTTCAACATTTTTATATTTAAAAAAGGAATTAACATTTTTTTTGGCAAATTTTAATAACGAGAAAAATATGTAATAATTTTTTGAATTTTTTCACAAAAAAATAAAACAAAATATTAATAAATATTATTAATATTTTTAAAAAATAGTATGCAAATTTTCGTAGTTTACTGAATAAAAAATTTTTATCTGAGTTTTTTTTACATATATGAATTTTCAAGTTTTGTAAAAAAAAATATGCAAACAAGATTGAAAAGTTGTTTCTAAAGTTTTGCAAGCCTTCAAATGAACGGTATTTTTTAAGTTAAAATTTTATTGTAAAAGATTACTTTAAGTAGCAAAATTAATAATTTAATTCTACTATAAAGAAATTTTTGAAAATATTTTGATTAAGAAAAAATTGTCGATCTTTTTAACATTATTTTACAATAATTTCCCCCCTTTTTTTTAACAATTTGGTGTTTAATAAAAAATCAGACGGACAGTCAATACAAAAGTTAGTCTACCTTCACATTTTTGTTAAAATAAATAAATAAAATAAAAACAATTCAGTAAAAGCGGGAACAATTTTGTCTAACACTTTGAATAATTAAAATTTTATTATTAAACTAACAAATTTTTAATATTAAGAAATAATTGTCAAATTTTTCGGTTATCTTGCCCAAATATAAAATAAATAAATACATACATAATTATGTTGTTAAATGTCAGGAAATTGTAATTTTTATTCAAATGCAACTTTCTAATGTTCAATATTTAATTTTCAAAATGCTAAATATTAAATTACTTACATTTATATACTGGCTGTTAATATTGTTTAAATAAATTGTTTTTATTTAAGAATACAAGAATACAGAGACTATTAACTTTTGTTCCGATTGTTTATCCGATTTTTTCTTCAAAAAAAATTTATCTTAAAAAAATTTGTAACAAAATTTATAATTTCAATGTCTGTATATTTCTGTGAACTATTATCTTTGACTATTTGGCGCAAAAAATTCTTGTTTATAACAAAATAGACATTGCAAAGACAAGCGTTCAGCAAATCCATTGAATACACTCTATTAAGGTCGATCATTGCACTCTCGGCAAAATAACACATGTATCATTGTAACATTAAAAAAATTTTAAATTGCGCGCATGATTCCGATTAAATAAATTGCTGCTCGATTATATATTCTTTTAGAACACTATATATATTATTGTATAATATCTATTAATATTTACAAGCTAGCGTTTCACAAGCTTATCTCAAACTAATGAAGACCATAATTATAAAAATTAAAATTTTTTGTTTTTTTCAACAAAATATTTTTTAAAAAATACCCTTGCATAATAATATACCTATTTTAAAAATTTTTTATTAATCCCAGAATTTTGTTCAAGTATAAAAAATATATAATATATACATGTTTCAAGTATATAAGAAGAGCGCGATTTTTTTCAATCAACACTACAGCCATCAATTACTGCGGTTATAATGTACATGAATGATTTGGAAGAAATAGGTCGAGGACGTTAGATGAATAAAAAAGTTGTATTGGGAACGAAAAAAAAGACTTACGATTGTATTTTATCCCCCTTATGTCTTATCCATTAATGGTTTTATCATATTGCACGTGTAAAATAAGAAAACAATGATCGAGTATAGCAAAAAAGTTGTTTCATCCGAAAGAAGCGAAAAAATTTTGTTTAATATCAAAAATCTGTTTATATTTATCCAAAGAAAAAAATCAAAAATTTTGGATTTCTTAAAATAATTTATTTTTATCATAAACTGTCTTTTTCTTATCCAATAAAAGTCCAAAAAATTCCCGACTATCTTCAATAACTTAAATCATGGAAATAAACAAATAACATTAAATAAAATTAAAAAAAATAATATTTCTATAATTAATAGTTAAAAAATTAAAAATGCTTCTATCAAAGGATTGAGAAATTAAAAATTTTTTTGTAATAACATTACATAATCTTTTTTTTTGAAAAAAAAAAATTCATATTAATGGATGAATGAAATTTGGTTGGCGGTTTTAAAATCGAAAGTTACCCGTGAAAAAAAGCGGTCGTACACGTGCAGCCTTGGCAGCGCAATGACACGATTAAGAATGACTTTGCTTTGCGTGCATATAGAGATAGTTTTAAATACACATGGTACAATGGTTTTTTTATATATCCTTCTATGCGAAGGACGCCATATAATATGCAAGGCATCTCCGTCGATGCATCTATGTAACTGGTTCCGCAAGAAAAATGCGTGCCATTTTTTCCGGTCAATGTCCGGTCAGCGGCACTATATACCAATGTCTGCACGTTGCAAACACATTGCTACTTTCTATGAGCAAAGATCGAGATATTATTTTCTATAAGGGCGATTCTATATATAAACGATAATCTATGCGGGATTTTTTATTCCTCCTCCCCCCCACACACACACACAAAAGATTTTATAATTTTAAGATAAGAAAAATGTCTCATTTTTTCTTTTCATTAATACGAACAATAAATAAAAATTTTTCAAAAACTTATCAATTTCAATTTGTCATAGGAAACTATCAAGACGAAACTAACAGATTTTTTTGCCCAAAGCGGGTCATTGAACTCCCTATCATCGAAATTGCTAATTTTAGAAAGTAAAAATGATTGTTTGAATAAAAATCTAATTTTTTTAAAAATTAAATCACCAGGAATTATTTTTATTCAATTGAATACTATATATATTTAGAAATTTTATTTCGAAATTGCTTTTTTCAATTAATATTGAAATTTTCAGAATTTTTTAAAAAATTAATAAAATGGAGCAAGGAATTTGGAGACATTTTTATAACTTGGGTTGGCATGAGACCATTTTTGTGGATTTATCGAGTGGAACAAGTTCAACCATTGCTAAGCAGTAGCATTCACATAGACAAAAGTCTAGAATACGAATTCCTAAGACCCTGGATTGGTACAGGACTAATCACAAGTAACGGTAAGGATTTGTCATTTTTTTTTCCTATATCCTGTTAATCCTTCGGTTTGAAAAAAAACTCGAAATCGTGAATGGGTTGAGAATAATAATTAAAAAGGATAAAAACCAGTATCAAAGTCCTTCATTTCCTAATGGTATATGTAAGATATATTTAAAACTGTTTGAAACTATCGAAAATCAAAATTTAGAACCGATCCCTAAAATTTATCCAATGAATCAAATATTATAAGGCCAAATTTTTATTTAAAAAATCTTTTTAAATTCCTTTTTTCAAAAAATTGAAAATTCGTTTAATTAAAAAGAATTTGTTATGAAACAATTATTTATAATACATAATAATAAAAATCAAGTATTTGCATTGACGTTTTCAGATTAGCGCAGGGAAAAAGATATAAATCGCATAAATGAAATATAAAGATAATAATTCCGTTATAATCAGAAATTTATCAATGACGATTTTTTTTTATATTTGTGTGAAAATAAATTTGCATTTCGCGCTTTCAATTAATACATATATATAGTATAACGTAAAATTGAACTTGAAAAAGTGTGAATCATCCGCAAAAAAATAAAAAGTATTAAATAAATATTAATAAGAGAAAATAAAAAAAATTGAAGAAGAGAATAAAATTACAAAAGAGAAAATAAAAAGAAAAAAAAATGGTAAACGACAAATATGCAAAAAGAAAAAAAATAGTTCCACGTGTGGATAAAATATGATGAACATTGTGTGTATGTTTTTATTTTTTGATGAACGTTTTACGTATATTTAGTTGCCCTATTGATTATTTATTGATTGTTGATTAGCCCGAGGCTAAATCGCGTTTATGCATTCTTATCGTATTTTAGTTTCATGGATAATAAAGAAACGAACGCGCGTGCCAAAGATGTTATTTTCCATCGAAAATCTTTGAGCAGACATACAAGGTTGCTTCAAAAAGGATAAACAATCAACATAGCAGACTAACGAATTTTTTTACAACACAGCAAATTGTGTTCAACATTTCTGTCAACATTCTAAAAAAAGCTTTTACATATTTAAAATAATCTACGTTTTATTATTTCAGAAAAAGAAGAATTTTAATAAAATTTGTTGATTTATTGATTTTTTTTAGGTTCAAAATGGCATTCAAGAAGAAAATTATTGTCGCCAACATTTCATAGTGAACTCTTGAAAGATTACCTTAGAATAACAATGAAGGAAGTTAATATTCTGATAAGTTGTTTGCAACAGGAAATTGGAAAAACTGCTTTCGATATTGTCCCATACGCTAAACGAGCGGCTCTCGATGTTATTTGCAGTAAGTATATTCGAATTTATAATTAATAATTTTGGATGTGAATAATTTTTTAATTTCGAATTAAATAGGTTTAATTATTTGCTAATTTTAAAGAAAAATGTTATTTATATATTTGATTAAGAGATATAATCATATATATCGTTATCCAATATATCTTTTTTAAGATGTGACACAATGATTACTACTGATGTTACTTAATGTACTTAATGGATAATTCTTGATAAATTTTCTCATCCACGTTAATTTCCCCTTCTTTATTTTACTTTTATGATGATTTTCACGAGATTTCGATTTTTCTACAGATTTATTAAAACGTGAAATTAAAATCACTGATCTACTCGAATTGGAGTGAATTATATGGTTTTGTTTTTTATGTTCATCTTTTCTTTTCTTCAATTTTTCACTGACACGCGATTTTCTTTTTCTAAAAATTTTATATAACTAAATATTTTTTTGATTTAAAAACCGAAAAAAATAATAACATTAATTAAATTAAAATTTAAATATTTATATATTTTAATTTTAATAATTTTAAAAATTCAAGAATCAATATTCTCTAAAAGTCAAAAAACGTACTTTTGCGATGATAAATTATTTCGTTTGGAAAATTTTATTTTTCCCTTCTGATTATGATGATAAAGTCTTGGTTTTGAAAGATATTCAATTCGTGAACTACAAGTAGCATAAGAATAAAATTTCTTTTTACGATGGAATTTTGAATTGATTTTAATACGAGGCTTTGAAAGTTCAAGAATCCTTGGAGTCGCTAAGAAAATATAATTAAAAATTATTATTTAAATAATTGAAATATCAAGATAAAAGTGAAAATTATACAAAAAAAACAAACCAATAGCGTTTAAAGCTTTTGGAGAAACATTGAATGATGGTTTTAAATTTTCTTTAAACGGAACTCTCGGTTTAGAGAGTTCGATTAAACGAGATGATATTTCGAGAATACGATTAAATTTATTTTTCTGATGAGAATTTTTCTTATCACAATTATTTAAACGATTTTTCGGTTCAGCTAATTGATTAATTCGTTCTGTTATTTCATATAATAATGCAGCTGTTTTAACCTATATTTTTTTGTTTATTTAAAAAAATAAATAATTAATTGGGGCAATTTTTTTTTTAAATTTGTAAATAATTTATGTACTTTAAATGAATTATTTATGGGTTTCTTAATTTCCTTTTTCTTTTTTGCTACTACAGACATTAATGCCATTGAAATGGTATTTAAATTACGAATATTTTTTGAAGGCAGTTCCTAAAAATTTAAATATTTGTCAATTATACATATTTTACGTATTTAATTTTTTAATTTGTTCAAACAAAGTATATACTGACGTATTGTTTAATGTGACGATTCCAATGAGGATTTTCTTTTAGTAAAATACTTCCTAAAGAATCTGTAGTAGATTTGCTCAATTGTGTAAGACTTTCAACAGACATTTTTTTTCTCTTTACATACTAATTTATTATGCAAAAAAATAATAATAAATTGGAATAAATTATTATATGAATTTGCAATCAAAATTTTTTTCTACATTTTTTAAAAATTTTTTTTAATTTTATACTTGGAAATTTAAAAAAGGTTACTAAATCTGTCAAAACGAAAAATTAAATTAAAATAAAAAAAAAGAAAAATCAATCATTCTTTTGTCTATCTTGAAAAATAAATTTTTTTCGAAAAATAAAATTTTAATGAAGTTACGTCTTATAATAAAATATTCTCTCTAAATTTAGATTAAATTTTTTTACAGATACTGCCATGGGCTATCCAATCAATGCTCAGACGAATCACAAAAACGAATATTTCTTGGCTGTTGAAAGGTGAGTTAAAATTATTGAATAAAAAAAGTGGATTGCAAAGAAATGAATAAAGAAATTAAAAAATTATTTAGAAAAAAACTATTATATAGCAAAAAAGAAAAAAAGAATTTAATAAATGATTTTTTCAGATTATCGAAACTCATGCAGATGAGGTTCACGAACATTTGGATAAAATGGGATCCTATATTTAACAGGACTTCTTTGGGAAAGGAACAAGCACGCTTGATCAACATAATTCACAGTTTTGTCGACAAGGTCAGTGCAAAAGAGAGAGAAAAAAAATATCTATTCGCAAAAAAAAAATTCTTCAAGGTTTTATTAATTTTTTTTTAATCCAAAAAGAAGCAAAATTCGCTTTTTTTTAATGGCTGCGCCAACAATTAATAATTGTTAATTTTTGTAATTCAGGTAATTTTCGAGAGAAAATTAGAGTGGTCAATGAAATTTGATGGAAATTGCAATGAAACACCAAAAAAATGTCAAGCTTTATTGGATTTATTATTAGATGCAGCTCATAATGGAGCTGAATTATCGGATGAAGATTTACGAGATGAAGTTAATACTTTTATGTTTGCTGGACACGATACAGTTGCAACAAGTGTATCATGGTTCCTCTATGCATTGGGAAGACATCCCGAATATCAGGTAATTAGAATTTATTTTATTTTATATTATCAAAACTTGAATTTATTAAAATATTTCTATCTCTATTCTGACTTTAATTTAATGCTTGACAGAAATTAATCATCGAGGAGTATGAAAACATAATTGGATCGCAAGAACTCACTTTGGATCTTCTCCAGAAATTAGTCTGGTTAGATGCTTGCCTAAAGGAAAGTTGGAGAATCTATCCAGTTACTCCGTTAATTGCGAGACAAATCTACAGTCCTCTCAAATTATGTAAGTTTTTATATCTTGGAGATAATTGGAGATAATTTTCAAATCAGACAAAAAATTTAATTTCCAAAAAGGATAAAGTAATATTAAAAAATCTTTTTTTGCAGCTACACAAGAAATTCCAGCGGGTACGACGGTGTTAATAAATTCCTATTTACTTCATCGTGATCAAAGATATTTTTCTCAACCCGATAAATTTATGCCTGAACGTTTTTTACCTGACAAACCAAAACCACCACCATTCACATATATTCCATTTAGTGCCGGTTCACGAAATTGTATAGGATGGAAATTTGCTCAAATGGAAGTTAAAGTTACAATTCTATCAATACTTCGAGCATTTGAAATTTATTCTATTCAAAGTGAAGATCAACTCAAGTTTGTAGCAAATCTTGTACTTGATAACGTTGGTGGAATTCCTATTCAAATTAAACCAAGACAAACACTTTAGAAAAAAAATATGATCTGTAAATGACTGATAATTGATAAACCATTTTTTTCAATTTTATCAATACGATATACTATATAGAACAAAAATATAAGTATTCTAAAGTATAACACACAAAAGAAGAAGAAGAAGAAGAAGAAGAAAACTCTTTCCGGAGTAAAAAGTAGAAATGTATTATTATTTGTATAATTGTTTTATATTACTGAAAAGATAAAAGCAAAGCGGATGATGGTAAAAGCAAAACCAAAAAGCGATTATAAAAGACAAGGATTATTATTTGAATATTGTAGAGAACGAATGAAATAGAAAACAACGAGAATGATGAATGTTTTTTTTAAAAAAAGACTGCTAAATCAATTATATTATCATTTTATAGAAAAATTGTAAATTACCTAGTCGATATTTAGTGGAAAAAATTGGAAAAATGTACGTGATATAGAATAACATTTTAAGCACGCGCATATTTTTTATACGTTATATTTTCAATAAGTGAAAATAACATTGTATATACAAAATGTATTATTATTAGACGAGTTGACTTTATTTCTAGACTTGGCTATTTTTAATTGTATAAATCATAAAAAGCGATAAAAAGTGTAAATGACTCATTGTTACTATGATGATATGGCTTGTTACTTACAAGTAATTTGTTGAATATTTTGATTAAAGGCAGTTTTAAATTTTTTTACGTTAGAAAATTTGCAATTTTTCACATTTGAAACTTTTAATTCTCAAACAAAGTTTCAATGATAATTTTATACTTCAATTATGTAGAAATAAACTCTGTAAAATAAATATAAGTTATATTATATACATTTGTACTAAAATTAACTTTTTAAATAAAAAAAAGAATGTTAAAAAAAAGATTGCAATTTTATTTTTGTTTAATAACCATTAACCGCCAAAATTATAGATATCTGGTGGAAACGAGTGTTACTAAATTAGCGCCAAATTTAAAATTATAAAATAAATATATTATTTTTCTAGTGTATATCTTAAATATTTAACAGTTTATATGGCAAAATCAATATAATTTAAATTCAATTTAAAATTCTAAGTATTCTCTAAATTCTCAAATAGTTATAATTTTATCTAATTTTAATTTTAATTGATACTAAAAGTGTCAAAAAAATAAATTAAATTAATAAAAATGTTAACTAATTTGAGTAGAGATAGTAGCATATAATTTCATTTTTTTCGGTTATAAAATTTTCATAATATGATAAATATTAAATAAATCCTATATACTAATAAATAAAGAATATAATAAATTATGCATTCCTAAAAAAATAAATGATTAATTCAATTAAAAAGAAATATTATTTCTCACCACGTTGATTCATCTGGAAATAATGATTAATTAACCAAAACATGCAAAAAAAACACTTAAAAAACGTACACAAAACACTTATAAAACATATACAAAACATTAAAATATAAAAGACAACATAGTGACAAAAGAAATAAAAGATAGAAATAAATAAAATTTTCACTTACATTTTTTACCCGATTTCCCTACCTATTGCTATATTTAAAACGAACAAAAATGCCTATTTTTCCCGAATTTCCTACCTATATTTATATTCTAAACGAAACTAATACCGCCCAGGTGCAAATTACCTACACTAGGGTTAACGTCCCGGGACGCAACCGTCACCTGAGCGATCTTTTCTGAAAAGAAAACATTTAATTCGTTAATCATTAAAAAAATTATCAAATCTTTCAATTTCCAATTCCACATGCATTAACTTTTAACTGTTGAGAATTAAGTATAAAATTTACTAACAGAATTAATTAATTAAATTATTTGAAGTTAATAAAATTTTACTCTAGTTTGAATTACTTTTTTTGAATAGAAAAGAAAATTACTTTAATTAATTTAACATACAATAAATAAATAACATACATATATAAACATTGAAAAAAACATTGACAATAATATTAATTTAAGCAGTATTAAAGTAGTAATCTACAAAACATGTAATACTTTAGGATGTGGGGAGTGTTACAAATTTTAAGAGGCTAAATTTCCGAAATTATCACATGTTTTTTTTTAGATTACTCCAAAAAAATACTAAAAAAATAATAAATTTTGTCAATGGTGTCACTATGTTGTCAGATTTCCTTCTCTGTTTCTTTTTAATTTTTAATATTTTATTTGGATCAATATGATATATCTACTTTTTTCAGATGTTTCTAAATACATTACATTTTTTTAAAAAGTTAAGGAAATTTCACAATTAAGAATATATAATGAAAAATTAATTTTCAATTCATAAATCTATTTTAATTGAATTTATTAAAAAAAATAGCTATTTTAAACAGAGAAGGGGTTAAATAAAAAACGACTCACCGATCGGCGGATCATCCCTCGTCGGGACAATAACGTCATTGCCACTCTCGACCGCTTCTGGGCCAGCTCCCGAAGATCCCTCTTTCTTGCTCGCACTTCTGCGTGAGGCCGGGAGCTCAAAAAAAATATTATAAAAAAATAATAAAAAATGAAAAAAAATTGTATAAAAAAAAGATATATGCTGGGGCCACTTTTCTTCTTCCACATCCTTCCTAGTCTCTTCAGATATTTGGAAAATTGGAATGGAACTGAAAAAAAATATTATTAAAAATTAAATTATACACTTATTTTCTCAAAACACTATTAAATGCTAAGTTATTATTTTTTAATCAATTAAATTAATTTGGAATTAATTTAATGAAATTAAAAAATAATTAAATCCAGTTAAAATTTTTTAAGTAAATTATAATTTTTAAATTTGTATATAAAATTAATTATATTAAACAACACTCACCTATATGAGGTGATTTCTGCGTAGTGTTAGAAATACGATGACACCATATCCTTTTTATAAAAGGACTTCCTTCTTTTGGACCTGAAAAAAATATAATAATTCATGATGTTATAAAATAAAATATTAAAAATCCTCAATACAATAAATTATTTTTAATTATATATTAATATTCATAAATATTAACATTTTATATTCTATCATGTTATAAATATTACAATAAATTTTTATTTATTTTTGTTTTATTCCATTTATTGATATTTCTGAAAAATATTGGAAACAAAGACTCACCTATAAGGGGGAATTTCAGCGTGGTGTATAAGATACGATGACAGCATAGCTCCTTTTTAAAAGCTCAAATCTTTCTGCTACTGGACCAACTGCCTGAAAAAAAATAATTTATTATATTATATGTGCAAAATAAAATATTAAAAATCGTAAATACTATCAATTATTACATTGTTCCAATATAACAATTAAAGGAAAAAATTTATAATCGACTTACATTGAACTGCGACTCAGCAATGCAAGATCTCCTCCAGGAGCAGCTCCGCAACAAACACCCATCCTTCACGATTTGAACACCTGTAACTTGAGAAAAAAAATTGTTTTCCATAAAAACTTACAATAAGATTTTCAAAATAAAATTTATTTAATTATTTCTTAAGATGATTTTATAAAAAAAATGTATATAATATTAGTTATTTTAAATTTTAATTAATTAATAAGTAAAATAATAATTATCATAATCAAAAGCAGAAAAAACTAATAAAATTACTATTAAAATGCAAAATGGAATTTTTAGAAAAAAAATGTTTGTTATTTAAAAATAATGTAAAATCTTAGTTTTTATAAACAAATATTCACCTAAGTTGAGAAGAATTGGTGCCCAAAGGATTAACATTGTTTTAGTATTTAATTCAAGTCCTTTTTTTCCTGAGATGTCTTTATTCCATTTTTTAGCTCTGTAAATAAATAAATAAAAGTTAAATAAACATATAATATGAATTTTAATAATAATTAAATTTTGATTTTAAATTTCATCTCTAAAATACGGCGGACAAATATTCGAACAGATGTAGGAGAGAAATATGAAATTGGTTAAGTAGTAATTTTTAGGTTAAATTCCAAAGTGTCATCAAATTTCCCAAAATATTAAAAATTCTGATATTTACCAACCAAAAATTACTTGTACTCTAGAAAATTTATATCACACTGAACATAATTATTCAAATATATTTTTAATTTGTATTCAGATTTAAAGATGTTTTCTGTTATTCATGAAATTTTCTGTCACTTTCAGCCGCTCTTTCTACAATGTCTACTATAGTGAACAATGATACCAACATGAACAAAAAAAAATTACTAACCAATTATACACTTCTACCAACATAATTAGAAATTTTTTAAACTATTTTTTTTAAATGTAGTAACCTTCTTTTTTTATTATTTTCAATTTTATTAATAAATTTATTTCTAATTATTATTATTTTTCCTTTTTTTCATTTATTTTATTTAATATTTTTAAAAAAATTCAAAAGTCGCGCAAAAATACGACAAGTCACAACAAGTGTAATGCCAAAATTTTCATTTCTGCCAACACGAAAAATTTCATTTTCGTAAAAGTTAATTTTTATTATATATTATTCATTCTTTTTTTCGCAAATTTTTTTATTTATTATTAATAAAACAAAAATTGTATAATTTTACGATTTAACTTGTACTTTACCTATATTTCTTTGTTTAACATTTTGATGCTAAACTTTTTAGGTTAGGTTCGTGTCAAAAAATTTTTTTTGAAATTGCTTATTTTTTTCTTGCCTGCCACGAAACTTTCATGATTTCTCGAATATTTATATAGAACAATACTTAATTATCAAAAAATATCTATAATAATCGTTTTGATTAAAGAAAAACTACAAGATTCGATTTCCTATAACGAAATATGGTTCTTCACTCTCTGACGACGCCATTTGCAATGAGCCAAAATTGCCAACCATAGATAACAAAAACTGAACTTTTTCAGTTCTACCAACATGAAAATAATTAATTCCCTTTTAATAAAAACCTATTTTTTTGTTATTCATTCTTTTTTTCGCAAATTTTTATTATTTATTATCAATAAAACAAAAATTGTATATTATTACCTACGATTTTAATTATACATTACCTCAAGTTTTTGTTTAACATTTCGATACTAAACTTTTTAGGTTAGGTTCCCGTGTCAAAAAATTTTTAGCAAAATATATTAATTTTCTTTTTGCCTGCCACGAAACTTACATTATTTATCGATAATTTAAACAAATCTGAACTTAATTACTATAAAATATATACAATTAACGTTATGATTTACCTAATAATAAAAGATTAAATTTTTTCGAACGAAATATGGTTCTTCTCTCTCTGACGACGCCATTTGCAATGAGCTCCAATAGTCCAATGCCAACCCACGATAACAAAAAATAAAAACTGAACTTTTTCAGTTCTACCAACATGAAAATAATTCCTTTTTTTAAAAAAGACTAATTTTTTAAATTTCTTCTTACCTGTCTATAAACTTATATCATTTATCTATAATTTTGATAAATATGAATATAATATTAAGGGAAAATTCATTAATAATAAATGTAATAAAAAATAATTTTCTTTTTTTAATTACATATTTTAAAATCTATGCCAACTTAATAAACCTTAATGGATTCTCTCACTTTTAAGTGTACCAACTTTAAAAAAAATCATCATTTTCCATATGTTTGACAGTTGTCAGCTGGTTGCTGGTTTTCATAATGAAAATGGATATTTAATTAGAATTTTTTTAAAACGATAGGCTAAAATTTTGAAATGTGTTGATTATTGGTAAGTTTTATTTATGCAAATATATTTCTAAAAGTTTGGAAATTAAATGTTCTTAATTGAAATTTTGATATTTTTTTCTCAATATTGTTGAAACAAATAATCACCTTTTCTTTTTTATAATATTTATTCTTTTTAAAAGTGCAATATTTGTATGCTAATTTTATTCTAATTTTTTAAATTTATAATATCAAGCAACTATAAAGATAATAGTATAACAGAGTACATTGAACTTAACCTATGTGTCAAAAAGGGATTTGCATATTAATTTCTGTATATTATTTAAAAATCTTAATTGGTCATTGTTTTTGGAAGGAAATTTTGCATTTTTTTCTCTGAGATTGGTGATAAAATAATCAATAATGCATGATTATATAAAAAGAAATTGAGTAATGTAATTAAGAACTCTTTTTTTTCTTTATGAAGAATGAACTGGAAAAATAATTAAAAATCACAAGATGTTCTCGGCTTTTAAGAGATTGGCAGGCAAATCCGAGGGAAATGCCTCGCCACGACCGAATCATCAATCAATGCCCACAAATTTACAAAGAAAATTCGCGAAAGGAGTTCAGTATAATAGTAAGTGTTTTCCTTTTATAATTTTATTGAAAGAAAAGAATTACTACTAGTTTTGTTTTTCTTACTGATTTCTTAATTTTTACGTTCAATTTTTATTATTTTTTTTTTATTTAAATTTTTAAAAATAAAATTCTTACTTTCAGTGAAAATAATAATAAAAGGCGACAGAAATGTGGGCAAAACTTGTCTGTTTCATCGTCTTCAGGGACAAAAATTTGTCGAAGAATATGTGCCAACGGAAGAGATACAAGTGGCGAGTATTCAATGGAATTATAAAGCGACCGATGATGTTGTCAAGGTAGAAGTGTGGGACGTTGTTGACCGTGGTAGAAGACGCCGAAAAATGGAGGGATTAAAAATGGATACATTACCAGCTGAAAATATTATTGAGGAACCAGCATTGGATGCGGAATTTCTTGATGTTTATAAAGGAACAAATGGCGTTATTATAATGATGGATATAACAAAAACATGGACATTCGATTACGTGCAACGAGAACTTCCAAAAATTCCCAGTCACATACCGGTTATTGTTCTGGGCAATCATTGCGATATGTCGCATCATAGAACCGTTACTGCCGATCATGTTACTTATTTTATTGATTCTTTACAAGGAAGATTGGCGCAAGTAAGAAATTTTAAAAACTATTTTCTTTAATATGCAAAAACTTTTTCTTATTTCCAAAACAAAAATTTACAGGTGAGATATGCGGAAACGTCAATGCGAAATGGATTTGGTTTAAAGTTGTTGCACAAATTTTTTAATCTTCCATTTTTGCAATTACAACGCGAAACACTTATAAAGCAAATCGAAACAAACGAAGACGAAACACGATTGACAATACAAGAATTGGATCTCTATCAAGAGAGTGATGATGCGGATTATAATAAATTTTTAGATAATCTTGTAAATAGGCGAAGAGCCGTTGCCGATTCAACATCGGTGACAAATTCAATTCCAATTGTTCCAAGTAATCAACAAATTGCATCGAATAACGAAATAAAAAGAAGTGTAACGTTATCGGGACCAATTGGTGCCGGTAATCCAATACCAGTGAAAAATAATAATATCGATTTAAGAACACCACCGCCAAAGAAAGAAAATAATAATATATTACCAAAAATGTCGGAGAATTTAATTAAAAATTCACCGCAACATTCGCACAGTACATCGAGAGAGAATCGTAATAGTCCGGAAATTAATCGTGATACACAATTAAGACAACAGTCATTTATGTCGAAAATATTTGGTAATAAAAAAGATGAGGATGGAGAAAAATTGCCAAATATTGCCGGTATTAATTTAAATTCACCATTGACGAGTGTTGAAGATTTTGTTCCCGACGATGATGTTTTGGATAAATCATTCTTAGACGAGGGATGTCAAGGTGGACAACAAACACAATCCGAGCGTGTCGATTCCGACAGGTAAAATATTTAATTAAAATTTTAATTTCATTTTATTTTATACATAATTTTTTTATAAATATTTTATTTTTAGCGATACGGAAACTGCAAATCCATTGGTCGCTGGTTTTGAGGATGATTTATCATCGGCTGACGAAACGCCAACGCCGGTACAATTGAAACTTACGGAAAATCCATTGAGTAAATCGTCAAGGCACAATAAACGTGAATTACAAGGCGCTGAATCGAGTCAGGAAATTCCACAAATAAAAAAAAGTGACTCAGTGTCTTCCATTGAGGAACAGGACTTCCAGGGTTCAAGTGAATTTGATTTAAATAATCGTCAAGATTCGGATACATATGACAATTGGCTTGGACGTGATTCTAAATGGCGACAAAGTCCCGAAGGTGGTGAAGATGTGAGCAGTAATAGTACAAGAAAAGATAGACTCGAATTTAGTGATAAAAGTCGTGATGTCAGTATGACAAGTTCAAATGTTCATCTTGAACTTCTTGACACTTCGAGTGTCAGACAATTGAGTTCAAATGGCAGCAGTCCTGTTTTAAAGGAAAAAAAGAAACACAAGGAAAAGGTATTTTTTATACTTTTCAAAAAAATAAAATTTAGAAAGAAATTAATTTTTTACTAAATTGTTTCGTCTAAAATAATATAAATGCAAAAACTTATCTCTACAAGTATTTTTCACGTCTATTATTTAAAATATTTTAAATATATTTTTTTTAAAATAAATTTTTTAAAAGCAGGAATTTGTACATCTTATTGATCATTTCATGGATATTGTTTTTAAGAAGCTTTCTTCTGAAGAATTTTCACAGGTTTTTTTTTCTGAATGCATTTCAATTTTTTTGTAAATTTTTGTTTTAAAAAGAAAATTCTTTTACTTATTTTTTTTTAATTGTAGGGCGAAGAGAGAGAAAAGAAGAAGAAGAAAAAATCAAAGGACAAGGAGAAGGAGAAAGATAGGGAAAAATCGGAGAAAAAGAAGAAAAGACGATCGTTACAAAAATCCAAGGACGAGAATCGTGAACGTGATGAACTTGAAGAATTTTTAAACGGTTCGGTAACGAGGGTAAACGTTGATATGGCATATGAGGCCATATGAAAGCGAATTGATATACTTCGTTCGGATTAAAATAAGCTTTTTTCGATGTTCTCTCTCTGTCTCTCTCTCTTTCTCTCTCAAGACTTCTAAAAAAACAACTCATCACTTAAATCGTTAGTAATTTATTGAAAACAAAAAAAAAATATTCTGGACATAGAATTCTCCAAGTTTCGTAATCTAAAAACAAAAAGAATAATTTCCTACCTGGAAAATTGTCTCAAAAATATATTAAAACGTAACAACTCGTAATCAAAATGTATAAAACTCGCGCATTTTAGAAAAGATTTTTTTAAGAAAATTATAATTGTATAAATTTTTATGAATTTTTATTTTCTATAAAAAGAAAACTGCATTTGGAATGTTCAACTTAAAAGAATTGTCATTCTATCTATCTAGAAAAAGAAATTGATTTATTCCAAAAAGAAAAGATTTCGTCTTGATTAAATTTTCAATTAAATATTTATAATTTAATTATTATTGACATTAAAATTTAATCAAAACGAACATTGTTTTTTTTTTGCATAACGCTTAAATGTTAAGCACTTGTTTTTTAAAGCATAATTTTTAAGTTTCAAATAGAGAAATATAAAAAAAGTCTTTCACTTCATTCGTTTTTTATTATTTTCATTTATCACTGTTAACTGAGACTAAAATACTGAAAATAACATTTAACATCGAGTTATTATAATATTGTTCTATTTTTGCCATCTAATTATTTACAAAAAAATGTAATTTGTAAAACATATTCAATACGAATTCATGTTAATAAATGTATATAAACGTATGATTAATTTTTCTCTTAATTTTGAAGTAAGCAATTCTCTTTTTTTTACATAAAAATTATGAAGCAGTAAAAATAATTTAATTAAAAATTTTTCAATTCCAAAATCGACTACCATACTTAAAATTATCTAATTTTGTTATAATTATTTTTTTAAGAAAGAAAAATATATGTTTAAATTAAATTTAATTAGTTTCACTAATACTAGTAACTGAAAATAATATTACTTAAATGAAAAATAGAAGGAAAATAATACAAATTTTTTTTGTACTATTAATCTATCTCATTCACTTTCATGGAAAAATATACAGCCCTTTTAAATAAATTGTTATACAGTAGGCTATAACCCAACACAAATTTGGTGTTATTGTTACATTACTGTTATTTGGTGTTACAATATCAACATATATATCATCTGTTTATATCATTATTTTATATATATAGGAAAAATAAGCAGAATTATTTTTAATTTTACAATATCTATATATATATAATTAAAATGTACAAGACTCTCATCATTCTTTCTTTCTTTTTTTAATAAGCATGAAATTCTTTTTACGATTGTAATTCTGCAAAAAAAAAATTTCTAACAAAATGTTAAAAAAAAAAATTCTGAATCATTTTTCTTTTATGCATTATTTTAATAATAATAATTTATGCAACTATTAATCTATTGTTTTAATGAATTCAATAGCAGAACAAAATTGTGTCCACCGATATTGTTCCTCACCCTGTAAATGATTACCATAGAAACTATCAACATATTGTACTGTCGACAATAATGATGGTGGATTTGCCTAGAAATGAAATTTTTAAAAATAATTAATGTTAATAATTTTCATAAAATGAATTTCTTAAATTTTCCGTAAATAATTTCTTTACCTTTACAATAACGTAAACAAGTACGGGAATTAAATCATCAGCTGCTGGAATTCCTCTTTCTGATGCCATTGACAAAAGACTCATAATTGTTGTTGCACAACGCCAAATGCATTGAAATTTATCACGCGGTGTTTTATATGCGGATATTACGGCCAATTCAGCTTGTGCACATGGCCATGGACATTCATAATGATAAATCTTTGGAATTTTGAAATTTTTATGATTTGGCGTTAAGCCTTTTGATAATTTTTTAATATGATCATTAAGAACTTGATCCCTGCATAAATCACCATCGCCATTTGGATAAAGTGCATTGTAATATATTTGAGCCATCACAATTCTTTCCACAACTATTCTCGCTAATTTCAATTGAGCATTACTGGCAGCTAAAATTTACAACAAACATTTTATTAAACTGAATTTCTATTTAACAGAATATTTATTTTCCTCAATTTTTAATTACCGAGTAAAAAAATGAAAAATGAATGTTTTATTTAGTAGTTATTTGAATTTAGAATATTAAATGTATGTGAAAATGATGAATAATTATAAAATTCAAATATACCTTGCCATATTGAGTCATTTTCCATTTCTGAGTGAATTTTGCCAAGAAAATTTTCCACAAGTTCTAGTTTTTCATCAGGTAAAGAGAGCTTTTTGAATTCCTCGCAGAATCGTGAAAGCAATGTTTCTCTTTTTTCAAGAAAAACTCGCACACAAACTGACACCAAATGACTGTTGACTGCATCACGATCACATTTTACACGTTTTGACAATCTTTTTCGCAAAGAAAAAAGAATTTATTATTAATTTTTCTTTTTTTATTATTAAAATAGAAAAAATACTAAATTTTTAATAAAATGCTTACCGATCTAAATGCGCAACAGTTGACAATAAACCTTGACGACATCGAACAAGATACGCAATATATGGAGATCTTTTTCTATAATCATCTTTTAATGATCTAAACAATTTTCTACAACCATCGTCATTAAATAATCTGACGCATCTCAATGTCTCATGAAGATGTGCAATTAATGCTCTATCTTGTAAATTAATAGCCTCAGCCAATTGCATCTGAAGAAAAGCCACTAATTCATTTTCTTTCTGAGTCCAACCATTTCTCTGAGAAAAAAAGTCCAATATGTTATTTAAATTGTTATTTCTTTTTAAAACAAAAAAAAATTAAATTATTTTTCACCTCCGTTATACTCGTCCATGGAATGTGTTGTAAATCAGCAGTGCTGAGTACCATTCGAAGTTTTCTTTTTGCATCGACAAAAGCAAATGACATTTCAATATTATTAGGATCTATTAATAATCTTTCATCTTCAATTTCTTTTGTTCTCGACTGTGTACTTTCTACAGAAGCTGTATCACTATTTGTACTCGGTTTTCTTCTATATTTTGCTAAAATATCATCCGTACTGTCTGTAGAACAAGAAACAAATTTTAAAAAACGTATTTAACAAAATTTATTTTTTTTTAAATTAAAAACAAACCATTGTGTGCACTAGCTGATGGATCTTCGGACATGATTCTTCTTAGACGATGTCGATTAATATCGACACCATCGGCTCCTGTTTCTCTATCGTAACATCTACTTAAATCATCAGCACCACGTAATGATTTTCCCCTTCTATTTTTCAATGACATTTTCAATTTTCCAAAAAATCCTCTCTTATTTTTTTGATCATCGTCCAATAATTCCTTATCACCTCTTTCGGCGGTCATGTCGAAGCTTATACTTTTCGGTATTGCTCCCGTTGATGTTGATGGTTTCAATGGAGTCGAATTCGTTTGACAATCGTTACCACCATTTAATAGCGATTGAACATTTGACAAATCTGTCATGCATCTACTATTATTTTTTGATCGTGGCTCCGATCCTGAACTACTGCTTGACGTTAAACTCGCGGTACTCAATCTAACAACAACGTCACTCGAATTCCCTCCGGAATAACCATCTAATTCCTGTAAAGGAAATTTAAATTGAATGTAAATTAAATTTTAATTAGATTCAATATTAAAGTGTGATTAATAAATTTACTTCGGTTTTAATATCGCCATTTGACAATTTATCCTGCATTGGACACAAAGTATTATTGGTTGAATTTACTGATGATGAAACTGGTACAAATCCATTAACAGAATTTTGCCGATCTTTGCTACTGTCAAATTGTAATTTATCCATTAAATGTACCAATCTTTCTTCTCCCACCACTTTTCCATAATCCATATTATTATTATTGGAATTAGTGTCTATATAATCAATTGTACTTCGTCTATAATCAATTCTCATTCCTCCTGTTCCTCTAACATTTATATTTGAAGTTGGTGAATGCATTGCTGTTGGTGATGAAAGTACACTCACCGAAGAACTGCCAATTGGATCTTCACGAATTGGTCGAAAAACTGCTGCTGCATTATCTGCTGTATATGAAAAAAAATTAATTAATAAAAAAAACAGCAAATAATTTGAAATACTTACAATTAACAGGTGGTGGCGTTTCTTCACCTCCTTCGGGTTCACCGCGACTTTCTATTTCTGATCTTGCAGTATCGTCCGATCTAAATAGAAATTAAAGATATTAGACAGAAATTATTTTCCCGAATTGCTTTTTTTTAAATTTAGAATTTAAAAAAGTGAGATTAAAACCTTGCAACGCTTGCTGTATCATCAGTATCAACTTCAGTGAGTCTTTCAGAATCACTTGCAAGAACGTCTGTACTCCAGGCTTCCGAAGCAGTTTCGCTAACATCTAATTGTGAACTTTCAACAGGAAGTGAAGGCGGCGGTTGTTCTTGTGGTGGTGGTGGCGGAAATAAAAATCTCTCCTGTTGCTCAACAATTTCACTATCTGACGCTAAAACATCTGTAGACCATGTGTCAGATACTAGTGAAATAGTTTCATCACCTAGAAAAAAAAATTTAAGTATAAAAAAAGAAATTATCACCAATCATCAATTTTTACCTTCAATAAGTTTTTTAATTTCGAATTTGCAAAATTTATCATCAATTTCAGATCGACTTTGTTTTGTCGGCATTGTTGGTGGTGGTAAATCTAATTGTCTCGCTTCACCAGCAACACGACCATCGTCACCTTCGGTTATTTGTGACGATGGCGTATCACGACCCGATATATTTGGTGTTCCTCTTCCTGACACATTTGCTGAAACCATATCTGATAAATTGTCATTTTGATCTTCTGTTTCTAATTCGAGTGACGATGCCACACTATGATTAGAAGCTGCCTCAGAAACTGCTTCCAAATTATCAGATGTGTTTCCAATTGATCCCTCAAATAACACTGAAAATTGTTTTTTTTTTAATATTTAATTTTTGTATTATTTTTAATAATGGTAAAAATAAATAAATACCTTCATCGTGAGATAGAGAGAAACGAGTTCGTTTTTCTTGTGTTTCAATGCGTTCGACACTATTTCCTTCTCTCCCACGATTATTTCGGTTAGACAAATCGTCTGGAAGATTAAACGTGATTGATCCATTTTCCATATTATTTTGCATATCCATACATAAAACCTGTAGAGAGAGAATAGAAGAATAAAAAAGTAATTTAAAATTTTGTTTAAATTAATAATATCGAATTTACATATTTAAAGAGATTTATTGGAATTTATTTAAAAAAAAAAAAAAAAATACCTTTTGTTCGCTAAGTAAACCCACGCATTCGCTCACTGTTGGTCCAAAAGGAATAACGAGAACACCCTGAGCAACTTTATCCATTGATTCATCATCAATTGCAGAAGAACCATTTACATCTTCACTACCATCTGTTGTTGTATTTGACGATGAAGAAGATATACGAATTCCTCTTCCTTTACCTGTCAAAGTAAATTTTACGTTTAAATTAATCGTTTTTTTTACGAAATAATTGAATACTAAAATACTACAAAATTTACCTTTTCCAAGAATTCCCCCACGTTTATTTGGAGTTTCCGGTGAAACATCAGAAATTCGATTGGCATTTGGCATTGACAATGGCAATTGCACCAACATATCATTCAATTGTTTCTGATTATCGAGTATTAATGGTGAAGTTTCATTTTTATTAATCTCATTGTGAACAACTTGTAAAAATGAAATTAATGCATTTAATTCATTTTCCGTGAATAGTGCAGCGGATCTTGATAAACCTTGTAATTTATTTGCATCAATCATTGTTGGTTCATCTTCTAATTCTTCAGTTGCTCCATCCAACATTGTATCAATAATTGACGATACTGAATCTTTTTCAAATCTTTTATACAAATCCATTACTTTACTGTCAATTGTTTGATATTTCATAAGTGAAAGCATTTGTAAAATTTGTCCAACTTGCATTAAATTAAATCTTGCAATATAACTAATTGGCGCATCGGTGATACCATATGGTTCGGGATTAACAATTGCTGGACAAATAAAATATGTAAATACCAAATCGGTGCACATTGCATGAATTTCTTTTTGATCGACATTTCCATTTTTATTTAAAAGCCCAGCCATTTGTCTCACTAACCAAAAAATACTGGTGGGAAAACAATGCATATTCTCACGAATGCTTAAAATAAATCTTTGAGTTATTCTAACAAGAGAATTTATTGTCCACAAACGATAACGTTGTAATTTTGTTTGATATTCAACTGTTCCTTCTTTGCCAAATTTCTTTAAACGTTCAGCCGCTGTTAGACAAATTGAAGCTTTATCCGGATCAATATCAAGTGACATTTCATCTTCCATTAATAATTGCATTATTGGATTGTGTAGTGCGGCTGTTAAAAAGAATTTCGATGAAAATAAACTTTCATGAAAAACAGAATAAAAACTTGAAAATGCACACGTTCCATGACGAAGTAAACGACGTGGATTATCAGATGGTACAACTTGAAGAAGCATTAAATAACGAAGTAACTTTAAAACTAATAATTTATCCTCAGGAAATAAACAACTTCCATAAAGTCCAGCGGCGAGTGATTGTATTATTCCTTGCATTGCTTCAGGTAAAATTTTATCGCCCTCAACAAGACATGATGCCAATAATTTTGGTGATTTTCTCAAACAATTGAGAAATTCACCATAAGCCAAACATGTTTGATATCGAAAATGTTTATAGGCATCAATAAAATGAGAATTTTCTAAAATATTCGCACGATGACAACATGATGCTGGTGTTGAATCGGGGCGTGATACTATTAGATGATTTAAATTCACTCTTTGTTGTGCTGTTACCCATGCTTGTTGCGCCAAATCCGATGAGAGAAACAAAACCTAAACAAAATTTATTTACATTTTTCTATACATTAAAAAAAACCATTTAAGACAAAGAATAAATATTTACATTTTCATTGAGTGATTGTAGATTTTGTTGTTCGGAACTAACAAAAAGACGTTCTTGACGAAGATGTCCTGCTAATTCCATCATATCCCATTGTAACGTCCATAAGGACTCAACACTATTTGCTGAAGACATTACTAAAATATTTTTTAAAAAGTATGTCAAGTATTTCAAATACAGTTTATTACCAACGTATGTATATAAACACACATTACATGACACAAAATTACATATATCTCAAAACTTCAAATATGTACTTTGTCCTATAAAACTTTTGAAAAAAAATCCTTATTTAGATACATTGTTGATAAAATTGTAAATAAATTTCGTCTGTGACATAATTTATAGAAGACATTCCAGTTCCTTATGGAAGGATAATAAGGATTATTTTTCATTTGATCAAAAATGAAAATAAATAAAATTCAATTGAACTCACGTGTATCTTTCTCTCTCTCTCTCTTTTTTTTCTCAAGAAAAACAGAAAACGACTTTTGTTTTGATGTGGCTACACCCCCATTTGACGTGCGCCCATTTTTTCTCAAGGAAGGTTAGATTATTAAAAAAAAAAAATGGAAAAAGAAAACAAGTGTTGATTGTTAACGTAATAAAAATTACAGTTTATGGAAGGGGAATTATCAACAGAACCTTCGACTGTTTATTGTACAATGATTATATGAAATAAATAATTATATACATTCACTTGTTGTGATTGTCTTTATCACATGACAATATCTTTCTTTCCCTTGTATTTAATTTGTGAAAAAGAAAGACAGCACTATTGTCCAGAAATTTTAATTTAAAGGTTTGTTCACAATAAACAAATAAATGTATAAGATCCGAAATGTGAAGAATTTAGTTACAAGGTTGGGAAGTTATTAGTGTTACATTTTGGGGGTTTTTCTAAAATAATCTTATGAATCGACTTTAAATATTTTCCCAGCGGGAAATTCAATTAATTCATAATAGAAAATTTTCGAATGAAAACACAAAAGTAGTTATTTTTATGAAAAAAATAATATCGAGCTATTTGTTGAATAATAAAAAATTTTATTTATAAAGAAAATTATTTATTTACCAAGATAAAAATTGTCATTTCGTAAAAAATAAATGAATCCTCAGAATTCCATTTGTGTATCTGAAAAAGAAAAATGTTTTTACTAATCGTCAATTTTTTTTCAATTTTATAATTAACGTGGAAAATTATTAATTAACATGAAATCAACATACCATTTTGTATTATTTTCTCATCTCGATTAGAATCTTCAAGATTTCTCAGAAATTCAAGAAAAATGTGTAAAGACTTATTCATTGCTGTTTTTTTATAATCTCTAATTTTTCGAACGTTAACTGATTCTTCTTTTTGTCTGGCCAATTCTTTTGCGTCGTAAGCATCAACTTCATTAATAAGCGTTTGAATTGTTGGCACACTATGAGGATCAAAATTATCAACTGTTTTTGGATTAAATGGTACGCATACTTTTGTTGTTTTTGGATGAACGCAGTATGGTGATTTCAATAAATGATTTAAAGCCTTTGACACGTGTATATCTAATCTTGGATATGAATATTGAATCATTATTTCTTCAATTAAATGTCTCGAACGCCATTTTTTTGAACTCTGGATAAAAATATGAAAATTAAAAAATGTATTTTAATTAAAAGACAATGAAAAAAATTACATACCGATTGTAATTGTTTGTTATAATAGTCTTGAAATGCTTCCCATCTTTTTTCACTAGTCGAATGTTTATTGAGTAAATTTCTCACTTCTCCTCTTACTTCTTCTTCTGTGTGAATAATTTCCAAAAATTTTGTTATATTTTCCTCAGTGCCCAACATATTTTGTTCGATGACACACATTGGAATAAATACTGATTTTATAATACCGATAGCACGTCTAAAAATTAGTAAAAATATGTCAAAATATTAAATGATAATATTAAATTATTATTAAAACTTACTCTATTGAATAATGTGTTTTGTGTCGTAACATCACTTTTTTCTTTGCATACGCTCCGCCTCTTATTAATTGTAAATATTCAGCAACTGCGCTTCTTGCAGATGCATTAAGTTTCCTTGCTCTTTTATCGCAAACCCAACAATGAACTCCTCTTCTTCCAGAAAATACCCAGAGAATATGATTAAATCCAAAATCCTCTATTTAGAAAAAAGAAAGTAAATTTTTAATATTTTAATAATAAAAATTTGTTATTTATTAAATGAGAAAAATGAAAGTGTTTACCTCTTAATGAAGAATCAATTACTTTACAAGCTATTGCCATATATTTCCAACATTTACCGCAAATATCAGCACCTGAACAACAAGTTCTCACTTCATCATAATCAGTCATATCAATATCAAAAACAAGTTCTTTTTCCACGGGAAAAAATTTCGTATCATATTTATGTTCTGTTGGCCTAAAATAAAAATTCACCATTAATTATGTCTGTTTTAATAAATTGTAATAAGAAAAATACTCACGGAACATTGTAAATAGCTCCAATATCAATTTTGTGTGGATTTAATCTTTTCATTTCAGTCATGAGTTGATTTAAATTTTTGAATGCCTGAAATCTAATATAAACATCGTCTTCAACAGTAAATGAAAATTCTCTACGTGAAAATAAATTGCCTGAAAAAAAATATTAATAAACTTATAGAGGTTCTTTTTTCTTAAAACATTTTTTTAAAATAATACATACCATTGCCGTAACTTAACCACCGGTAATATTCATTGTAGGGAAAAAGTCGTTGATAATAAACTCTCAATAAATCTGGTAAATTACTTGCCATTTTCACTTATAAATAATAAAAAATTTACAATATTTGGATATATAAAATAATAAATAAGTTCAGAGAAATAAAAACTCAAATGCAAACAAGGAAAATATTTATCTTCGCCATTGTTGTATTATGGCCATTGTTAATTTTTCAATAGGCGGGAAAAAACAGTTGTCAAATGACCCACCAATCAGAAACTCGAGAAACTAGTTTCTTTCTTTAGTAAATGTCCTCTAATTGGTTGATGTGTCAAATAGTTGTAATATTCCCAACCCTGTTGTTTTCAATCAGCTGTTTGTTGAAATTGGCGGGAAATAAACATTAAGTTACAATCCACATGTTTTTTAGAAGTTTTAACAGCCAATCAGAATTAGCGAAATCTAATATTTCGCACGGCGGGAATAATTATGTGTTTGGCAATCTATTGTATTTTTTTTGTTCATTTGATAATAATAAACGTGTATACGATCCATATTTATTTACATCATAATAAATAAAAATACAATACATTAATTAATAAGATATGTAAAAAGGAAATAATTAAAAAAACAAATAGAAAATACATGAATATAGTGGAGAAACAAATATTTGAAGAATTTTGGTTATGTAAATGTCTAAAGTATATAATTTATTAACTTTATTCTTTTAATATTCCTTTAATATAACATTTTTACTATTATTATTTGTCATATTTTATTTTTAATAATAATTTATTTATTAATTTATTTACTAATGAATTATTATTGTAGGAACTTTTATAATTTATTGCAAGAAAATGTCAGGGACCAAAATGTTTAACGGTGTTAATGCATCGAGAGGATGGAGTAAAGGTGGACGTGGTGGTCGTGGAGGAGGACGAGGACGAGGAGGTGCTCATCCTCCATGGCTTAAGGGAAAAGATATTGGTCTCTATTATAGAGATAGAGCGAAAATTATTGCTGAAACTAGAGAGGAGAATGCAAAGATTCTTCAATTAAATCCAAGCACAGAAAAACGTATTTCAACATTGATGGATTTTCGTAAAAGTGGTGATAAATTATTTAATAGAGATTTAAATAGACCATCATTTACCGGAAATGAGAATAAATTCGAAGATATGTATACACATATAAATGATTCTCAATTTAAGAGAAAATTTCTCAATATTGTCTCAGGCAATATACAAGAAAATCTCATGAATTCATTACGTATTAAATCAAAATTAGAAAGGAATAATGTTCTTGATGAACAATTTTATGAAGATTATCAAGAAATGTTAAATTCAAGAGAATATTTAAATATGCTAAAATTTCGTGCACTATTGCCTGCTTATAATAGAAAACAAGAAATTTTAGATCTTTTAAAATATAATCAAGTGATGCTTATAAGCGGAGAAACAGGTACATTTCTTTTTTCTTTAAATAAAATTTTATTTAATTTTAATAAACATTATTTGTCAAATAGGTTGTGGTAAAACAACACAAGTGGCGCAATTTATACTCGATAATGAATTGTTGCAAAAAAATGGCAGTATCACGAAAATAATTTGCACACAACCAAGACGAATTAGTGCAATATCAATAGCTGAGAGAGTTGCTGCCGAAAGAGGTGAATCATTGGGAAATTCAATTGGTTATCAAATTCGTCTCGAAAAGTAATTATTTTTTATTTACAATTTATTTTTTTCAATTATTAAATTTAATTTAATTTTAGAGTTCTGAGTCGAAAGCAAGGATGTATTATGTTTTCGACAACTGGAATTTTGCTACAATTTATGCAAAGCGATCCTGCTTTAACGGATATTTCACATATAATTTTAGATGAAATTCACGAAAGGAGTATTGAAAGTGATTTTATTATTGCTTTACTTAAGCAAGTGATTCCAAAGGTAGTTGTTTTAAATATTTAAACTTTTTTAAATTATCAGAAATAGTCAAATGGTAATTATTATATTTTAAGAGGCCTGATTTGAAAGTCATCCTCATGAGTGCAACTTTAAATAGTGACAAATTTTCCAAATATTATGGAGATTGTCCAACAATACATATTCCTGGTTTTACATATCCTGTGGAAGAATTTTATCTGGAGGACGCGATATTATTTACACGGTAAATTATTACTATTTTTTCTTATTATCAAATGCAATTGAAATAATAAAATATTTTCTCAGATTTCAGTTTCCAAATGAAACAAAAACAAACGAGAGACAAAAACATTATAAAAAATTTATGAAGAAGCACAAGTTTCAAGATAAAGTTAATGATCAATATTCGTCACTTATTGACCCTTACTTACGTCATCTTCAAGCTCAAGTAATTTATTTTCTCTAATTTATTATTTATTCTTAATTAATTAGTAAAAAAAAAATGTTTTTTCTTCATGCAGAGAAAATATCCACAATTTGTAATTGACGAATTAAAAAATCCAAAATGTGAAGAACTTTCTCTTGAACTTATTGAACAATTAGTGGCTTATATATGTTCAACACAAGGACCTGGAGCAATACTTATTTTTCTTCCTGGTGTAATGGATATTACAAAATTACACAGAATGATGACTGAAAGTTATCGATATCCAAGAGGTAATTTATTTATATTTTTGATATAGAATAAAAATATAATTTGCAGGAAGAAAATTTAATTTAATTTTACGAAAAAAAAATTTATTCTTACAGACAAGTATATTATATATCCACTACATTCTCGAATGCCAACGGTTGATCAAAAATTAATATTTGATGTACCACGATATGGAGTTCGAAAAATAATCATCTCAACGTCAATAGCTGAAACATCAATAACAATCAATGATGTCGTTTATGTTATTGATTGTGGAAAAACGAAACTTTCACGATTTGATGTTGAAAATAATATACAAACTTTATTACCCGAATGGGAAACAATTGCAAATGCCCAACAAAGACGAGGACGTGCCGGAAGGTAAAAAAATCCATTAAATTATTTAATTTAATAAAATACTGCAAATTTTCTCGAATATTTATTTAATTTTATTATAGTATTTTTATTAATTAATTATTTAAAATGTTAATATTTTATTTATTATATAATTACAGAGTGAAACCCGGTATTTGTTATCATTTATATTCAAAAGCCCGAGAAAATACATTTGATCATTATCCATTGCCAGAAATGTTACGCTCACGCTTAGAGGAAGTTATTTTACAAATTAAAATATTACAATTGGGAAAAGCAAGCGATTTTCTTACTAGTGTGATAGATCCACCTGATCCTAAGGCTATTGATATATCGCTGGATTTATTAAGACAATTAAATGCTCTCGATGCAAATGAACGTTTAACACCTCTCGGTTATCATTTAGCTCAATTACCTTTGGATCCTAGAACCGGTAATTAAAAATTATTTTCTGTCAAAGTTATAATTATTTACTTTAATAAATTGATTATTAAATTTAATAAATCAAAATTGTAATTAACTGATTATTTCCTTATAGGTAAAATGATTATTTGGGCATCACTTTTCTCTTGTATTGATCCAGTATTTTCCATAGCGGCAAGTTTATCATTTAAAGACGCATTTTATTGCCCTCTTAATAAGGAAGAAGAAGCGCGCAATAAAAAACTTGAACTTGGAATGGGACAATTTAGCGATCATATTGCACTTGCCGAGGCGTTAAAACGTTATGAATTAAATAATCATCGTCGACAACAGAGTTCATCGTTTTGTCGTGAATATTTTCTATCACAAAATACACTTCAACTATTGTCTGAAATGAAAAAACAATTTGCACGTTATATGAATGAAATGAAATTTTTACAAAATGACAATTTACATGATATTAATGCAAATAGAAATTCTAATAATTTATCACTTATTAAGGCAATTGTTTGCGCTGGATTATATCCAAACATTGCAATTGTCAAGTAATTCCTTTTTTTATTGCATTTTATTTTATAATTATTATTAATTTCTTTATTTATTATTGTTATTAATTTTTCACAGAGGAATTACGAAACATAATGTTAAAGTCTTTACACCTGAGGATGGAAAAGTGAAAATACATCCTTCGAGTATAAATGAAAAAATTCGAACTATGCCAAGTACATATTTGATTTATTTTTTGAAAAAACGATCGACTGCAATTTATTTGCACGATACAACATTTGTCAGTTCATGGGCTTTATTATTTGCCAATTCCAATAGATTATCAGGTTTGTCTTTAAAATGATTTATTTAAAATTTATTTAAAACTATTTATTTATTTATTTTCAATTTTCAGAGTCCCATGGGAATAAAAGTGTCGTGACAGTAACGAATTCATTAAAATTCTCTTGCGAATCAAGTACAGCTGGAATTATTCAAGTAACTATTTATTTAAATAGATAATCTATTATTGAAATATTTGTTAATTAATTGTTAATTCTAGAAATTACGTGAACAATTAGAAGCACTTTTGGAGCACAAAATAAATCATCCAGGAACTGTTGATTGGAAGGGACAAGAGGGACGAATTATTAGGTAAATTACAAAAAAAAATGTTAATTGTAAAAAAAAAATTTTGCTAGTATATTTTACAACAAATAATTTTTTTTCAGTGCAATTATTGAACTTTTATCCCAAGGAGAAGAGGATATGGGATTACATTCAGGAATATATCATCAACTAGATGAAAATCAAATAGATGATGATGATTCCGATTAGTACAATTTTATTCTGAACGAAAAAAAAACAGAACTGCCATTTAATAAAGACAAGTAAATTTTGTTGATAAAAAAAGCATTACTATTTATAAAACAATTGTCAATATTTATTGTAATATTTTAAAAAGCAGATAAATAGAAAAATTATTTGATTCTTAAAATTAGTTATTTTTATTATTAAATAATAAATAAATGTTTTTTTAAAATTCAAAGATTTAAATTTGCCCCGCGGTAAAGAAAGAAATTTTTGTTTGATTTTATTCCCAGGAAACCTTCTAGCCAATCACGAAGCACGTGATGTCCACGTATGTATTGTACTTTATGCTGATATTCCTAACCTATAATTTTGATAGTGCAATCGTGCAAGTTGTCAACAATTAATACTAATTTAAAATATAGTTTAAAAAAAATTGTATAATTGTATTAAGTCTTAATTTTAATCATGTCTTATCAATTATACAGAAATACAACATTGGGAAATACATTACAAGAAAGTCTAGACGAATTAATTCAGGTAAATTGTATCTAATGAACATTTAAAAAACAAAATTTTCTTAAAAAATTGCTTACCTTGAATGTAACAATTATTGTTTATTAATTATTTTTCAGTATGGACAAATTACACCACAGCTTGCAATTAAAGTATTATTACAATTTGACAAAGCTATTAATCAGGCACTTGCAACTCGAGTTAAATCAAGGCTTACGTTCAAGGTATTAGGTCCACGTATATTAATTTACATTTAATTAATAATTAAGAAATTTTTATTAATATTTAAAAAAAAATATATATATATATATATATATATAAGAAAAAAACGTTTCGATTTTAGGCTGGAAAATTAAATACGTACAGATTTTGTGACAATGTGTGGACATTTATGTTAAATGATGTTGAATTTCGAGAAGTACAAGAAGTGGCCATTGTTGATAAAGTTAAAATAGTTGCTTGTGATGGAAAAAGTAAGTTAATTTTTTCCCTGGAAATTATCATAATAATTATTAATTATTAACAACATTCATATTTTTTTACAGCATTGGACGCGGATGCAGCTCAAAAACGATAATATATATTTTGACAATTTTTACATTAAACTAATTTTCCATGTAAATTTTTACATATATTTACTATTTGAAAGAATTTTTCGATAAAAAAAAATGAATTGTATTTCAATATAATATATGTGCCAAAAAGAGTTTTTAAAAATTTGCTAATTGATAGTTTTTCTTCTGAAAAAAATAAATAAGTGTTAAATTTACATTTTGTACAAAATTAATGTTTCTTAATCAAAAGTTTAAATTAAAAATTTTTTGACAACTTTAAAAGTTAAAGGAAATAATTTAAAACAATGAAGAAAGAAATTCTGGACAATTTCAGGTTAGTAAAATACATTATATATATATAATAACAAAAATCAGTTTTCAATATTTATTCAAATATATTAAGTGAAAAATATGTTTGTTTTTTTGTCGCAAATAATGTACAATAAATATACAACAGAGACTTTTAAAACGTTGGTGGATTTAAAATAAATAATCGTTCCTCTTCTTTTTTTATCCATTTTAACATTTTACTAATTGCATTAATTGCATCGGGTTTTGTAACTAGAGGACCAAATGTCGCATAAAGTTCGAAACCTGATGTAACCTATAAATTTACAAATGATTTTTTTGTAAAAGTTTTTGAAAATTATATTATCTAAACAAAAAAAATGAAACTTACCCACGCCAGCATAGTCTCTTTGTCAAATTGTTGAAATATCAGTTTTAAAGGGCGGCTAGATGTGTGTAATCGATGATGTAAACATTGATAAGAACCAAGTAGCCTAAAAAAAAATTTTATCGATTTAGATCGAAACTTTTTTCTATTTTATTTTAAAAAAAAATAAAATTGTTTTTAACCTTTCAATTTCCTCGTCAGAATTGTAAGGAGGTTGAAAACCAGGACTCCAAAATTGTGCCGTTGTTCTACATTTATATAAAATATGACGTATTTCAGGTAAACCAATTTCAACAGTCGTTATTGACATTTTATTCATCGATTCATTAATAGCTTCTAAACAATTTGTTCTCCGTAATTTTTCCATTATTTTCTAAAGAAAAAATTGAATTATTTTTCTTTTTAAATTTCCATTTTTATAATAATAAAAAAATACTCACTTTTTTCGCTTCCGATAATGTAAAAAATACATCTCTATCTACAGTTAACAATAATAAACATGCCTGACAATCTTCGGATAAATATGATACATGACCGTGCATAAAACCATTGGCATCAAATTTTGGTAAACAAATTGGTGTCCAACTCTCAGCTGTTTTAAATGATTCCGAACTACTAACTAAATTTTGTATCAAATGTAAATCGGCAGGATGAATAAAACATTTTTTCATTCTCACTAATGTCACCAATTGATTATTCGCTAAAAGAATTGCAAACACTAAATCCTGAAAAATGAACAAAAAAATTAATAACAAATATAAATTTCAAAAAACAAAAAAGAAAACTTACTTTAATTTTTCCACAAATTTGTATAATTGTTTGTGTTATTAAATCTCTTATTGATGGTAATAATGGTAAACATTTGACAGCACCTAAGAAAAATGCCGGCTCTCTATCCATGAAATTTAATAAATGATCTATTAATCTCTCGCTACCTGTTAAAAGTCGTCTTAAATCAAAATTTCTCCTTTGATCATAGACTTTTGTTAATTGTTTTTGTGTCAATACTGAAAGTATTTGATTATAAACATATCTGTGAAAAAAAATTAATCTTGTCAAATTAAAGCGAAAAAATAGTTGAAAAACTAAAATTAACTTACGTTAATTGTAAAACAACTTGTGATACACTTTCTAGTGTTTTTGACACAGCAACTAATATCAATGGTCCTTTAGTGGCAAAAACAAAACATGTATCTCCGGCATGTACCGATCTAATCATATCGTCACTTGCTTGAACAAATGAAACTAAAGCTTGCATTACTCCCATAACAGTGACTAATTTATCCTCTGAACTATAACGTGAATAAATTGGCTTTCCAGCTTGGCTCAAAACAAATATATGTTTTTTACGCGAAAGCCATACTTTACAACGCAAAGGATCAATAGTTTCGATACAATTTTGTCCCAATTGTTGAGTAATATCCTCCTTAAATAATTCAAAATTTCATTTTTACAATTACAAGTCATTAATTATAAGAAATAATATTTTTAACAAGATTGAAAATCAATTTTGATTGAACTTACACATGAATTATCCTTACTGTCTTTTTCAAGTGTTTTAATTTTATTTGTTGATTGTTCATTGCTTTGTGCTTCATTTTTATTGCCACTTGTCATTCCTTCATAATCTTCATAATTTTCTGTTGTAACTAACATTGTTTCCGAGGATGCACCAGGTCTTATCTCACAATCCATGTTATCAGAAATGACATTCTCAAATTTCTTTGTAGCCATTGCACAAAAAAGTATAGACAAAACAAAAAAAAACTTACACTTGTTCCTTCATTATTTTCACAAATATTTCTCACTAATATTTTAACAATAGAACTAAATATTTTTGTTTCATTTATTTATATTTATTATAAAAATGTTATCACTCATTGAAGGTTAGGTTTCTTTTTTTTGCAGTATTTCTGCGTTTCGCGTTCTGTTAATTTTTCTTCTAATTGTATTAATTTTAATGTAATTATAATTTTACACAGTCATTTTTATTATATTATTATATATTAATTAAAAATGACAGGTGACAGTAAAACTGTAAAAAAAATACAATGTGGGTGGGAATTTCCAGCTGTCAAATTTTTTATGCCAGATGATTGGAGTAAGAGAAAAATAATCCTCAAATCAGAAACAAGTATTTTGCAATAATCTAAGAAGTGAATAGGGCATTATGTTTCGCGCTCATTTTTCAAAAAAAAGAAAACTGCAGATATTTTAACAAACGTACAAATTTATTTTATATCTTTAAAAATATTTCACATATATATAAATATATTAAACGTAATATTTCGTAGTCAAAAATTTAACATTCTAATAAAATGCATCAATTTATAATCCGCAGTCTATTTATGAAATATCACATTTTTGATAAAACTGGTTTTTGACCAACTCCATTAGCTAAATTAAAAACTGCAACTCCGACTTGAACTGCAAGTTTTTCAACATCTGCCTTATTTTCACATTCGGCGTAAACTCTCACTATATCTTCAGTGCCAGATGGTCTGCCAAGAGAAAATTAAGCGAAATTTATTTAATAATTAAATAACAATTTCCTAATAATTTTAGTACAATTAGTGATTTAAATTAAATTGATTTTTATTAAATAATTAATTACCGAACAAATGAACGTCCTTTCGAATATCGCATCACCAATTGATCAATTGTTGTCTGTAAACCTTCAGGTAAAACACATTTTCGTTCAGCGTCCATGGTTGTTATTGCATTTCTATCCAGAACCTTGACTTTTAATTGTTTATTCGGTAAATCCCGATAACTTTGTTCCCAATCGTTTAAATTCCATTTTTTCGCGTGCAAAATTGTTTCAACCAATAACATGTCACTTAATGCATCGCCCACCGTTTGATTAATAACATCAATAACTTGAGATAATTTTTTCGCAGCTTCTCTTTTATTTTCGGAAAGACTATAAATTGAAAGAATGTTAAATTAAAATTTTTTTTTATTTTATTAGAAAAAAAAACTTACCTTTCATTCTTTGCAGCTTGTCGAATTAATTCAGTTGCAGAATCTTTAAAAACAATAGTCCCATGACCATTAGCTTCAAAATAGATTCCAATATCAAATTCCAATGCTTTATGATGTAAATGTTTTACACCAGTTGGTACACAAGCGACAGGAATTTTCTAAAATTTTTATAAAATTTAACTATTTTTATTGTGATAATATTTATAATTATTTTGTAAAAATTACCAATTTATTTGTGATATAATCAGTGGATCCACCGTTTGCATAGGCAGTTTGTACTAAACCAACATTTAGAATCAATTGACTTTCCAAAAGTAATTCTTTAAAATATTCGGCTATCAAAGTTGCAATTCGATCTCCATCAAGAAGATGAAATTTATTCTCCTCATCAGTATAGTAATAAACAATTCTATCCGCATCTCCGTCTATCGAAACACATCTCATATTTGATATCACGGGCAGATTAGAAGGTGGACATTGTTCAATTTTTACATAATCTGCTCCACACTGAAAAAATTTATTAATCATTTTCTGCTAATTTTGAAAGAAAACAAATAATATTAAAAATTCTCCAAAACAAACTTTATGATTCAATTGTCCATTTCCATTGTTATAAACATCAATATCGATAAATCCATTCAAGTGCTCTTGAAATTGTTTAACAGCTAAAGCACCAACACCATTTGCAGCGTCTAATTGTAATTTTCCAAAGTAATTTCCATTGTCAGTTCGATTTCCTCTAATATTCTTAAATGCGACACTTAATTTCTGATAATATCCAAAAAGACTGGGATCACCGTAACTACCATTTGCATTTGTCGAAGCAACAAGATAGTGTAATTGTGGTGTGGTGACAATTTCAAAATCCTTTAATGTTGCTTGACAGGCATTTATTCCTTGAATTGCCGACATTGCTAATTGAGGACTACTTATTCTCGTGTCTCTTCCAAGAATTACAGTCGCTGGTAATGTTTCATTAATATCAAGTTCTTTAATTATTTTCTTCAATTGTGGCACCAATTCTCTATCATCAATATTCACCAAATCTGTCGCTATTTTCTCCCACGAACTTTCCAACATTTCACCCGATGGATCGACTAATTTTAATCCATTATCATTTTCTGGATTATGACTCGCTGTTATCATTATTCCAATGGCGGCTGTTAAATTTAAAATATTAATAATCCGCATACAAAAACATAATTATTTTTTTATCTCCATTGTTTCATTTTGTTTTTTGTAAATATAGAAAATAAAAAAAAATTACCATTCTTTTTCTTGGAACGTAAAACAGATAAAATTCCCATTGTAAATGCAACATGATCCAACAATTCTGCTCTAAAAAGAAAATAATAAAGTTCATTTTTACAATTTATAAATATGAATAATTACCTTGTTCGAAAACCAGCTGTTCCATAAAGAATTATTTCTCCAGGTTTTGGAAATTTTGTTAACCTAAGTGTTTCAATGAGTTCGTAATTTATATATTGTTCATTTTTAACTTGTACTTTATTTCCATTCATTTTCAAAGAAGAAATAACGAAATTTCATACAAAATAATAGAATTTATTTTTTAAAAAAACTTATGTTTACACTTGTTGTGCATGTAAAAAGTGACAGGTGCCAACAGGACATTTAAATCGAAAAATTATACCTAAAGGCGCACTTACAACGAAATTTTTTAACTTTACACGTCTACCAACTTTATATTTTAAATTTATTTGAATTTAAAAATAATATAAAAGTAATGGAAAAACAGTTTACACTAAACGTTCATTATTTATAATATTTTCTAATAAACATTTTGCATATTTTATAGATTATTTTTAATATATAACAAAATAAATTCGCTATGGATTTATGATATTCTTCATGAAACATTTAAGTCGTGTTTCTTGATTAGATTTCCATTCAGATTTTTCATCAGACTTCGTTAATTTTCGTTGTTTTCCCATTATATCAACTTCAATTTGAACATTTGAAATTTCTCTTTCCTTAGGTTCTTTAATATATTTATTAATCTCAGCTTTAGCACTTTCTAAAAAATAATAAAGAAAAGTAAAAAATTATTTAAATTTAAAAAAAAATAAATAAATAAAGTAAATATACTCACCGAAATTTTCAGGATAATCCAACTCAAAGATTGTTTCAACTTGATGTATAAATAAACATAATGTGAGTGGCATCACAGATCTTTTTGCAATATACATATATTCATTACTCATTAAATGACAAAAAAATTCAATTCCCTTTATTGCAATTGCTTTTTGTTTTCTCTTTAATTTAAACCAAAACTCTTTTTCACACATTTTTGAAATTTCGTTCGTTGAAATTGTTAGATTTTGAAAATTTATATTTAAATTGTCAACATTTATTTCCATACACTTATTAAGTGATTTAACGGCAAAATCAATTAATAATGAACAACATTTGCATGAATTTAATTGACCACGTCTCCATGGAAATGCATTAGTGGGACGAATTTTTTCTATAAATGAAACAATTGCATACGTTGTATTCATCAATACAATTGGATCATTTATTAATTTATTTATTTGTGAAATGAAAATTTCAATTATGCATGTGTCTGATCCAATTTCAAAAAACCAATCATCAATGTTTGAACTAACAACTGAATGATCTGTAAAATAATAAAATTTCTATGAATTATTTTTAAACAAAATTTTATTAAAAAAAAAATTTCATACCTGGACCAAAGCAAAGTTTTTCATTAAATTCTTTACAATTGGCGAATGTCATCATCATTTCACTTACTGCTGGGATATTTTCAACCAATGGTCTAGAAAAAACTATTTCTCGAAAGATCTTGTAAATATAATCCAATCTGAAAGATTTATTCAAAGAAGTCCCACAAAAATTTATAAAATAAAAAAAAATTAATTACCCAATTGAACAGAATCCTACAATTTGTTGTGCATTATTCAATGTTAAAATAATGGCATTAATAGCTCCACAAAATTGATGTGCATTTCTCTGAAATTAAAAAAAAATTTTATATTTTTCAGCTATGATTAATATGAAAATATAAATATTAAAGAATCTTACTGTTAATCCCATTATTGTCACAAATTGTAAAATCATTTCTAAAAATTCAAAATCAGAATCTTTTTTGCTCCAAGAATTATAAGATTTAAATTGTTCAATATAATTTTTATAAAAACAATCATCATTGATTTTCAATCTTTTTTTACCAGTTATATATTCACCTAAATAAGTTGAAAATGCAACAATATGAGCAATAACTGCAATCGATCTTCTCGCTTCAATTGCTCTCTCTTTGTCAAATAATTTTTTTGCACTAAAAATATTATCAATATTTGAAATTTTAATTGTACTATATTTTGAAAGATAAAAATCATTCATATCTCTTATATCATCATTTGTCATAACATCGAAAATTTTTTTAAGTGACATTGTGATATTTAATAAGAGTTCTCTTGCTGTTGCAGTGATCTAAAAAAAAATATTATAAAAATTTTTTAAATTTAATTTTGACAAAGAAAAATGATACCTACTATATTGATTATGGGCAAACTTTCACTTGAATTAATTTCTTCCATTGTTTTATATAATATTCTATTTAAATTCGCCAAAAAAAATTGTACATTCAATTCCTTATTATCCACGATTGTCACAATTGGCTTAACCGCTTCTGTATTTTCTATATAAAATAAAATTTCACTTTCAATAAAAAAAAACAAATCTTGACATAAAAAATATTAAATAACTCAGTATTTAATTAGGTAAAATAATATATTTACCAAAAACTCTTAAATTATCAGTCTCTTGTAAAATTGGCAAATTTCCTTTTCCAATTTTTTCAATTACATGTATATCAATTATTGGCAATTCTGGTTCAGATCTTTCGAATATAGATTCGGGAATTCGTTTCAGTGGATAAACTGCAATTATCAATTTAATATTATTCTATATTTATATTATTATTAATTTTCTACTTACGAGTGGTAGAATTCTTCGATTCATAATTCGTATTATTTACGACTTCCATTTGAGTTGCAGCTTCCTTATATATTACTTTAACAGATGGACTTTTTTTATAACTAAAAAATTAAAAATTGTTTTCAACTTAAAGTTTGAAATTATATTTTAAAAACCAAAATCTTTTACAAATCTCACCTATTTATTGATATATTTCTTTTTGATAAATCAAGATTTGCTGATTGAGGTTCTATAAATTTTACCGAACCTTTCTGGAGTATTTTTGTCTTGTCCTTTAAACTATTCATCTCTAATGTCTGTAAAATTAAACAAATTTTTATACAGAAAAAGTAAAAAGAAACCAATTTCACGATAAATTTACCTTTAAGTTCAATTGTGTAGTAATATTATCATTTTCTTTCTTTAAAGCCTTTATTTGTGTCTTATGATTATTTTCTTGTTCCTTAATTAATTTATTTAATTCAAATGTATCATTTAATGATTTTTGTTGTGCTGCTGTTAATTGTCTTCTTAAAAAAATTACTTCACCCTCCCTTGTCATAACATTAGCTTCTAGTTTCATTTTTTCTTTTTTTAATTTTTCAATTTGATCCAGTTCTGAATCGTCTTAAAGAAAAAAAAAAACGCTAAGTGAAAAGAAAAATAAAATCAATGAAATTAAAAGTCAAATAATTACCAGGTACAAGAACAATTGAATTTTGAGATAAAAGTGTTGAATTCATATTATTTTCATTAAGTAGTTTCGTTCTGAAATCTCTAAAATTTATTTCAGATGTTTGACTGAACGGTGTAATGTTATTAATTGATGGATCAGTTTTCTTTTGATTATCATTTATCTTCAAATCGTGAATTTGTTTTGTTTCTAAAATAGATCCTCTAGATTCCTTAGTTTTTGGTTTAAATGTGCTTGTCGTTTTTTGATGATTATTTAAATTTGTCGAAGAATTACTTGGAAAAATAATAGTTGGACTTGTTCTTGGAGTTGGTACATGAGTTTTTAAGCCAAAAGAAGGAACACTCCATGCACTTGTACTAGGTTTTGTTATATTTTTTGAAACTTTTTCTCCTCCATCAATACTCTCATTGGATACATTAACCATCTAAAATAAACAAATTTTTAAAAATGTGTATTTTCAATGTAAAATAAAAAAACTAACTTGACTTAATGCTTGAGATGCAACATGATCAATTTTTTCCAGATCTTCCTCTGGAAAATCATCGCCCCAGATATCATCTTGCTTATTTTTACTTGTTGATTGTCTATTATTGTTAGTTTTTACTCCACTTTCAATTGTTATACTAAGTTTTTGCTTTTTCGATGGTGAATAATAGTTATGTTTAGAATCTTTTGAATTTCTTTTTGACATTTTCCTATAAAAAAAACTTTACACATTATTATCTTTTTTTAATAAATTTAAACTATATTCGTTGATTTTTTTTACTTCAACTGATGGAAATTATTTTTTATTATTATAGAACAATACTTTTAATAATACCTGTTGTTTAAAAATATTTGTTTTTAAATTTCTCGCCAGAATGTCAATAGACAGCAACAATGTGAAGTCAAACGCATAACAAATTTTAAGGTTATATTTTTGTGAAAACTGTTTCATTCAAATCTTTCAATTGCATTAGTATTCCTTTTATCTGTCACTAAACATATTATGAATTATAAATTATTTATTAAAAATTGGATGAAATCACAAAAAAAATACATATAATCAACGTTTAATTTAAATATTGTTTATAATTAAAGTTTTTGATACAGAAACATCACGAACATTGTAATAAACAGGAATTGCCAACTTAAGAATAATAAATTCTAAAGGTGCGTCCATTCACCGAGTTTTAAATTTTTCTCATGAAAATGTGACCAATGACTATGAATTTAAAGTTAAACGCCTGTCAAAACCGTTAACAAACACGCAAGGGAAGCCAAAGGGCTCAAAGAGCTCTTGTTTTAAATATATCTCTTAAATAATATTAATATAATGTTATTCATGTGTTTTATATTAAAAAAATAATAATCTTTAAATATTTTCATTAAATACATTATTAGCGTCTAGGAGAAACTCAATTTTCAGTCATGTTTTTTCAAGTAAGTTTCCATCAAATTTTTCTAGTTGTAGATTGATTGTTTATTTTTATTTATTAGATGAATTGTTTGTTGTACTATTGCCAAATTTTGTAACTTTTATGATTTTTTGTTGTTTTATTTTTATACATTACATTTTTCAATATGTTTGTATTCATTATTTATATTTTTCAACATGCTATTCATTTTCAATTCTTTATTTATCCTTTTTTATTTAGATTTGTAATAATTTTTAAAAATATTTACAGATAAATGTCACTCCTAAAGAAAAGAAGACTGAGTCTTCTAAAGGGGTTGATGCTAAACAAATTAAAGATTTTTATATAACTTTGGCTCCATTTCAACCACAGACGCGAATTTCTATGGAAACACCAATAAATACTCAAGTAGAATATTTTTTACATATTAAAAATACTGGAAATCGTTCATTAAATGTAAGTACAATCAAAAACATATTTTCATTTATTACTATTTTTTACTAATAATGTACATCTTTCCATTTTTTTTTCGGTTTAAGGTAAACGTAACAAAAAGACCTCCACCAGAACGAAACGTGGATCTCAATTTCACCAGTGCAATGATAGAGGCAAACAATGAAGTCAATTTAGAAATAACTTGGTCTCCTTCAGAAGCTGGTTCTTGGCGTGAAGTTCTGCAATTAACCGATGGACGACGTGTAAAATATGAAATTCCACTTGTAATGCAGTGTCAAGATTTACGAAAAAAAGATTCAAAATTACAACGAAACGTGAGAAAACCACTTATTTCAAAATCAAATACAACACAACAATTGTATTCATCAAAAAATATTGTTCGTCAAAAAGAATCTGATAAATATCAAATTCAACCAAGATCAAAAAGAACAAGAATCGATACATATCACGATGAGCCCGATAAGGAAAATATGAAAACAAAAATTAATAACGAAAATGAATCAATAGTAAAAAAACAACGTAAAGAAATTTTAAATGCCACTTCAATAATTTCCACCGATTCTTTTGTATTAACACCAGTGAAATTCAACAAAGATAAATTTTCATTAACAAATATTTCAGAAAATGTGAAATATTCTAAAACATTGGAAAAAAAGAAAGATTATAATTTTTCACCGCAAGAAAATTTTCTCTTAATGGAAGAACGTATTGAAATGAAAACATTGAGACGTGAAACATATGTGAAAACACCGAATCGTCGAAATTTATTAACAATTGATGAAAAAAGTGAAATTTTTGACGATTCTTTATCGCCAGCTGAGGAGAAATTTGATTTTTCTCATTTAATCGATAATATCAATTTTACGCCAAGATTTTCTGTTTCACCAGAGAATTCAGTTTTTGAATTTTTTCCAAATAGTTCCATTGAAAAGAAAGCAAATAGAACATTTGAAATTGTTGAGGAAAATGATAAGGAAAAAATTATACTTCCACCATCGCCAAAGAGAAAAGTATCAACATTTTTAAAACCAACTCGACTTGCAAATAATTTCGATGCATTAACACCAATAACACCGGCGCCACAACGTAAAGTTGAATTTGCCTCATCGTCACTTATTTCAATGGACTGTTCAAATTTTGCCGAAACACCACGAAGAGTCGCCAATATTTCATATCGTGATTTAGACACAAGTACAGTGAAAGAAATTCTTGAAGCCGACATGTGGATAAAACCAGAAAATATTGTTCCAGTTCGTCGTGAAAAAAGAAAGGAAATTTTAAACGATACTTTTGAATTAACTGAATCAAAGTCTTTTCATTTGGAAATTTCACCACCAAAAGCGATAAATTCAAAAGCTTCGTGTATTTTGGAAATTTCACCACCAAAAGCAGGAAAATTTGCCAATAAATCAATGATTGATAAAATAAAAAGAATATCACCGACAAAAAGTGGTAAAGTATTAAAGAAAAAGCAAATTTGCAATTCGTTTAAAAATTCAATACCAGGTGTAAGAATATCAAATCTTTCTCTCGCTGGTATTAGTAGAAAAAAAATGAATCAATCATTAAATGTTTTAAAAGAAACAAGCGTCAAATTACACGATCCAAATGATTTTGTCACAAAATTTTGTAATCCTGATCCATTTGCAGCGACAATGACTGAGGATCCATTTCTTTCTTCAACACTCTACTATGATGAAAAATGGGTTTATCATCAGGAATTAGAATTCAAAAAATGGCTCAACGCACTAATGACACCGCCAGAGCATTTAAATACCGATGTCGATACAAATTGCGTCGATATTGGTAAAGTATGGCAATCGTCAAGACAACAGGAAGATTGTGTATTAGCCGAATCAAAAGAATCAATATCAGCTCGTATTCACACCGATTCACGTTTAAATACATTGAGAAAAGCCGCATGCATGATGTTTCATAATCCTGAAGTCTCAAATATTCTTTCAAGAACAACTGTTTGTGTTGAAAAGGGAATTTTATTAATTCGCCAAGATCGTGATCTTCATCGTAATATTGGCCTACAAAAATTAATACTTGAACTTTTTTTAAGTTACAATCCCCTATGGTTAAGAATTGGTTTAGAGACAATTTACGGTGAGACAATACCATTACGTTCAAATAATGATTTAATTGGTCTAACACGTTTTTTGCTGGGACGCTTTTTTGCCGATCAATTTATTATTCGACAACATTCACATCCAACAATTGTTGGTATGAAATTGCCAACATTCACGCAGAGTATGAACAAATTTATGTTGAAAAAATTTCTCTTATTTGTATTCTTTTTGGATTTTGCAAAAACAAATAAATTGATTGGTCACGATCCTTGTTTGTTTCATAAGAAGGCAACGCACAAGGATACGAGATCAATTCTCTTGTCATTTTCACGAGAAGTATTAAGTGGAATGGGAGATATTACAAGAGTTTTAAAGGCCTACGGATATATTGTCAGTTATAAGCAGACCTATCTCGATGAATTTGATTATGCTGTCAAGGACATGAGTTCGGATTTAAGGGACGGTGTTCGTCTATGTCGTACCATGGAATTGATCACAGGAAATCGAAATTTAACCTGCCAATGTCGTGTGCCAGCAATTTCTCGTCTTCAAAAAGTTCACAATGTAAATATTGCCCTTAAAGCACTTCTCGATTCTGGTTATAATTTAGCCGGTGAAATTGATGCAAAAAGCATTTCCGATGGTCATCGGGAAAAAACACTTTCCCTCCTCTGGCAAATTATTTACAAATTCCAAAAACCACGTTTTGAGAAAGCGGCAACAATAATTCAAAATTGGTGGCGTTCAAAATTATGGTATATACGTGTGAGAAATTTACTCAAAAATCGAAAAATCAACGCCGCTTGTTGCATTCAACGTGGATGGAGATGTTACAAATCAAGAGAGATTTTGAAAAAACTACAAATCGAGTACGAGAAGAAAATGAAGGTTCAAAATTCAGCCGCAAGTGTTATTCAAAAATTCTGGTATCTCCAAAAAAAAGGGAAAGAAGAACGTGAAAATTTCCTCAAAAAGAAACAATCAGCGATTAAAATACAAAACTGGTGGCGAAGAATTCGAGAAACACGACCCTACATCCAGGAATTTAGAAATAAACAAAACGTCATTATTTTCTGTCAAAGAATCTGGAGATCAAAACAAAAAACCATGATCCAACGAAACAATTATTTGAAACTAATTGAAACTTGCAAAAAAGTTCAAATTCGCTATCGTGCCAAATTAGAGGGCAAAAAAATCCGTGAATCCTACCAGAATTTAAAAAATACTACTCTAATAATTCAACGACGCTACCGAGCTGTTAAATTAATGCAAAATACTCATGAATCATATAAAAACATTTTACAATCAGCTAAAAAAATTCAAATCTGGTGGCGTAGGATCCTTCAACTAAAAAATGATCGAAATAAATATCTTCTATTAAAATACGCCGTTGGTATCATCGAAAAAAAATGGCTTCAGAAAAAAATCATCACCCCCGAACAAAAGGAATTTCACACTAAAAAAATGAGTGCAATTATCATTCAACGGAACTGGAGAAAATATTCCCAATGCAAATCAAGTGTTCAAAAATTTCAACAACAACGAAAATCATCAATTATTCTACAATCCCATTGGAGAGGTTTGGTAACAAGACGTGAATATCAAGTGAAAAAATCAGCATCCATAAAAATTCAAAATTGGTATCGTTCAATAAAATTGACAAAACAATTGCAAAACGATTTTCAAAAAAAGAAATCATCAATTTTGATTTTACAGAAAAATTTACGAATGATTCTCGCCAAGCGAAATTACTGGCAAATGAAATCGTCGGCTTTGATTATTGAAAATTGGTACGAGAATATACAACAAACGCGAACAATACGTCACAAGTATCTTGAGAAAAAATCCAAAGTTCAAATAATCGAAAACTGGTGGTTAAATCACAAAAAGGGACAAGTTGATCGAAAAAATTATTTGGAGCTCAAATCTCGTGTGATCTTTATCCAAAGACAATGGCGGGGAAAAAAATTAATGGAAACTACACTTGAAAATTATCAACAAAAACGACAATCTGCCATTCTTATACAATCATATTTTCGAATGTGGCAGCAAAGAAAAAAATTCAGAAACGAATTAAAATCCACAATTTTCATACAAAAAAAATGGCGTTCTATTTTATTGGCTAGAAAAACGAGGAACAATTATGAAAATCTACGATATTTTGTAATTACAGTGCAAAATAGATGGAGAGCGAAAAAAGCGGCTCAAGAGGCCAGGAAAAATTATCTCGAAACAAGGAAGAAAATAATTAAAATACAAAAACAATGGCGTTGTTACAGGGAGAGGAAAAATTATCTCCTCATTCAAAATGCAATTAAAAAAATACAAAATCGGTGGAGACACAAAAGCAAGGGTGATAAAATTCGCAGGGATTATTTACAATTAAAGCAAACCACCATTTATCTTCAAAATCTCGTGAGAAATAAACAAAAAGAAAAAAAAACAAGGGAAAATTATCAAAAACTCGTTCAAGCAACGATTATCATACAAAAAACTTGGAAAGCCCGAAAAGTACGTCGAGAATATGAGAAATTTAAAAAATTAATAATTCTCCTACAAGCAACATGGAGAATGAAACAGGCAAAAAAAATGTATAATCAAAAACGAAAATTATTAATCAATGTGCAAAGAAAATGGAGAGCAAAATTATTGGCAAGAAAAACAAGAAGAAAATACAATAGTCTTCAATTATCAACAATTGTCATTCAACGTCATTGGAGACAAAGGAAATTAACCAATGAAATTAGAAAACAATTTTTGGATTATAGACACGCAATTATTGTTATTCAATCAGTTTGGAGAATGAAACGTGAGGTGAAAAATTATAAAAATTTGCTTCAAGCAACAAGAAACGTTCAAAGAATTTGGAGGGGAAAAATAAGGACCCGACAATGTAGACGTGAATTTGAATCATTAAAATCAGCCACAATCACTCTTCAAAGACAATACAGAGCAAATAAATTGGGTAAAATCGAAAAATACCATTACTCTCATCTAAGAATGTCAATTATTCTAATTCAACGAAAATGGCGTTCAACAATTGAAACTCGTAAACTGAGACAACAATTCCAAAATCAACAAAATGCGGCAAAAATAATACAAAATCATTGGCGATCATTGAAAAAAATGAGAGAAACAAGAAAAGAATTTCTAAAAACAAAAATGTTGATCATCAATCTACAAAGAAAATATAGGGCAAATGTTATCACAAGGAAAATACGAGAAAAATATCAAGAAACAAAAAATGCTGTTCTAATGATACAAAAATGTTGGCGATTTGTATTAGCGAGACGTGCAATGAAAGAACAATTGGAACAACAAAAATTATCAGTGAAAATTATTGAAAATTGGTGGTTAAATGTTTTGCGAACGAAAATAATTCGCGAGGCAAAACGTGAGGAAATGAGAAAATTGAATTTTGCTGCAACAAAAATACAAGCAATTTGGAGAGGTTTTTGTGTGCGGCGAATGAATACCGCAAGAATGTCGGAATTAAGAATAAGAACGGAAAATGCCGCTAAACAAGCGATACCAGCTGAAACATTGGCAAATCGTTTGGAGGATTCAATTAATGTCTTTTTATTTTCCAATGATCTTGGTCGATTGTCAATGTGTCTTTCTTCATTAGGTGAGTGAATCAATTGTATTTTTATAAACAATAGAATTGATTTTTAAATATTTTAATTGAGAAAAAAATGTATTAATTTTTTAAAAAAATTTATTTACAGATGTGATAACTCGTTTGTCGCCAAACGGCTGCATCACAGTCTGTAAAGTTGGATTAGTTGATAAAATTTATATGACACTAGTCCGATCAAATAGATCCGTACCTTGGATGGATGCTTGCACGAGAGCAACTAGTATTTTAGTAACATTGGCAAAATATCCTGTAACTAAACCGTATGTTCTCAAGGTAAAAAAATTGTTTTAACTCTTTTATTTAGATGATATAATTTTTTAAAATTATTTAGGTTTTAAAACAAATTATTATTTAAGAATTAAAAAATAAATTCGACAGTATTAGATTTATAAGGTTCATACTGATAAAAATTCTAATTACAATTTTTTGCTTACTTTTCCAGGAAGAATATATTGAAACATTGACAAGATTTTTGACCGTTACTGTTGAAAAAGAAGTCCCATTATTTTTACATCTTTCAACATTAATTTGGGTCCTAATTGAAGATCCCGATTATGCAGAGGTAAATTTTCTTTTTTTTTATATACAAAATTTTGAATTTTGTTTCGAACTGAAAAGAAATTTTTAATTCGATTTCATTTTTCATTCATTTTATTAAAAATATTTCTCTAAAACAATATTTTTATTAATTTTTTATTTTCAGGCAATTTTAAGTGATTCACGATCAATTTGGTTGATCAATTCAGTGTACAGTACGATTACAAAGAAAAAACAAAAAACTCCTCAAGCATCTATGAAAATAAAAGATGATTTGATGCCAAATTCAAAACCAGATTGGGGACTAAGACAAAAACAACCTCGACTATTTAATAGTGTTCTTCACGCGACAACATCCATTTTGAGACGTTTAAACGAATATAAAGAAAATGGAGCGTAAATATTAATTCTTTCTTTCTAAATCTCATAGACACTTAATTTCTTTAGCTAAAGAAAAAAAAATTATTTTGCTATTAAATGACCAAAATCTATAAAGGTAGATGTTAAAATTAATATAATTTTCTTAAGTTTTTTGAATTTTTTTTTTCACAATAATTTTTTTAAAAATTCCGGTCATGATATGTGACGTAGCAAAATAATTTTGCGCGATAAATTTTAAATTATAATTATGAAAATTGAGGAAATAATCTTAGGAAAGAATATTTCAATTTTTAAGTTAAGAATAAATATATTACTTGTTTTTTAAAAAATTAAATTAATGAACAAAAAAAGTATATTTTGTAAATTTTGTAAACGTAAAGAATTTTTTAATTAGAAACAATAAGAATATGATATGAATAAAAATAATTGAAATAATAAAAAAGAAAATTGAAAATCCATTTTTAGTAATACTTTTATTGCAATAAATATAATAAACAATAATTATTGTTTTGGCGTTACATTTTAACAGTCAATTCTATACATATACATTGTGATTATAATTTTAGCGTAAAATAAGCAGATGTCTATCGCTATAAGTAATACGTTCGCTGCGAGTAGAATATTTTTAAATACAAAAAAAGAAGAAACAAAACAAAGTATAGCAGCTACAACAAAATGACGTTTTGAAATTTTAATTTTAATTTTTTGAACTCTCCTCCAAAATATTCAAAACTTTTATTTGTTTCTCTTTCAGAAAAGAAACAAAATTGTAAATAAAGGACGAAATCGACCTATAAAAATTCAGTTTAGGAAAAATTGATCTATTTCGAAATAAATATAACTAAATTATTATTATTCATTAACAATCTTACTCGCATTTAAGGCCTTATTTAAAGCCACTTAACAGGTGCTTTTTTCGAAATTTTATATTTTAATTTTTCATTTAAACGCTAAATTGATAAAAAATCAAAAGTATACACTCTTGTCAATTTTGCTCCGGTCTATTATTTATTTATAGAAAAGTACAATTAAAAAGTGAATTGCAAAAAAGGACAGAATTCAGTTTCTAAATATTAAAAACCAGATTCGAAATTGAATTAAAAAAAAACTCCCGAGTAGAATTGAATTCCTAAATAAACGGGAAATTGAATTTTTTTTCAACTTTTTTAAAGTGTAAAAAATTGTCTATAGCTGCCATACTAAGTGTTTGGACAACTAATCATCAAATTGATAGAAAGTAGCAGAGTATTTTTTTTCTTTTATGTTTGCCTAAAGTCTGTATGTTACAATAAATTGTGTGTATGTTTATGTGTATGTGTGTCTGTGTGAATGTAAATTGTATTTACATAGTTCCTTGAAACTGAAAAATGATTAAAAAAAAATAATTTTTTATTCAATTTTCATGAACAGATCTAAGCTCTTTTATTTGCTTAATTAAATAAGCTTTCTCGTCATTAAATTGCTCATCTTCCGAGCGATCTGTATGGAAGCGTGTGAGGAACTCGATTAATTTCTCTTGATTTCTTAATAGAATATCCAATATTGGCTTCGGCTTGTTTGGATTAGCAACAAATACCTGTAAGTAATCTTTATTTTAAAATTTCATATTTTAAAAATAATATTCTATTTATTTAGTAAAGAAAATTTTCTTAATTAGAATTTTACTAACAAAAAATGAAAATATTTCTAATTATTTAATCGATTATTCAAGTAATTAAATTTTTACCTTAAACACGTGGAAGGCCTCAAATTGTATGTTACGAGACTTCTCCTTAAGCATATTCATCATTAGCTTTAAATTGTCTGGGTTTGATATATACCGTGTCATGACCTTGAAAAAGAAAATGGTTTTAACTTTGCAAATTTCAGTTTTATATATTTTTTTTCTTTGGGAATATAAAAAAATACTAACAGTGAAATTATGTCTGTCAAGAAGCAGTTCTCCTAACAGTTTCAAACTTTGTCGACGGGTTACATAATTTTCCGAACTCAGTAACCTCTGATAATGTGAAAAGACCTTATCGTAATTGACTTCTAAAAATTCAGCGCTCAAAATCTTGTGCCTCGTGAGCAACTCCTGCAAAGAAAATAATTTTTTTACACCTTTGAAAATTAATAATTTAAATTCGAATTTAGCTTACTATAATAAACAAAAAAAGAGAGACAAACCTTAAATGTAGAAAAGGCATCTGAAGCAATATCGAAAGTAGAAACTTCGACGTATCTAAAGAAATTATAAAAGTCGTCGGAATAGATCATGATTTTAGCTAGCGCCTCATATCGAGCGCATTCTCTTAACATTGTACCACAATTTAACGCGATATCTTGATGCTCATATCTAAAAAAAAAGAAAAATCTCATTACATGGAATTCTTTCCCCATACAAATAAAAAACAAATTTCTTACCCAGACATGAGAGTAAACAATATTTCAGGTTTTGTACAAATGTACTCAACGGTTGGTGATCGCGTGCCAATTTGTCTTCTTAAAATATTGTTGAATACCTGAGCAACATCTTTTTTACCCTAAAAGAGAAATTACATTTCTTTTAATTTTTTTCTACCAAAGTACATACAAATTTAGAAATAATTATAATAAGAGTAAGAAATCTTTTTTCCCTCAACATGGAAGGAAATTAAAAAAAAATTAATTCGCAAACAAAATAATTTACCTCAAAATCTATTCGACTTAAATTTTGAACGAGAAGAAGTAAAAGATTGCTATTGTAAAGTTCTTGTGCGAGTTGTGCCACGACTATATCGGCTTGAGGCTCAGATTCTGCAGTTCCATACAACATATTTTTAATGTGGACCAAATTTTTGCTGACATCCTCTTGCGCCTAAAAAAAAGATTCACATTTCAAACAAATTTATTTCATTTACAAAAAAAATCATATTAATCTACAATTAAATAATTAATTAAGTATTTAATTACCTACCTTTTCAACTTTTTTGTCACCACGTTCTAGCGCGTTAACAGCCTCTTTTAGAGCCTTTACCACCTCAGCCGGACTTTTTTGAGATTTTCCGAACAGAGGCATTGTTTTATACAATTTATATACCTGTCAAAAAAAATATATTAAACAAATATTTATTGATCAATATTTCTAACAATTAATTATAAACAATGTAATAAGGAATAATTCAAGTTCAAGAAAACTGAAAAACCATAAATTTAAAGCAAACGATGTTAAAAAAAATCTTAATAACCAAAAATAACTGATTTTCAATATTTTTCTTTGAAAAAAAATCCTTATCTTATCGAACAAAACCGTCATTCAACTCAAAATTAACAAATATAAAACAGAAAAAATAAATATTACTGACAAAAATAAAAAAAACAAAGAGAAAATCTGATTAAAATTCTCGGAATAATTATTGAATATTGGTTACTTGGATCTCAAATTATACCGATATCTCGCAAAGTATAATTATTACAACAGCAATCTAATCAGCACAGCGCGCAATAAAGAGAAAATGAAACCAAAATAGAGTAAACTGACTTCTCAAGTAAACATGTATATATATATATACCTGTCACGCACCAATGCTTCTATCTCCAAACACACACACAAAACTTCTTTTGATTTTTTAAATAAACACTAATGAATTTATTCTTTTTCTATTATAACAAAACAATTGAAAATTACAATGAATGTCACGAAAATATTACGGTAATAATTGGACATCGCGCAAAAATAAAGAAAAACACATCCGTTACATCTCCGTGTTGTAAATCAATAAACGAGAGAAACGACACGAAAATTACAGATATAACCTATCTCTGCATAAAGGTGACGTGGGCGTCATTTGACGTTGTTTGACGTAAACAGCGAACTCACCATTCAATTGAAAATCTGGATTAATTTACGCAGTTGCAACTAGGCACTTGCGGTCTGATGTCCCGTGTGTGTTTTCTTTTTTTAGCAGTTCATTTATCAAAATCAGAATAGCTTTTAGTACAACAAATCTCTTAATATACCAAAGAAAGGAATTTGCTCATTAAAACAATTTTTCTAGGTCGATGTCGTGACTATCGTGATAATTAACACCTTTTCCAATTTTCTTCTTCTTCTCGTGCAAAATTGCGAATATTTTTTTTCACGCTTGAGGAGCATTCAATATCGAAAAAAAATGGTTTTAGTTAACGCATCCTTCTTGCAGTTCATCGCCCATGACCACTTACTGTATTTTTCGCTATAGTTTACCTACAATGATCGCTGATTCCAAGGTTTATTCAATAGGTTGTATGAGCGCAGACTACAAATCACGAAACATGGCGTTTATCAGTTCTTTTTTCTTTAAAAAAAGAAGAAAAAATATATATTCTATAGAACTATTTGAACATTTTGTTAATTAATTTTAAAAACATTAAAAAACAATTAGAAAACATTTTTTTAATTTTCGATCATTTTAAAAAAAGGCGGCAATAAAAATGTCCATCAATCTGATTGGATAACATTTTTACTTGCGGTTTGACCGAACCTTAATTGTTTGTGGATCATGATTAAGGGGGCGATCCTCAAATTTTGACATATTTAGAAATAAAAGATGGACGTCCATAAAGAACCTCCGCCGTTATTCGATGATATTAAAAACGATACAAAGGATTTAGATGACGATAATGATGACATTTTTGCGTCTGCCATACAGGTATTCTTTAATAAAGATATTTATAAAGAAATTTCAAAAATTACATCCATAGAATAATTATATTTGACAACCTTTCCTCTTTTTTATTTACCTTTTTTCCCCGCTATTAAATTAACAATATACTCCAAAATAATTATTAATGTTTATTATTTAATTTAAGAAATTTTAGTTTAATTTTCTATCTTTAATGGTATTGTTTTGGAACAAGGGTTGAATTGCGACGTGGCATTGAAATCTCGTATACCTGTCACTTATCACTCCTTTTAATAAAAAAAAAAAACATTGGATAAAATGAAAACTTAATAAACAACTTATTTACAGGAATAATTGAACTTTTATGTAACATGAATATCGTAATATCGATAACGTTTGTGATATAAAACAAAAAAAAACCATCAATTTGAAATATTTTAAAGTTATTTTCAAAAATCATTTTCTTTAATCTTGACTACTTTTTAATGTTAATTAAATAACAAATATAAAATTTTGAAATTAAATTGATTTCAATTTTTCATCGGGTGTTGTATTGATAATTGATAAAACAAAAAAAAGCGCATGCGTATTTAATTTTAAGAGATTAAAAAATAATTCTCTGAAAATAACTGATTTATCGCTGTTAAAGCTTTGTTAATCGCGGATGTTCTCTTGTCGCGCTCCGATATTCACTTTCCATGAAATATTTTTTAAAAATTAATTTAAAGATTTATATTTTTAATTTAATTTAATTTTTTTAGGATCATTCATTTATGGAAAAATCATCATCTCCATTTAATGGAGTTTCGTCAGTACAATCAGAATTACCAAAATTATCATTGAAAGATACAGTTGAGGAAAATTCATTTTCTACAGTTTCGAGTCCTGCTCCAGGACCTTTAAGTCCCCTTATGGGAAAAGATATGGATGAACTTCAAGATATTCCAATTAATGATAATGAGGAGAAAAAATCAAATCTACAATCTCAAAGTCAAGATGAGGTAAAAATATAAATTTTACCATATACATATATATATATAGAAGAAACTAATTTTCCTTTTTTTAAATCGCAGACTCCAACAGAATCGTCGGAAACATTTTTGAAAATAACTGTGACTTCACCACAAAAAGTTGGCGAGGGAATGGGTGCCTATGTTGCCTATCGTGTTGAGACAAAAACAAATATGCCTATTTTTCGAAGTCGCAATTTCACTGTAGTTAGACGATTTAGTGATTTTCTTGGACTCCATGATAAATTAACTGTGAAATATCTTAGAAATGGAAGAATTATTCCACCTGCTCCAGAAAAAAGTGTCATTGGTAAATTTAATAATTAATTGAACAAGTAAATTAAATAATTTAATTTTAAATTTAAAAAAAAAATTTCTTTTCAGGTATGACAAAAATAAAAATGTCCGGTGACAAGAATCAGGAAACAAATTCAAGTTCAACTGAATTTATCGAACGTCGAAGATCAGCTTTAGAAAGATATTTGAATCGAACAGCCGCACATCCAATGCTTGGAGTTGATCCCGATTTCATTGCATTTTTAAAGACCGGTAACAATTTTTAAAAATTATTTTTCGATTAGAAAACAAAATTTTAAAAACTAAAAAATAATTTTAGATATGGAATTGCCAAAATCAACAAATACTTCCGCATTAAGTGGAGCTGGAGTGATGAGGCTATTCAATAAAGTTGGAGAAACAGTGAATAAAATTGCTTACAAAATGGACGAAAGTGATGGGGTGAGTGAACAAAAGTTTTTCCTAAAATCACCTCTCTTTGATTTATTGTAAAAAACTGATTTTTTGCATGTATCAAAACTTTAAGATCGAAAATATGACTCATTTTCTGTTGCTTACTATATAGGAAGGTAAGGTACGTTGAATTCGAAAAAAAATAGTTGCCCATAATTTTTAGTTCCAGCTTTTCACTATTTTTAAAATTTTTCTATGAATTTTTGTTAAATTTAAATCAGTATTTTTTTTATTAAACAGAGATAAAAATTTTTTTGCTACAATAGAAGTATTCGATTTTATTTGCTTGATGAAAAGAAAATTGATAGCAATTATTTAAAAGTATACAAATCTGTTTTCATTACAGTGGTTTGAGGAAAGAACATCACAAATCGATTCATTGGACACACAATTAAGAGCTTTACATTCCGCTGTTGAAACATTGACATATCAAAGGCGAGAATTGTCAAATTGCACTGGTGCAACGGCAAAAGCAATCGCTGTTCTTGGACATGGTGAACAAGAAGCCGCCCTTGGAAGAGCATTGGCACAATTAGCTGAGACATTGGAGAAAATTGAAGTCGTAAGAAAAGCACAAAGTAACAGTGATCTCTATCAATTTGGCGAAATGTTACGTGAATATGTTACACTTATTACAGCAATAAAGGTAAAAAAACAAACAAAAGCACAAAACAATTTATAATTAAACAAAATAAATTGTGAAATTTTCTTTTTGCAGGAAGTATTTCATGAACGAGTGAAAGTTTTTCAAAATTGGCAACACGCACAAATGATGTTAAATAAAAAACGTGAACAAAAAGCACGTCTTGAACAAGCGGGTCGAAATGATAAAACAAGTCAAGCAGCGACCGAAGTCATTGAATGGGAATCAAAAGTTGAACGTGGTCAAGAGGAATTTGATAAAATTTCACAAATGATAAAAAAAGAAGTCGAGCGATTTGAATTAATAAGAGTTGAAGATTTCAAAAAACAATTAATACAATATTTGGAGAATATGTTGAAACATCAAAATCAATTAATTCAACATTGGGAGAGTTTTTTACCTGAAGCACGTGCCGTCGCGTGAATATTCCATTTTTTTCTAGTTTCTAAGAGAATATTTTTTATCAAAAAAAAAGTTTTACTAATATTATGTACGTGTATAAAAGATCAAAGTCGTGCAATGTGGAAAAATAAGATAAGAATCGAGAGAGAAAAAAGTGTATATTTGTCATTCCTGAGAATATTGATATTTAATTGAATTTACATCCAATAAATTTAATATAGTTTTTTTTTAAATCAAGCATTTATTCTGTCAATTTCGTTCTGAATTAAAGAAAAGAGACGAAAACATGTATTCTACAAGGTCTAAGTATCAAATCTTTTTCTTGATATGTATTATATTATCAATTATTATCACTGTATCTTTTAGAAATTGTTATTGGACAATAAAATCAGTTATGCAAAAACTAATCATTCTTTTCTGTTAGATTCAAAATTATAGAACAAAAACAAAGAAAATTGTAAGTAAAACTTATTACTAATTAAAATAAGTAATGTATTATTAATTAAAACATTGCAATAATTAAAATAATGATAAGTTTATCACTAGATCGAAAATTATTTAGATGTAAAAAAAAAGTTATAAATAATGTCTTAATAATAATTATTAATATAATTTTTAGTTTTTTTTCTTTCTTTTTATAAAACGAATCAGTATTGAGGTTATCTAAAAAGGCTTTATTTTTTTATTATAAATTCTATAATAATAGTTTTAATAATAATTATTAATATTATTTTTAGTTTCCTTTTTTTTGTATAAAACGAATTAGTTTTGAGAGTGTCTAAAAGGGCTTTTTTTATTTTTTTAAATAAAAAACTTTCTTGTTTTAAGTTAAAAACAAGGCTCTTAATTATTAAAAAAAATAAATAAATAATTAAAAGAAATTCGGGTCGAAAGAATGAAAACAATTTTTTTACATATTTCTTTTAATTTTATTTTACTTGTTTTCTAATATTTTTTTATATTTAACCGCCAATTTACTGAAAATTTACTAGATTTCATCAAAGAGTGAACACAGTAAAATGCATGCATTCACATTGCACGCACATTGCATGCACGATAGTGTGACAGAACCCTTAAGATTCCAACCAATGGGATGATAGTTGCCCCCACCCGTTCTGAGCTGCTGCAGTGCGCGCGCAACTGCAGTCAGTGCTCGACGAGCAGCGGAAGGGGAAGGTTGTACGAGAGCTCGTTGCGTCGTTAGAACGCATTCTCATTGGTTGGAGCTCAGCCAATGAGGATGTAGTTAAAATGTGCAAATTAGCCTTACTGTTTTGCAACTAACTTCAAACTAGTCAATTAGGCGCGCAATTGCATTTAGTGTTTCTTTGCTTAGCCAATCGGATGCATTTAGATTTGAAGAAATTGTTAGTAACCGTCACAAAGTTTTTTCTTTTGGAATAATTTTAACTTCTCATTCTAATTGTGCGTAAAAAGTTTAATTATTCATTACGTGTGAAAGTGTTTTGTGATATAGTGAGTGAAAAAATCAGTGTTGTAAAAATATCGTTTTGATAAAAGTACTTGTGTTCATTTCGGGAAATCTGAAATGTGAGATATAGTGATGTGATGAAAAATTGTGTTTTAGTAAGTGCTAGTGCAATTAAGAGGAATAGGAGTTTGTTGCGGAGCAGCTCCTGGAGGAGATCGGGTATAGCTGAACGCAGTTTGTTGTAAGTTTATCATAATTTTGTAATTAAGTTGTTGTGCATAAACGACCCATATTTTGTACTCATGATAGACCCTTCCCTCTCCAACATCACAAAATTGAATTTTTTTCCACAGCTCATCACAGGCAGCTTAAACCCCCTCCCCCCTAGTAGTAGTTTTTGATCCTTAAAATTATTTGTAGTATTAATCTACCTTTTTTTAATTACTGTAATTGAGGGGCTTGATTCCATAATAGGTTACATGATTTTGCGCAGGTCCCCTCGCGCAGCCGTAGACTCGCTGTACGGAGTGTCTTCCACTTTCCCGCGTATTACCTTATGGAATCCAGTCCCTCAATTATTTATCAAACATTTATTTAATACATGTGTATAAATTTGAATAGATAATTCTTTTTAGAAAAATTAAATAATCTAGACAGTTTATTTTATCAATTATTAAATTTAATTCTGAACATTAATCTAAATAATATTTATGGTATCATAATTTTAATTTTTAATTTTATTAATTTTACAGACTTCACTGAACATGAAATGAAGAAAAGGAGGTGTTGAAGAAACATGGTTACAGCGAGTAGCAGAGAGAAGGATGAGAAGGATGGATGCAAAGAAGATGATGTGCGCACCCGCCAATTCAACGTTGGAATCCGCGATCGGTGAGTTTTTTTTTATTTCAACCCCTTCCCTGTTTAAAACAGTTAACGATTTAATTTATTCTTTCATGTAAATTCAATTACAATAAATTAATTTATAAATTGAAAATTAATTCTTTTTATATTAATTTTAGAAATTAAATTTGATTCAAAAATTTTGCAATCATATTACTCAACTTTAAAAAAATTAAAACAAAATATTAAAAATGTTTAAAAACAGGGAAGGAACGTGGCAACATAGTGACACCATTGACAATGTATTATTTTTGTAGTAATCTTTAAGGGGCATCTACAAGAAATGTTTTATTTATGATACTTCTCCCCCTTTTTTTAACACCACTGTATCACAAAGTATCATATTTTTTGTGGATGAGCCCTGTTATTACTACGCAAATTAATATTTTTTGTCAATGCTTTTTATTGTTTATATATATATATATGTTTGTTTTTTGTACTTTATGATTTGTTCAATATTTAATGTTTTCTAATTTTTCTTATCAGTTAAAGTAAATTTTTTTCTATAAAAAATAATTAATTTAAATTAAATTTATAACATTTCATTATTTATTTGACATAGATTTTTCAGATTTTTATACTAAATTTCAAATTTAATTCTATAAATTAAAAGTTAATGCATGTAGAATTTAAAAAAGTTTTTGATAATTTTAATTAAACTAATTAAAAGTTTTCTTTTCAGAAAAGACCGCTAAGGTGACGGTTACGTCCCGGGACGTTAACCCTAGTGTAGGTTTTATTGCACCTTGGCGGTAAATTATTTTTCGATTCAAACGTAGCTGTAGGTAAAAAAATTGGGAATAGTAAAAATATTTTTTTCGTTTTAAATATAGCTATAGGTAGGGAAATCGAAAATAATAAAAATATTTTTTTCGTTTATAATATATGTATAGGGAAATCGGGAATAGAAAAAGATTTTTTTTCGTTTTAAATACAGCTATAGGTAGGAAAATCGGGAATAGGAAAAAAAATTACTGGAATACCAGTAAAATATAATTTATAAGAATTTTTTATCTTTGTGGTCACAATGTTGCTTTATATTTTACTTTAATAATTGCATGAAATATTTTTTTACTTTGTTTAATTTACTTTTATTTTCAGTTAATTCATCGTGGTGAGAAATAATATTTTTATCTCTTTTCGCAATTGTATTAATTATTTATTTTTTCAGGAATGTTTAAAAATGTTTATTGCATTAATTTATTAAATTTTTATTCTCCTATATTATATATGAAAATTTTATTTCTATTACAAAAAATGATATTAACTATCTATACTCAAGTTAGTTAAAATATTTTTCCAACTAATTTCTTTTTTTAACTCTTTTAAATTAAAATAAATAAATTAATTACAAAAAACTGTTAACTATATTTGAGAATTGATATATTTAAAATTTCTTTTAAACAAACTTTTTTATCTATTGTTACAAATTTTTCGGGTCTTTTTTTAATTTTTATTATTCAGTATTGCGATCGTTTAAATCGCAGCTAATACGTGAATTTTTGTCTTTTAAAAATTAATATTTAAAAAGTGTGAAATTGAAATTAAATTATTTTGTTTGAAAATTGCCTTTTTTTAAATTACAAGTGAGTGTTAAAAGTGTTTTTAAATAGAGAAAAAAAATAAAAGGTACGTTAATAAATATTATTAAATAAAGTAATTGTTTTATTTTAGTTTGCAAAATATACGTTTTTATTATTTTAAATTTTACTTCTTTTATTATACAAATTTAATATTTCGCAGATTGATTACGCCTCTGGTTGTCATTTTCCGTAAAAATATTTGCATCAAAATATGAGTCATTCTATACCACTGAGAGTTATTTAAAATACGGCCCTGGTTTACTCAGTGGTTTTTGTTTGTTACCCTGTGCTAGCCCTGTGTTTACTTTTTCGGTAAGTAAATTTAGTTTTAATAACTAATTTGAAACTGCCAACTGTTTTTTTTATCAAGGAAATTTAGGTACATTTTTTATAATTTAGTAGCTTAATTACTGTATAAATAGAAATGAAAATTATTTCAAACTTAAAATATGCGTCACTTAGGACCGGCAAAAAGTTTGGTTATGTTAAGACTTGTTTATTTTTTGAGAGATAATAAATATAAAAATGTTACTTCTTATCATTGACAACTTTTTTCATTTGGATATGTTACAAGAATAGTAATTGCATCATTAGTTGATTTCTAACAATTTATTCGCACATAACGTTTTTCTTTTGTTATTTTAACAGGATTTATATCAATAATTTCCAAAGAAGTAACAATATGAATTCTTCAAAGAGTCAAAAATTGGAAAGTGGTGAGAAAAATATAACTAGTACCAATGAGAAGAATATTCGAAAAAGAAAATTAATATCCACGCAATTAAATGAAGTTGTCAATGATAATTTAATTCTCGAATCAGAAGTTTCATCATCAATTGCCGAGACTCTCTTAGCTCTTGAACGAAATCTCTCGAAAAATTTAAGTCAAATTAAATTCAAAGCACCTGTTGATTACATATACAATCCTGTTGATTATGCATACGATGTTCATGCAAATTATGTAAATACCTTTTGTCAAGGGACGAAAAAAATTTTATATCTTGGAATTAATCCCGGACCATGGGGTATGTCACAAAATGGTGTTCCATTCGGTGAAATCTCAATGGTTAAAGATTGGTTAAAAATAACGGGAAAAATTGATAAACCACCACGTGAACATAAAGAACGACCAATCACTGGTTTTGATTGTACTCGTAAAGAAATCAGTGGATCAAGATTTTGGGGATTTTTTAAAGAACTTTGCAAAACACCTGACGTTTTCTTTCGTCATAGCTATGTTCATAATTATTGTCCTTTGGCATTTATGAATTCAAATGCTAAAAATATTACACCTGCAGATTTAAAGGCAAAATTTAAAATTGTATTTTAAATATTTCAACTTAAATTTTTACTAATAAACAAATTTTTTCAGGCTGCGGAAAAAAAGGAAGTTCTCCAAATTTGTGACGAAGTTCTTAAGGAGATCATTGAATTGCTAAAAGTTGAGATTATCATTGGCATCGGGAGATTTGCTGAGGAAAGAGTAAAGGAAATTTTAAAAAATGAGACAAGTACCGTGAATGTAATTTATATGCCACATCCAAGTCCACGGGCAGTAAATAACGAAAATTGGCCTGAGAAAGCAAAAAATACTCTTGAAGAGAATAATTTAATGAAATTTTATTCAAACTAAAATAGAGATTAATATTTTCTATTTTTTTAAAATATCGTTTTATTATTTTGTTTTATTATTTATAAACTTAAAAAGTTTATTTTTTTATTTATTTTTTAAATAATGGAGTGGATGGATTTTGCATTAGAAAAAGCAAAAGAATCCTTTAAAGCAGGAGAAGTACCTGTTGGTTGTCTTTTTATTTATGAAAATGAAATAATTGCAACGTGTAATAATACAGTTAATGAGACGCGAAATGCGACACGACACGCTGAATTAAATTGTATTGACAAAGTTTTAAAATTTTGTGATGAAAGACAATTGAATTATAAATTGGTTTTTTCAAATATTGACGTTATAGTTACAGTTGAACCATGCATAATGTGCGCTGCTGCTTTATATGAACTGAAAGTTCGAAGTATTATTTTTGGTTGTGCTAATGATAGATTTGGTGGTTGTAGTAGTGTTTTTAATGTTGAAAAAATTTACGGTTCGGAAATAAAAATTATTGGTAACGTAAAAGGCGACGAAGCCATGCAACTATTAAAAGACTTTTATAAAGGAGAAAATCCAAATGCTCCTGAATCGAAAGTTAAGAAAAGTCGTAAAAAAACAAATTGAATGATTTGTTTAAATTTTATTTTTTTTCTCTGTATAAAAATATTTTAAGTTTGTGACTTTTATAAATAAAAATTTCTTAAACATTTTGCAATGGCACAATTTCATTTTTGTAGGACTATTTTTTAGTTACACCATGTGGGATCAATTTCACATTTTCCTTGATACCATCTTATTAGAAGTTGATTTCTCAGAGTGTAGTCTTTTAAAACCATATTTTTCGTCTGAAACATTTTAGTGAATATTTTTTTAATACTAAATGAAAAATATTTTCTCTATGGAGAGAAATTATACTTACAATTAATGGGGGAAATATTCTTTTGTAATCCATTTTATTATGATGCTCTAAAAAACTTTGAGACAATACTATTCTCCAGTCGTCTGTAAAACATGATCTGCAAATTTGGCACTCAACTCGAAAACAATCTTCACAATTTTTACAAATTTCTGGTAATACTACCAAATTTTTATCAGCAACTTCCATTTCAATTTCTCCTTTCTCTCTGCAATGAAAAATTATTTTAATAATTCTCAAAATGAATTTTGAAAAAAAAGTAAATAACCGTATTTTAATAAGTACTTTATTTTAAGTGTATCGCTTCTCGTTCTTCGTGCAACTCCAATCAATGCAAAAAGATTAAATAAAACTTGTTCATATAGCAATTGATTTGGTGGAAAATGAGCTGATGAAAGATTTGGCGACATATTTGCTTCCATAACATAGACATTTAAATTTTCATCTAGTGTAAAATCAAATCTCATTAATTCAAAAAAATTTCTACCATCACCAAAACGTTTAGTGGCTTCACGAATTTTCATTTCTTTTTTTAATGCTATCTCTTTTATTGCTTCAAATGCATTGTCCCACATTTTTTGTGGATCTTTACCCTTTGATCTTACATAGGCATCGAATGAATCTTTCATTGAAAATCCCAAATTTTGATAATAATTCTTTAACGATGGCACATTCCAAATTGGTAAATAATCATCACCAACGACATATTTATCGATATTTTCTGAATCAAATGGATAATATTTGACAGGACAAAATCGAAATAAAACATCACCTTTGTAGCCGTAAATTCTTAATGGATCGATAGAAGTTATTACAGTGTAGATACCAATATCAAATTTATAACCATCGACAAGAAATGGTCGATCAATAAATTCTTGAACAAATGATTCTTCGCTTGTTAAATTGAGTTCATCGATTTTTTTTATTTTTATCCCACGATGATCATTTGATTTTTGAACATAGGATTTTTCAGGATATTTCTGAATATATGAGAGAAGATCTTCTCGATCATCGGGAATTTTAAATGAAATTGGAATATATTTTCCCTTGGTTGTTGATAGATCCACTTTATTTGTGATATGTCCACAGCCTGGAAAATGATTAACTCTCTGATGTTGTTGTAAATTTGTTAAATTTGCCCTCAATTTATGAAATGGATAATCGTGAGCCCATAATAGATCCCAATTTGAAGTTGTTTCTTCTTGTTGAAAACCCAATCGATCCAAAACGAGAAAGACGTGTTTTAAATATCCAATATCTTTAAATTAAAGTTTTTTTTTAATGTTTTGAATTTTTATTGTAATATTTTGAAAGGAAAAAAACACTAAAAATTACTCACCGCCATTAGAAAATTTTGTATGTATCCTAAAAGTCGGTCTTTCCTCTTCGAGATATATTTCTTGAATTTGTAATTTACAAAAATAATTTCGATATTCATGTGCTAGAAAATATATTCCATATAACACACATGGTGTAAGAATAATATAAACAAATATTCTAAATAACATTTTCATTTTTGTGTTAAGTATTTGTTCACTAACAGTAAAAGAAACATTCTGAAAAAATTGGTTTTTTTATTTAAATTTTCACATCACAAAATATGGGCTGATTTTTCAAAAGTTTTCGATCGACATTTTTCTTTAAAATATTTAAATAACTTAAATAGTTATTTACCTTTTTGTTGAGTTTGGCCTGAGGTTTATTATCCTTTGTCATTTTTGTAACTAAAATTATTTGTTTACAATTTGTTTTTCTATTTATTTCACGTGAAAAAAATGTATACGTGTTTTCTTATGAAGCGTTACCGAAAAGTACCGTTTCAATTTATCCCCGCCACTTTCCTCATGGTCCACGTGGGATAAGATTTACCATTCGTACACAAAAAACAGGTTTTTATACTTATGCGTCCATGAGAATTAAATTTGTAGTGACAAAAAAACGTTGGTATTTAAAACAAGATGTAAATTCAGATGTTCATTACATGAACATTTTGCTTCCTCTTTACGATCAGGAAAAAAATTTGCTTCCTAGTGGAGAAAGCATTAACATTGAAATAAACATACAAAAATAATATAATAATATAAACATTTGAGTTTAATTTAAAGAATTAATGGAAGTTAAAAAATCAAAAATTCACATTTTAACCGAAATTTCTAAATATTAAAAATGAAAAATAATATATAATTATTTACAAATTATATCCACGAGGAAGCAAAAATGATAAATTTTTAATATCTATTTTTTTATATTGGCAAATTTATTTACAATTTTTGTAAATAATTCCCTAGTTATTATAAAATAATTATCATATTAAATAGTTTATTTAGTCTTTAAAAAACACTATTTTTTAAAAGTTATGATAAATTAAGTAAAATTTTAAAAGCGAATGGGAAATTGAATAAAATTGACCATAAATTTCCTTTTATTTTCATTTTTCTGTAATTGTTTTTTTTTTCTTTTTTTTTTTATTACTTATGTAAATTTACAGTTTTCGTAATAAAATATTTTCTTTGCATTGAATTATGTTATAATAACATGGAGAAAATAAGTTGTAAGCTAATCTTAAAATTAAGACAAATTTTTTTAGTTATAACTGATGCAAAATGTTTATAATTTTTCTAAAATCGATTTTTTTCTCGTTGACATGAATTACAAATCAAATTAACAGGAAAATATGAATTTATATTCATATTGTCTGCATTCGTACAACATTTATTATCAATGAATTTTAGAAGTAAAAAAAAACATCAGTCAAAGTACTCATATAAAGACAAAATATTAAATATTTTAGTGTCAAAAATATATCTAAATAATGAGAAACTTTTCTCTATATAAAAATGTGAAAACAAAAACTTAGTTTTTTTTAAAAAATACTTTTGCATTATTTTATGCCATTTTTTCTTGAATTAAATTGTACTCGGCGGTTGGCGAAAATGACAGCTTTTAAAAAAATCCTATTGATTTGAAGATTAACAGTAAATCTTGGAAGAATAAAATTGTATTGAAAAAGAAATTTTTTTTTCAACATTGAAGATACTAATAAGTCTAACAAGTTGAGATAAAAATTATTCTTTTAAAATTTCACATCAATATTTAAATTTTAATATTCTCCATTTCTAATCAGCATGATTTAACAACTGTTTTTCTTTTTTTTATTTATGAAAATAATATTATCACTGATTTACATTTTAATAATTACGATTTATAATAATAGTTATCTCTTTTTGAGGTGAAAGGAGAATTTGTACAGATCATATAATATTGATACGTTAATTTTAGTCTATGTGTCACTTTTCCATAATTTTATTGTTTTGTCATTTTCTAAAGCCGCTGATGCAATAATATTATCTGTTGGATGGCACGTTGTGCAAAGAACGACATCTGAAATTTTTTTTAATAAATTAGTTCTTTTTTCGAAATTAATAATTTAATTAACTATTTTTATTTAGTAATTTATTGAACGTTGTTATTGCAATTTATAATAATTGATTAGTAAAAATTACCTGTATGTCCTTGTAATTTTTGAACAATTTCTTTTGTTTGAAGATTCCAAATATATACCATATTATCCTCGGAACCGGAAACAATCCACTGGAAAAATGTTAAATCGTCAATAAATGTTAATAAAATATTTATTTTTATTTTTTTTACTTAAAAAAACAAAAATGAAATTTACCTTTCCACCAGTGACGGAAAAATTAGCAAATATGCAATATTTTTCATTACGATGACCGGTATAGGTTTTTAGACATTTTCCCTTGCTGTAATCCCATAATTTTAAGGTATTGTCTAGAGTCGCTGCTAGGATATATTTTCCATTAGGTGAAAATTTGACAAATGATACTGGAGGATTATCATCATCTATTAATGTTTTTAAACATTGCCCTGAGGCTGTGTCCCATATTCGACTAGAATTGAAATATTATTTTAAAAATTTTTGTTTCTCAGGATGTAATTTTCCAAAAAAAATTTTGATTATTAACACTTACCATAAACCATCGTAACTACTTGATACAATAAGAGAACCGTCTCTATTAAAATGTACAGCACTTACAGGATCTGAATGTGCTGGTAGGGTTTTTAAACATTTTCCAGTTCTTACATCCCATATTCTAACGCTTTCATCAAACTAAAAAGTTGAAATTTAGTTATATTTTTTCGATATTAATAGTATTATTTAAATTTAAAAATTCCACTTACCGAACCGGAAACAATTAAATTTGATTGTGGATTGAAATTACAACAAAAAACATAATTTGTGTGTCCTTTTAATGTCTTTAGGCATTTTCCCTGAAATAAGTTTAAATATTTTTTTTTGAGAAATTTCACGGAATATTTATATAAAAGAAACTTTTTATTGGTAATTTAATGTTTTACTTACGGAACTCAGTTCCCATATTCTCAATGTTTTATCATCTGATGCAGATACTAAAAGTCTACTATCGCTCGACCAGGCAACATCGGAAATTCCAAGTTTATGACCCGATATAGTTTTCTCGAATTTACCATCATAAGAACCCCAAATTTTGATTAGTTTATCTGCCGCTATTGAAATGAAAATTGATTGATATCGTAATAACGATTGTTTAAAAAAAATAATAATACTTACACGAACTTGCTAACCATTCACCATTCGGACTAAATTTAACGGAAGATACGGCCTTCATATGACCAGTCATTGTGTATTTCAATGTATAATTTGGTTTCTGCAAACAATAACGTGAAATAATTAGAATAATAAGCATTCTTATCACGATAAACAAATCTGATACAAGCAATGTTTTATGGCTGCGTCTAGTAGTCCGTCTAGACGGATGAATTTAAATTGTCCGTCTATAGACGGATAATATAAATTGTCCGTCTAGTGCCAGTATTTACTGGCACAGTAGACGGATGAAATATTTTTTGTTAAAACTGTCCGTCTACCCGTATATATTTATATAAATATACATACATATAAACATTCAGCGCGAAATTCAAACTCTTTAAAGTTTAAATCGAAATTTTTTTTCAAATGATATTACATACCATTAAATTTTGAAGTTATAAAGATGAAAAGTCATTTTTCTTAATTGACGTACTGATCGATTTTTTCAAAAAAACTACTTCCTTTTATGAAAATTTTAAGCCTAGTCTGATCGTGGGCAAACAATTTTTACAATATTTTCGTAATTTTTCAAAATTTTTTGAATATTTTAAAAATATTTTTGGTTTTTATACTACGTACTTTTATGTATTTTGATGCGCTGATTACTAAAATCTTAGTGACAATACCCGAAAATTTGATTTTTATGGTGAAAACCATAAAAAATGTCCTAAAGTTTATGGTTTTTTCCTTTATTGGGTAAAATATACAAAAAATTTAAAAAAATTCATAAGATATAAAAAAAGTATTTTAATAAGATCTATACCTTTTGTCGGGTAAGGATACTACTAAGATTTTCGTAATCAGCGAATCAAAATACCTAGTCTTAGTCCACGATCAGACTAGGCTTAAAATTTTCGTAAAAGGAAGTAATTTTTTTGAAAATTTTTGAAAAAAATCTATCACTACGTCAATTAAGAAAAATGACTTTTTATCTTTATAACTTCAAAATTTAATAGTAATATTATTTGAAAAAAATTTCCATTTTTTTTAAAGTACGTTTAAAAACATACATTTTGAAAAAAAACTTTTAAAATTGATGCATTTTTAAAGAAGTTATGAGCATTCAAAAATTAAAAGTCATGAAAATTCTGCAATTTTGAAAATTTCATAACTCAAAAATGGCTAGCTAAAAAAGATTTTTAAAAATATAAAAAAAAAATTTTAAAAGCTTCTATAGATTTTGAATTACAAAATAAGAAAAAAATTTGGTTTTTTGTTTTAAGTCAAAAACTGAAAAAGATTTTCTACCGGCCTTACACTTCTGCATAAAAAAGGGTTTTTGTAGATCGACTGTCTTTGTCGCAATTTTAATTGTTTTACCTTATGAAAATAATTTTTTAATGTATTAAAATTAAATTTTAATATGTACTTAAAAATAATATATAATTGATTTTTTAATTCTGTTCTTGAAAAAAAATCTTAAAAATGGGTCTGATTTTCGGTCTTTACAGTGGTCTAACCCCTTAATATTTTAATTAGTAAAATATTCAATTTAATGTATATAGTTTTGATTTTTTATAATAAAATTACCTTTAACGGTTAGCAGTAACTGTTTCTTATGAATATTTCTTTTTTTATTTTGAATCCAATTGGATGAGTTTTTTACAGGCGCGTGGCAGGACCTTGTTAGTTGGATCGTGACTTATTATTAATAATTATTTTCTTAAGAGTAGACGGACAAATTTTAATCCATTTATTTCATCCGGATACTGTCTGATACTTTTAACAGTAATGCCAGTATAATAGACGGACAAAAATATTTATCCGTCTAGACGGACGACTAGCAGTAATTTCGTATCCGTCTAGACGGACGACTAGCCACTTCGATGTTTTATTTATCAAATTTATCAAATAATTAAGTTAAACAATTTACTTTTGAAGAAAAGTTGAATAACTTTTTTTCTACTTTTTAATATTATACATATTCAATTGTAAAAGGGTCTTTTGTTTCGAATTTTACAAAACTTACAACTGCAGAACTGCCTTTGGTTCCACTGCTTGGTGCACTAGATGAATTATTAATAGACGTTTGATGTCCAGGTGTAGGACCTAGAGGAACCATTTTTCACTTTTTAATATTTTAAAACTAATAAAATCTTTATATCCTCCGTGATTTAACTGCACACCACACAATTTTCCTTTATACTTTTTAGGTTATGTTTGAACCGCAATTGTTTGCCGGAGCGTCCTTTGGGCGAAACGTCATAAATTGTTTTACCTATAGAGACGAGACAAAAGTTAAGTTTCATAAAATGACACCAGGGCGGCTTTTTATTGTTTTTCCTCCATTCACGTGGCTTTAAATATATTTTCGGAGATCTTCGGTAAATTTCGATCATTTTTAACCAATAACAAGAAGGGCAATAATAGCGCGCGATTTTTAAGTTTTTTTTTTTAATTTTTATCACTTTAAAATTAAATAATTTTTCTATTCAAGCTCTTAGAGAAATATAATTCGATAAATTAAAATCAGAAAATCAAACTATCCACGTTTGATAATAAATTAGAATGCAAAATTGTTAAATCTAGTACATGTATGTATATATATATATATAGTAAATCCCCACCACTAACCTTTGCCGCATCCAGTTTATTCTTCTATGATTTTTATCAAAAATTTTCTATACTTAAAATATTAACTTTTTTCCTTTCTTAATCAATTGAAATTATTCTATATATGCTTTATTAACTTAAAAGTATAATCATTTTTGCTTTCTACTATATACAAACATTGTCAAAAAAGCATATGTTAAAAATAAATCTTCCTAATCTCGTTTTGTCAATTTTACATTCACAAGATTTGTTTTCTCACTTTGTCGTTAATTTTCACTAACTATGAATAACATTTTTTTTAACATTGTTAGAGGAAAATATTCACTACATTCCGCAGATAGTTTAGTACGACGTGTAGCATCAAAACGTAATACCGCCATTTTGATGGAATTTAATTTCTAACTCTTTAATTATGTATGAAAAAGTTTTTATAAAATCTAAATGTTATAAAATTAGTTTTTAAAAAATACTATTGTAAAATTTTTTTATTAATATTTGTTATAGAAATATCAAAATGCAAAAATTTAGTCTGTTTGAGTGTTTATTTATTTGAAATTTCGCGCTTTTTTAGAATCGTTTACTTCCTTGCGCAGAAAAAATGCGCAAAGATTTGCGTGCGCATATTTGAAATCAATTTTTAACTTGAATTATATTTTATAATTTTTTGGGGAAAAAAATCATACAAAATATTCTGATTAGGTTCGATAAATTTTTATCTCGGCTCTTCTAAATAGGATTGAAATTTTACATTATTAAAAATTTCAAAGTTTTCCCATTGATCCAGTATCTAGTGTCCTCTGGTGGAGTTTCTGTAAATTAATATTCGCCTGTCACAAAGTTCATCATAGTTTCCGGTTCTTTACGTCTGCTGACTTTTTCTTGATAAGAAAAGCGAAGATATATTTTTGCTTAAAAAATGGGTTTTCAAAACATTTGGTATTCGCATCCACGAAAATATGGTCAAGGATCACGTTCCTGGTGAGTCTCCCAATAAATTTTTGTCCATAGAATAAGATTTTTTGTTGATAATTGAAAATTACTTTCCTCGTGTTCACCGCGTGTTGACAGTCGTTATTCTTTACTCGACAAGGTAAATAATAGTTTATTTTAGATGGTTGAGTACTATTCTTTCTAGTGCAGTTTAAAGAGAGTATTTCATTTAATTAGAGGATGTATTTTATATTTCGAAGTTGATATTATTAAATTGAAATAAATTTGGGACTAGGAAACATAACCTATAAACAACGCGTTACTTATATGTGATATTGTTAAGAGAAAAATGTCATTAATAATGATGAAAATTTTAAATAATTTAATTTTGTTACAAATAGTATCATTTTAATTCATATAATAAATTATTAAGCATATAAGTAATTCATAGGATTGTAAAAAAATGTATTTTTTACAGCCGAGCGTGTGCAAACAGACATGGTTTAATTCGTAAATATGGATTAAATATTTGCAGACAGTGCTTTAGAGAATATGCTGCCGACATTGGCTTCAAAAAGGTAGAGATTTTTTAAATACAAAAAAATAATTAAATATAAATCCCTTTTTAATTTTAAACTCGATATGAAAATTCCTTAAAAAAATAATTTAATAAACTTTTAACTTCCTTTAAAGTAATAATAATACAGATTAATTTTTAATTTAATAAATTTAATTCTAACTCAACATTTAATTCATAAATTATTTTCTTATTCAAATAATATAAATTAAAAAACTATTATTCAATTCTGAAATTTTTTTTTATATTTATTTTTCAGTTGGACTAAGGGCAGGACAAAAAAAAGCTGAGCTGATTTTTTATTATATACACAACTACATTCTTATTGTTAAATTTTTTTTTAATTCTACATAATATAAATACGGGAAAATTATGCTAAGAGTGCATTATTTGTATATTGCAAGAAATCAGTAAAAAATGGCTAAAAAAATTTTTTTCTTTATTGTCATTGGTATTAATTTATAAATCGAATCAAGTGTAAAAATCTTGATTTTTAACCTTTCCTTTTTAACCTCGTATAAATCTCTAAAAGAATAATAAAAATTGTAATTAATATAATTTATTAAACATTAAAATAAATTTTTGGAATTAAGAAAGAATTAAAAATTATTTACAATAAATAAGAAAGTAAAATAAAAGATTTAGTAGATTGTTGTTTTGGTGATTACATTTGTTGCTTGAGCTGCTAGAGCAATGAAAGATTTTTTAGGAGGTCTACAAAATTTGTTTGCTCCCTCTTGACAACAAAGATTAGGAAAACAATCCATTGTTCGATTACAGGGTTGAGATAGAAATAGAAAAAGATTTTCAGGAGGAGGTTGACATTGCATATATTCCAATAGTGTTTTCAAAGCTGTAACACAATTTATTTCTTTGTTGTTGTTTTTTTTATTTAAATAGATGATTTTTTTTATTATTGCATTCAATGTTATTACTTGCGTGACTTCTTTGAAAGGGCAACTCTGCCCAATTAGGTGCAGCAGTTCTACAATATAATTGCAGGTCTTTTTTATCAGGACAACAAATTCTTCTTCCCTCTTTACAATCTGTATCCGTTTTGCAGGGAGTTATTGGTAATCGTTCAGGTATTGTTTCTTTTGGACACCTTCGACTAAAACCATTGATTGCTGAGTGATAGTGGAAAAAAATTTATTATTATTTTTTTTATTTGCCAAAAGTCATTGTTAGTTTGAATTTTAATGATTTTTTTTAACTGTTTCTAATTTTATTACAACGTTCGGTTTTTACTACTATACTCAATTAGAGAAAAACGAAATAATTTTTTTTATCCCTAAAAACTTGAAGTTTCGATTTCTCCAATCATGGAAGTTTTCTCATTTCCAGTATAGTACACTTCTCATTAAAAGTGTTTTTGTGTGTGATAGTTTAAATTTAGTATTGCTTTGACCTAGAAAAGAGATTGTAGAGTTAAAAGTGAAATATTAAGATTTTTTCTTTTTTTGTATATCAATCAATGTGGTACTTATATATATGTAACTGATTGTATTACATACAAGAGAGAGAAAAGACTTTAATTTCTAGATGGCATCACTGTGCCAGATTACAAATCAGCTTTCACCCACTACTCGCCTCACTTGCGAATCGACGTCATGACCTTTCCTATAATCAGTGTAACAAAGTTTTATACACCTAATTTGGTGCAAAAATGTCCCCAATTTATTATCATCATTATTATTATTACAGTAAATAACAATATAATTTTTATTTACACTTTTTTCATGTTTTAACTATTGTTAATAGTTTCCTAATCGTAGGACGTTAATGATGCTTTTAAAACTTGCTAAACTAGTTATAACACTTTGCGAAAGCAAAATGTGATGAGTGAACGTTGTATTTGGTTTCTGTAACAGTATGTAATTGCAGTGATATATAAAAAATTATTTTTATATATTTATTATTATATACCACAACAAAATTTACTAAACTGTCTCTTATTGATAATTCACTTTTAAAATTAGTTACGCTTCGATGCCTTTTGTCTTATTTGTGGAATTATTTCTATTATACTTTTTGTCTCTATTCTATACTTTGCAAATTATTTTTTATCACTTACTTAAGTCTAAAAGTTTGTTTCAATTATAAATTGAATTATTTTATTAATAATTCATTAGTACTATATTATTATTATCTATTTATTTATTTTTTTAATCATTGCACATTTAGTATTATATTAATTATTTGAATTATTTTCTATGTTTTAAAATATTATTTAATTATAATTTATATAAAAATAATAATGATAATAATACTAATTAGAATAATAATAATGAAAAAAAAAATGTTATAGCATTAAAATTTGTGAAGATAGTTAAGATGGAAAAAAAGTACTTTTATTAAAAATTCTACTTGTTTTATAAAAGAGTTATTTTAAGGAATAATTGTAAAAGAGTTTAAAAAGTAATATTTGCATTATAAATGCGGTTTGTAATATTAAATTTGCACTTTATTGCTTTTCTCGTTTGAGTAGCTTATATACGTATTATACTTATATATATAAACGTTAAATAAAATTTTTATCGACGCGCTTTTATGAAGATCTTGCGTAATTTTCGAAGAGGCAAAACTTCATCACACTGTAATACATTGAGAAAGGTGCGGGCGAGGGTCATTGAATCTATACTCATCGATATAAACTTTCTATCAATGTTTCTTGTTTTATCGTTCAAATAAACAATGCCGCGGGTTTGCCTTTAAATGAAAGGGTTAAGAAAGAGGGGGGGGGGGGTAATAAAAAAATATATCTAATTACTTCCTCGTGAAACAATATATTTCTTATTGATATTGCTTTAATAAACAATTCGAATTCAATTGATTTTTTTTTTTTTTTGGTAATAAAATTTAATTACAGTAAAACCTCGATTATCCGAACTGTAAATTTATTTCATATTTTTGTATTATATTTTCCCGACCTAAGGGCAAAATTAACATATTTTATGACAAAAAAAAATCTTTAAAAATTCTATAATTATATTTTTAGAGAATATAATCGAGGTTCTACTGTATTTATACACTGAAAACAAATTATTTGATTCAAAAAATAAGTTATTTGAATATTATCAAATAAATATTTACTTGAATCAGTAATTTCTGTATTTTTGAAACAAATACCATTTATTTAATATAAATATGTAGTTATTTATTTGTATTAAATAAATATTTGATAATAGTCAAGTAACCAATTATTTGAATCAAATTTCTTTTTTTAGTGCAATTGAATATTACAATATTATATGAGAAAATGCATTTTAAAGAGGTGAAGAAATTTGTCTTCACTGCGTAAAAACGATGATTTGATCTGACTCATTGAGTTTAAATATATATATACCTATGTATGAGGAAATAAAAAAAAATATAAACAGAAGACTCAATTCAGTAACGAAACCATGATATTATAATATAATTTGCTGAGATAAGTTTTGAATTAATTTACCGGTTTTAAATAATTCAATTAAAGGAATTTTCCATACAAAGAAAAGTAAGATATAGAAAATTTGTTATAATAGCTTATTGAAAAATAAACCAATTTCATTAAGTAACATATTTTGCTATAAATTCATGAATCGCGAAAAAGACAACTTGTAAAATTTATTTTCCCGCGAGACATTAAATATTTAATTTTCATTTTCTATTTGATATTTCTCATCGTCTTTTCTCTCCAGTAAGTCACATTTGCGCGCGCGCGCTGTATAGTTGTTAAACGAGGGCAAATAAATCGGTAATTGTTTTTTTAGAGGAAGCATCTGTATACACTTCTTGATACTTTTATTTCTCACTCTGGAAAGTTGCCATATTCTGTTGTGTTTCGTGTGTGACATGCCAAAAAGGTGCTTTGGGGAGAAGGATAATATATAGAAACGGGCAGAGGAACATTCTGTTAGAAATTCACACACACATATAAGAAAGAGATCTATATTAACAAGCCAAAAATTATTCACTCGATCTTTAGAAAATTTGGCAAATTTTTTATTCTTCATTTTCTTCATTTTTAGATGATTAAATTTATAATAATAATAATTATTATTATTATATAATTTATACGTATAATAGTTTCTTTTCTATTTTTTTACAGAAGAAAAAAAATTACGAGTCTGAAGGTTTATTATGTTTGCAAGAAGTTTTTTTTTAGAAAATAAAGTTTTGAGAGACGAAAATTATTATTTAAACATAAGCAATATTTTTGTTGAGTAACGAAAAAAAAGTTAACATCTTTTACTTCCTAAAATTTACATCGAATAACCACAATAAACGCCTCGTTGAAAAACAAGTCTCATGAGTAGGTCAAAGTCGTTGGCTTTTATCTTCCTTGAATGAGAAAAAGAAAAAGGCTTCCTTAAAAAGTAATCAACTTTTAATCCCGAGAGTATTATCAAATAAATTTATCCCTCTCTATTATAATTAGGTTTTTTTTACTTTTTCTCTAATATATATTTTTTTTTACAATTATTGTCATTTTTTTTCTATATTGTATCTAAATTTTTTTCTAGAACACTCTGATCTAGAAAAAAGTTGGTATTATACATAAATAATAATAGTAATATTAATAATTAGTTTTATTGTTGAAATAATTATTAAAATAACAAAAAGATTGTTTATCAATCACTGATTTTGTTTAAAAAGGAAGTCATGGTATAATAAATAACACTCGTGTATAGATTCGCACCTGTGTTAATAGTGTAGTTCCTAGACTTTCACCGCTTAGAGATTGAAGTAATTTATTTGAAAATTATTGCGCATATAATTGCATTCCGTTATGTAAATGAGTTCTCCATTAAATGTATATTAGTAATTTATTGTGATAATTGTCATAATTGAATAAAAATCAAATTTTAGGAAGGAAAAATTTTCCGGTTTGAGGCATTAATTAACATTTTTTAAATTCTGATTGTCAGAATTGTTAATTAGAGTCCGCGTTGGTCGCACTCGTTAAGGCGGTTTGGTTTTCGTTAGGTTGTGCATCCTGTGTTCAAATTTTCCCAGCGTGAAAAAATTTTAAAAATACATAATTATACATCAAACAATGTGTAAATTATTTCCGAAGTAAAAAAGAAAACTAATAATTATCACTTTTTTCAATTAATTTTTTTTCAAAACTACAATTTCTGAATTTGTCTTTATTTCTAAATTAAAAAAAAAAAGATTGTAAAATGTCCTTGGCAACGACAACTTTTACTTTTAGATTTCAAACACAATTTATCAGTTCACATACCGATGACTGTTATTTCCATTTACTATCAAATTATTTTGTATCTTCGTTGCACAATTTGGCTAAGGTACATTGCCAATTTCAAAAGAACAGCTGATCAAGCCTTATTGATTTTTAGAGAATCTTTTAACAAACTGAAAATGAAATATAATAAATATTATAATATATAACATAAATAATAAAATAATATTTTATAAAAATTTTTTTTGTACAATTTAGTAAAAAAAGAATTTTAATTATAAAATTAGTTATTATTATTTTATTATTAATAATATTAAAATATTATTTTATTTCATAATCTATGATCTTAATATTAATAGTAAAAAAAAGTGATTCTATTATTTAGTTTCTTTATTCTCTATAATGTAATTTACATATTAATTGTGTATGTAATTAAAAATTTTTTTTTCACCTGGGACATCAAAGTGAATGGAGGATAAGCTCTCTGACCTGTGACTGGTAAACTTCATTAGCGAATTGTTCATTAAAGGATGTTCGCGTTTTTGTTCAGGAACTTGGTTAGAATTAAATGCACTATTTGTGTATGTGTGTGTGTGTGAGTGCAATTTATAAAAAAGAAAACAACCTTCGAATCAAATTAATACTCCAATCTTAGAAAAGACATCCCACGTTCATTTAATCGATAACATTATTTTTAATGCAGAAAATTTAAATTTACATAACAAAAATATAATTCTAAAAAAAATTACAAAAAAAAATAAATTATAAATTTCTTTTCTGATTAGAAAAGTTTAAATTATTAACAAACCTTATAGTAAGTTAAATTTATTATGAATTTAATATTAAATTTGCAATTTACTTGCTGGTGTATATTTTCTTTTATATAGTACCATGAAAATAGTTAATTTAATCTTCAATTACGATAAAAACATTTTAGGATTTATTATTTATATATATATATATATAAAGATAGGATTTTAACAAGTTACCGAAATAATGAGATTCTTGAAAAAGTTTTTTAATTTTTTTTTCATATACAATTTAGCAAGTGTTATTACAAATGAACGTTACACGAGATTCATAAATATTCAAATGACATTCATTATCATATTCAAATATTTTATATTACTATTTGCATTATCTTCACGCAGACAATTACAAAACTTCACTAATTTTTTTTTCTATAATAATTAATTATTTTTACTGATAAGTGACTGTGATTTCATAATTTGTAATATATGAGTATGGTAATGAATAATTTATATAAATATACTTTTTTCATTTTACATTCAAGATAGGTATAAATGGAATCGTATTTTTATATTAATTAAATTCTTAAATAGATTTAATATTTATTCTCTTAAAAATTACGGAATTAAATTTTTTTGGCCGCCAGGAAGATTTGAACATACGACGTGCAATTTGTATTTCTGCGCTTTAACGATTGCGACCAACGCGGACTTTATAATAATTATTAATTCTTTTATAATAGAAAAAAATACACACCCTCGTGATATGGTTCTTTAATAGGTGGAGGAACACCCTGAGTGCAGTATCCTTTGCAGCATCTTTGATTTGGACCAAAGATGCTGCAGTCGGCTAATTCGTTACAAGGGATGCTTAAAAGTCGTGATAGTCTTCCTTCTAGATTCAAGACTCTTGGACAGATTAGCTCTTGTTCCTTCTTTTCTTTATTGTCACTCGTTGCTTCAACTTTTGCTGGAGCGACTGAAACAGATTTGTGCACACATCGATCGATATATATATATACACAATACCTACACACTGTTCTTTCTCTTTGTTTACTTTTCTTTTTTCTACCCCATAATATATATGTTGTTTTGAGAAAAAGAAAAAAAGAATACGAATATATATGGAAAAACTTCTTTTCAGTTGAGAAAAATCTCTCGGGTTCAAAAAAAAGAAAAAAATACCCGGGTTTTATTTAAAGAAAAGGGATTATATATCGTATAATCCCATATTTTTTTTTTTTTTTTTTTGAAAACACGTTTATTAAAAACAAACTAGTTTTTCTGTATTTTTTTCTATTCTTTTATTTTTATTTAGTATAAACGTATTAGTATTTCAAGTATTAAAGTTATTTTTTTATTACATTTTTTTCCGAATTGAACATTTTTAATTATTAATAAAGATTTTTTTTTTTAATTTACTTAATTATTAATTAAGAATATATATATATACATATTTCGTTTATAAAAACATATTTCTTTTTTTTCTATATATTTTATTATCATGTATCTGATATATTTATAAAATTTATAAATTTAAACGTGAGTTAGACAAAGATCGTAACGGAAAAGAAAATCACGTATACACACACACACACACAATCAAAGATAGGTGATTACGAAATGATTCTGCACCCGGGGTTCTTTGACTCCTGTTCCTCTCCATCAACAAAAGGGGACAAAACTTCGCTATACATTGTTCATTGTTATATATTTACAACTGTTGAACGTCACAAGAGAAAATAAAATGGGTTTTTAAAATATTCTTTTCCAGAAATAAAATATTTGTTTATATTAATTAAATATTTTAATTAACATAACTAAATATTTTAACTAAATTAATATACCCTATATAATATTTTTTTATGTCTTCAATATATTTTGAAATTTCGAATAGTTTTGGAAAATAGGTTTTTTTTCGAATACAGTATAACTTAGATAAGTGAGATTTCAAAGAACAGGTTCGACTGTATTTATTATTCAGGCTCTCGTTGAGGAGACAAAAGACTGGTGAACTTAAAAAAAATTGCAAAGTTTCTCCCCCTTTACTTTGCACTGCTTTTGAAAATTTCAGACACAGAGCAAAAACAGGGACATGTAAATTCTTGAGTTTTGTAAATATAGAAATATGGGTCATATGTTTCTTATTTTATTGTTAAATACTGTTTTTTCGACTTATTTTTTGTCATATCACTGGAAAAAAAGTATAATAGAAATAATATAAATAAAGGCGAGTAGGTTTTTAAAAGAAAATTAAAATAAATTGTGGTACAAGTTTTGCCTAGATGTAATTTAAGCATTATTTATTTCTTTGGCACGTTTTCTTCAATATATATTCCAATGTTGCGAATTTTATTTTTGCAAATGTATTCGTTAAATTTTATATAGAAATGTGTATATACACAGAAGTGTATATTTATATATATATATAAATATAAAATTAAATTATTCACGATTTCTAACTTTTCCCCACAACCTTAATTGCCTTAAAATTATTTTACTGCGCGAACCGAATGTAACTTCTTCGTGTTGCAAGAAAGTTGTATATATTATCATTATATATGAAAAATTACTGCATAACATTGGTTATAAATTTTCAGATATCCATATATTGAAAATAAGACAAAGTTATGCATGTAATATTTATATATACGAAAACTAGAAAAATGTCAATATATACATATATGTATATATTATTTTGCTTATTGAAATTCAATTAATATTATATTTATTAAATTTAGATTGAATGACAATTATTTTTTTACTTTTATTTACATAATTTCAAATATGGATTTTTTTTGAAGTTCATTGAAACATTCGAATTGAGAAACATTAAGTTAGAATTTTTTTTCAAAATAAAAATCATATTTAACCGCATAGCAATATAATAAAAAAAATTAAATATCGATATATTGAATATATGTAAAAGTATATTCTTGCGTAAATTATTATACAAGAGGTATAGGTAGATCAAGTGCAAGGAAGTTAAAATATAATATGTAAAATAGTATATATAATTATATATAGATAGAGAAATAGAGAAATAAAATTGTTCGAGGTGTGCGATTAGGTAAAAATGTCATAAGGTGAAGTAACGTTTCTTGTCTCATATATATAGCGAACAGATGTTCCAATTTATTACCCAGTGGAATGCCATTTGTATATAATCCTCCTACTATTTTATATCTAAAGTTTTGTCCACAAGTTATTCCTTGTTTCAAAATTCTCTTGTTATATTAAATTCTCTCCTACTGAGTGTTAGGCGCATGGTGTTAGTTATTTTTAAACGTTATACGCTGTATAAAGAGACAAAAACCACTTTTTTTCCAAGTGAAAAATAAAACAGGATATTTCGCATTTTCACTCTATAGAAAAATTATATAGAAAATTCTCTTTGTTTTAATTTCAATTTAATGGAATAAAAAATAATCTTCAATTTTTATACCCATTAAAATCTCAGTATAATTATGCCCGCGAGTTATTTCAGAGATCAGTTTTTTTGATATATAATCTGTATCTGTTTGTATTCTCTTATCGTTTAATGCTCTGCTGAATCTTTCGAATTATATTTCTTTTATGTAAGAAGCATATCTTAATTTCTTGTATTTGTTTTATTGTAATATGAAATAGGTACATACTTTATAAATATAGATCGTGTATTACTGAATTTTCTGTTTTTTGCAAAAAAAAAAAAATAATAATAATAAAGTAATTTATGATCATTTTATGACAGATTTTGTTTTAAGAATATTAATGTATCGTGAATTTACATATACGATATATCAGAACGCGAATGTCTTTATCTAATTTATAACTTTGCGGCATTATTATGTATACGTGATTCAAAAACAAAAGATCTTTTTTTAAAATTCCTATAAACAATTGAAATGACGCGTCATAAATCATACTACATATAGTGAAATTTGCAAACAAATATTAAATTATTAATATCTCATGCATCATGCATATGTAATAATAATGTGATATCTTTTCTTAAATGAAAACTATATATGAAAAAAAAAGTTATTTGATTCAAATAAAAACTATTTGGTCTAAATAAAATATATTTGTCTCAGAGCTTACTAGCCTATTTATTTGACGTAAATATAAATTTTATTTTAATCAAATAAATTTTTTTTTCAGTTTATATAATTCAACTCAAACACGATCTTTGTCCAATTTTATTATTTAATAGAAAGATTAGGAAATAGGTTCTTATACACGAATATAAAATTATTTATTTTGCAAAATTTACAAAAGAAATTGCACCCTAAATTTAAAATTTATTTATTTTTTGTTTTTTAAATAAAAAATCATTATTACAGTCTTGCATGCACACCTGCATTTGTGTTTACATCCTGCGCTTGTACACATGCTCTTACCAACAATGCAAAGAAGAAAAGAGTCATGTGACTAATTCTACACTTGGATAATTCTCTTATAGCATTCACGTACATGATCATAATGTGCGAGCATCGTTGTCGTGTTTTGTAATATATCATTAGGAATTTATTGTTTCAATTTTGAATTTTTAAGTTCGAATTCAATTATAATTCTCCTCTATGTATAGCTATTATAAAGAATTTGTAACATAATTTTTATTTTGTTTAAATAAAAACGGAATTTTCTTTTATTTAACTGTAATCTAATAAAATTAAAATTTTAGTTAAATAAAAATTACACTTAAATTAAAATTAATTAAAAATTTTTAATCAAAATCACTATATTGATTTTCGCGCACCTTATGGGGAATCGAAGATATTTTGTGATAAAAATCGTTGACCGATCGAAATAATTATATACGTAACGAACTCTTATTTGAATATAGTGAATGCGATTATAATAAATATGTATGGAAGAATCACATAAATATAAACACTGAAAATCACTACGCATACAAGGTCACTGGGAGCCCTTGATTAATCAAGGTGGTTGTAAAGCCTGCAAAGATAAAACTGCTATGTATATACATAATATCATTGAGAAAAGGGTGTGAAAGTTTCTGGCGATTTTATAAAACCATATAGATATATATTTCATGTTGGGGAAAGAGAAAGGAATCTAGTGTTGCAGCAACACTAAATATATAATAAATGATTGCAAGAGAGGCTAAAGCAAGAAAATATTGCTCTATATTTATATATATACAGGAGAAAAAAAAGTGGACAAAAGATGTGCTTCTTTAAATATAAAAACAAAATTAATTTAAAGAAAAGAGAGAAAGAACAGAATTTCACGGGAACAGAAAAACTTAATTATAATAAAGTAAGAATTTTACTGCAAAGACATTTTTAAAGAGTTGCTCCAGGCTATATATTCTTGAACTCGCAGATTTACAAAAAAATGTTGCGTCATCGCGTATATATTGCGTGTGAGATTTTTACTATTATATATACAATACTGTAATTTTTAAATTTTCATGAAATTAATTTTAGGTTCAAAATAATTAGTGTATAATTATTTTTAAATTATCTTTTAAAATTACTTATATATATATGCGTATACACTGTATATTTTTTAATTTTCATGAAATTAATTTAAAGTTCAAAATAATGTGTATAATTATTTTGAAATTATCTTTTAAAATTTTTTATTTTTAAATATATATATAGTTTTAAAGTATTTTTGAATGCGGGGATATTAACGTTTAACAAACTCAATCTTTAAAGGGAATGGACAATTTCAAATATTGAATTTGTCAATTTGTATACACTTTTTTCTCTATTCAATTTATAATTGACATGAATGTTTTTACAATCAGTTTTGTGTCAATTTGGTTGGATTAGGTAAAATCAGGAATTTATATTTGGAAATATTTGCTTATTCTACAGGACTAAAATTTGTTTAAAAATAAAAATATCGTTTTTTTGAAATTGGATTATGATAAAAAATTTATTTAATTCAAATAAATTGCGCTTGACTATTATTAAATAAATATATTTATTCGGACTAAATAATTTTTAATTGATAATAATCAAGTAATCCATTATATTTTAATCAAATAATTTTTTTTTAATATAATTACAAAGATGTTTGTTGTAGGTATATTTAGTAATCAACTTTTTTTCATGTTAAACTTTCTGCTTGGTTTTCATTTGCAGTATAGTTGCACATTGAAAGTTACACCTATAATTATACACAGACCAGAAATTGTCGTAATCAGGTTCCACATTTGTGTATTTGCATTCTATGCATATTCGTGTTGCATATGAGTGTCCAGAGAGTTGGCACGAAATTCACTGCAGCAAAATGTACATATATGCAGTTATACCAACACAATAGAAGTTTAGAATAATAATAATAATAATATGTTCGTTGAGGAGGAGTATCAACCCCAACAATATTCAAGTTCAATCATAATGTAGTCTACAGAGGATATTAAATTACTTTAAAAGATGTTTAATAAATTAATATATGTTTTCATGGCATATATATTACATACAATTTTTTTTAACTTTTTATGGTTATAAAGTAAAATAGGCATCATTTTCATAAAAAAGAAATTTTTATTATCAAAACTATTTCATTGCCTTTAAAATTGAAGACGCGTTCACTTTAATATTCCAACAAAATGGATCTATTGTATTTATTTATTGTTTCGCAAATATATAAGAGTTCTATATTAATTGACGTGTCTGTTGGTTCGATTTTTCTGATGGACATATACAAAGCTTTATATAGACATATCTAAAATTCAAACGATATATATAAACTTTGATAATAGTGTATATAGTTACTGAACATGCGAAAAAGAAGTTAATAAAAGTTTAGCTTTTCAAAGTTTATAATAAATATAAAACTATATACTTTTGGAGAGTGATGAATTTATCTTTTCAACGTATACATCAATCGATATGGCAATTTTACGATCCTTATTTGCTCGTTATAGGTCTCGTTGATTTACTTGTTTCTCTGGTGCGCTCAATCGATTTATTTACCCCCCTCCCCTCTCTCTCTTTTTTTTAAAAGGCGGTTTAAGTTAAAAATTTATAGTTTGAACGAGGTCTGGTTGAAAACATAATTACTTTTGAAATAAAAGATATTCATCTTTTATAAATTTAAAAGCAACTATAAATATTATATTATACTATACGGAAAAAGATTTACCTGGAACAGCGAATTTCAGTGAAATAGCAAAATAATTGTTTCAGCTAAATCTTTCACTATTCCAGTGAATCCTTTCGCTGTTCCAGATAAAATTTTTTATAGACAATTTGATATTTGATTAATAAAATTCAAATTTTAATTGTATTGTTGTTATATGCAATTATTGTTTTGTTGAAAATTAAACGGGGGAAAAAATTACAACTAAAAATAAATATAAAAATAATATCCTCCAATGATTTCAGTTGTGTAAACATTTTTGTTCGTCTTAAAATATTGTATGTATATACATATAGGACGACGATTCCTTTCTTAAACGCAGATTCTATAATATTCAAGGTTAAAACCTTCTTAAATATATTTCTTTCTAAAAAGAAAAAGTTTTAATTCTGTCTTTGTGTTTCTTCTTGAAAAATAACATCTCTTCTTCATTCATCGTTTTTCTAACATACATTTTGGTAAAATTTACAATATCAATGAAAATATTTATTTAAAACAAATAAATTTTGGTTTAGAAATAATTATAAAAACAATGTTTTATAATAATATTGTTTCTGATAAGGATTAATTAAAAAGAAGAAGGTACCCCTCCCCCAGCTATCCGGCAGAAAAATATAATCCCTCGCACTTTTAAATTGAACGTTTTGCCAAAACTGTAATTGGCAATCGTGTGTTTATAGGGCCCTTTAGCCTGCACATAACTGAATTTCATTTTTCCTTTTTAAAACGGCTCCTTCTCTACTGGCATGACAGGTATCGGATAAGAAATAAGAAAAACCAGCTGTGGCCAAAACTTAGGGCACAAAGTACAAAAAGAAAAAAGAAGAGAAGAGTGTGGAAGAGAATAAAACGATGAAAAAGAAAACTGGACATTACCAGAGCCAAAAAGGAAGACAGTAGTAGTAAAGGACAGAAAAAAACATATGTAATAGAAGTGAGAAAGACACACAATGTAGTGAACGATTGCAATTTTAGGTGGGGAGAAAGAAGATGACACAAATGAAGTTAGAATGATGGTAAAAGAGGGGTGGGGGTGAAGAGGATATATTTTATATTGAATACGAGACGTAGATGTGTGCCCCCATAAGGACAATGAACATGCGTATAATGAAAGTGTATCGTCGAAAATAGTATAACAAACCATAGCAAACAATATTAAAGTGTTGTATATATGTATATATATATAGAAGAAGAGACGAAGAGGGAGAATAAATTTCCCCCACTTTGAGAAAATTACCCCCACCATTTGTGTAACATGCTGCGCTTCGCTATCGCACGGAATCACGGACAAATCAAACATGGCGATTCAGTCGCTGTTTACGGTAAATGCATATGGCTCACAGTCCTTGTGTTTGATTAATTAAACAGTGTAATTGATTTTGTGACGGTGATGAGTGCTCGTGCCATTGGGAATAGACGTATTTTGCATAATATTACAAATATGGAGGAGCATGAAGATGAATTAAGTGGTGAAAAAACTTCGGGCGGCGTTGACGAGCTCGGTGACGAAAAAGGCGTACAGGCGGATCCGACGCTGAGCGCGGCATCGACAACCGTTTCCTCGACATCGAAGACAGTGCCGCTCTCTGCCGGTGAAAATACTGATTCCAGGTGTCAAATAGACGACAGCTATAGACATGTAAGAGCAATTTGTTGTTTTTTGGATAATTTTTGAAAAACCACTTTTTCGAAATACTTTGCGTCAATGATTGCTGTATTTTTCAATTCGACAATATTCTAGGTTTTGGATTTTAATTTTCATTTTGAGAGTCAAAATTATTGTCTTTCAAGATTTTCCAATTTTCTCTAATATTATCAAATTGCAAAATTGTTTTTGCAAATTTGCTTTATAAATAAAAAGCAGAATTTTCGATAATTTTATTTTGCAGTTTGCTTTGAATTTGTAAATTTTTCTTTTTATTCATTTTTAGCTAATGTCAAAAATTTATCTAATTTCTCAAATAATATTTTTAATATTGTAAAAAAAATTAACTCTCTACAATGTAAATGAATTGTTTAACAAAGAACAAGAGGAACGTTGTTTCATAATTTACTTGACAGAGATAAATAATTAGAAAAACAAAAGACTTCTGTGTAAGAATAAATTGAAAAACAGATAAAAAAAAATTTTTTTAAGACAGTTGCAAAAATACATTGATAAATTTTGCATTAGCTAAATTATTTTTGTAAAAGAATTAAGTGTTATTATTATTGGTTATTGTCACACGTGTTCATTCATTATTGATGCTTGAATTAAAAATTTATGAATTGAAATTTTAAAAATATACACATGAAACGGTGACATTTTAAATGCCAGGAACAGATATTTCAGGATGCGGATGATATTGCAACCTTTCGATTGACAATCAATATTGTGAATGACAAATTATTGCTTTTTTCCTGTCAGTTCAAGTCCAATTAATCAAGGCACTTGTTTGAAATAATTTTTGTTCATATAATGTTTATTTTCTTAAATTTTTTTGATTTATTATGTGCCTGAAATTCTGAATGACATAAAATAGTACATTAATTTAATAAATTATTAATTTACTTTTTAATACAGGAAGTAATGTTTTATAATAAAATTTTAAATTAAAAAAGTAATAAACAAATTTTTCGTTAATTTAAACATTCAGAACTTCAGGTAGATTATTTATCGCATTGAAATTCCTTCTTCAGAATTACATTATTTTGATTGTGTAATTTCAATAATCGTAAAACAGATATTAATTTTTAAAAAAGATATAAGTGAAAGTCTATTTTATGTATGGCATTTCAAGTTATTAGAAAATTATAGAATTAATTTCAAATTTGTCCATTCAATATTGCTTTCAATTGCACGCAATGTAAATCGAAAAAAGAATTATTTTATTTAAATAATCAATTTTTGATTAAATTAAATATCAATCAAAACTAAATTTTTCATGAAGAACATTTTTTTAATATATTGTATGAAATTTCTCAACAGAAACCATTTGTGAGAAGATGTGGCAAATTTGAGAGCGGAAGCGGTAGTGGAGATCAAGATGGAATGCACACCGAGGATGGAGTTGATATTGCGGCAAAAAAACGAAAAACACGTCGCGGTAAACCAAAACATCGAAAATTAAAGCCCTATTCAAAGCAACATCTCTCCTATCAGCAGAGAATTCGCAATCGAATTGGAAGGCCAACAAAAACAGGACGACAACCACCAGCACCTTATAATTCAAATCAATTTTTAATTGAGGACCACAACGATCTTCCTGATTTAGAACAAAAATTAGCAAGTGCCAGTGCCTCTGATATACCGCGATCATTTCAAAAACCCACAGCGGCATCGCGTACTCGCGATTCAAGTTTTAGCATTGATTCAGATGAAGATTTCTTTTATTCATCGCCCGAGGATGAGGAGGAATTTCTCACTAAAGAATTCAAAACCGCCTATGAGGATCTTCATGCCGAAAGACTTGGATCAATGACAAAAGCACAACTAATTCAGGAATATATACAACTTGAGGCGAAAGTTGATCTTTTAACAAAACGATTGAGAGCGAAAAATTTACATGCAAACGATGATAAAGATTGTGAATCATCGAAAAATGGAGGCGGTGAATTGGAAGCGTCGAAAAAATTAAAAAATTTTCAACAACGAATCGATGATCTTATTCAACAGAATGAACAATTAAAAAGGGAAAATGAATCATTGCGTGGACAACAGAGGCACAAAAGTGTGAGCATTGATAGCGAGAGTGATAGCGATAGTTCAAGTAATGAGAATCAAAGTACAAGAGGTGGGAATGGATCGCAAAGAAGTCCTGGATCATCACCAGTTCCTGTTTCATATCAGGGACGACTTGACAAAAATCATAGACAAAACAGCTCAATATCGAGTGTCGATAGCGAAAGTGATAGCAGCAGTAGCAATGAGAGTGGTCCAAATGATGTCAATAATGCAAGTCCAAAATCACCTGTGGAAATTACAAACGGTCATGCGGCTATTCATGAAATTGAAGGTCTACCTTCTTAAATCATCTTGCGATATATTTTTTTCTATTTCTGTGCGCTTGAAAATGAACAATTCTGCTATGCAGAGAGGAAAAAAAGAACATTATTTTGCTTGCAGAAAAAAATATTTAAAAAAAAAATTTGAGAAATGAAACTGGCAAAAGATTCTGTATTTGGATCTTGAAAACATTTATTCTTAATCTGTACTTTAACTTCTTTTTAGAAAAGAATCTTATAAGATGAGAAAATTGGAAACATCGCAGAAAATTTTTCTTTTGTTTCGGAAAAATCTAAATTTTTTATGTTAGGATCAATCCATTATATTTCGATCGTAAATAATTGTAAAAATTGACTTTAAAATTCATTTTAAAAAAATTAGCAAATCATTTTGTGTGAAATATAATCGATTGAGTCTAATAGAAAATTTTTATTTTTACATATTTTCAATCAATTATTTTTTCAATATTGAAAAATTGTTGCATTTCACACATGAAAGTAATTTTAAACTTAAAGAAAAGATAAATAGTTTTTCTGTGAAGTCGCCATGTAATTTTAAATTTGAGTGTCTCTTACTGCTAAAGGTATCGAAAGGAGAAACAAATGTGCAACTTCTTTTTAAAAAAAACAACAAAAAAAAAAAACGAAAAAGATTGACAAGAAAAAAAATTGAAAAAAAATAAAGAAATCGACTTTTGTAAAAAGAAAAAAAAACTATATGTAACTTTTTTTGTACATAGAATATTGTTTTTGTTACTTTCATATTTATATGAATGATTAAAGAGTGTGATAAGTTTTTTTTGTGGGGAGGGGGGGAATAAGAAGTGGCACATTTTCTTTTTGTGTAGATAAAAAAAAGAAAAAGTAAATTTTTCTTTGACTTTGATTGTCTTCGATTCTCCTGCAATAAACTGCCAGCTGCAAAGATACCAATAGCACAAAAAAAAGAGGCCTGCAGACCATCAACTAACGCAAGCCCAAGAAACCTAAAACAGGGGTCCAGTGAAATTTCTAATATTTAACATATATTGAAAACGAAGCGAAGATTGTGATGATAATTGTAATATTAAGAAGAAAAAAAAATGTACAATTGTATAGATTTAGAAAATAAGCCTAGGTGTTAGTTTATGGTCTGATTTTAGAATAAGTGAAATGCCCTTATACCATTGATATTCAAATTGAATTATTTTTTTAGAATTATTTTCCTTTGTTATAATATGAAATTGTCAACGCACTAGATCTCTCCTAAGTGTAAGAAACAAAGGGCATAATATGCACTAATACAGTATATATTTCATTTTTTTCAGTGATTAAAAATCAATTTATGCTCACGAAAGTTTTATTAGTGTAAAGTCTCAAATTTAATATATATATATATATATATGGGTTTTTTTTTATACAAACTCTTTTTAAAATTGAATCAGTGAAATTGCATTGATTTTTTTTTGAGTTTTGTAAGAAAAAATTATTTAATTTCTTATTTAAAAAATTATTTATAAAAAAAATTAATTTAAAAATCAGAGAGACTTTTGCATTAAAAAACTTTTGATGTAGAGCTCTTTATTTCTGAGTATATATAATTATATATTTTTTTCTTTCTTTTTTTGACATTTTTAACATTATATATGTATCATAGATTATACATTTTTAAAAGAGATATATCAAGAATATAATTCATATTTGAGAATTATTTACGTGTGTTCTTTTTATTTCCATTTTATTTTTCTGCGTTTTTATTACGTGTTTAATTATATATCTATGGAGAATTTTTTTTTACAAAATAAATTATTTAAAAAATAAAAATTCGTTCAATTTGAAATTTTTTTTAAAAATTTGTTAAGACGATTTTAAAATTGTTTTACCCTTTTTTTATTGTGTTAACATGTTATAGATATAAAAAAACGAATCATTACTTTATGCTTTTGTTATGGTTATAGGGGTGATATTAACACTGCTGCATTTCCAGTCTGCGATATGATTCATGTATTTTGAAACACCCGGTCAGAAGTCGATGACTATATCTTCTACTGAAAACATCAGTCTGTCGAGAGCGTTTGTCAGCGAAAGTTGTATTGAGAGAAAGAAAATTGTAAATTTACAACAATTTCAATAATATTAAAATCAAAGAAAACTTTTTGGAAATTTTTGAAAAAGAAGGTTTATTTTCTTCATCATGAAAGTGCAATATTTTTTATTTTTTATTACAATAATTTTTGTAACACACGTAACTTGTGTATTAAAAAATATAAACGATCTTAATGGTATGAAGATAATTTTTTTAAATTCATATTGACTATTTTTTGTTTATATTTTATATTTTAAACTATTTTTGTTAGTTTTTTTTCGTTTAAAATTTTACTTTTCTGTTTTTTTTTAAATTTAATTATGATTTTTATTTTTCAGAACAAAATCTATATGAATGTCGATGCGCTCATTATGATTGTGGATGCTGTAATCACATTGAATTGGATTACTTTAAAGTGAACGGAACATGTAAGATTTAAATTATCGTATTTAAAATCTTAAATTACTTTTCATATTTAAGTGATTTAAATTTATTTTATAAATTTCTGAAACAAAAATCTCTTTCTTTTTAGTTTGTTCCGACATGAAATACCTGCCGAACGATATAGGGGTTTCTATGACAATTACCTACAACAATATGACTTTTTATAACGAAACCATATCAGGTAATTTAAATTTTTACAGGAAACAATATTCAAATTACTTTAAAGAAAAATTCATGTTGGAAGAAAATTGTTTATTGTTATAAAAAGAATTTTTATTTTTAATTTTACTAAAATCAAAATTGAAAATTCTTAACCAATATTTTAAAATGAAAAAATTAAAAATTTCTTATGTTCTGACTGATAATAATACGAGATGTTAAATGAAATTTAATATTGTTTTGTCTTTCAGTGAGAAATCCACCAAAGATTTGTCCTATCATTATCGAAGAATTTCATATAGAAGCTTGTGTTCGTTTTTATGATATGGATTTTGATAGACATCATTTTAATGGATGTGCTGAGGTTGATATTTCATTCTTAAGAGCATTGCCTTTAATGAAAAAAGACTTGGGATGTTTTCACATGGGTCATCAAAATTCAACAAATTCTATTCCATATACTGTGATGATGGTAAAATAATGCAGGTGAAAAAATCAATTTTTTTTTATTTTATTATTATTACTATTAATAACTTTTAAATACTAAAATTTTTATACACAAAAAAGAACAATAGTACAAAAAATATTGTACCGCAAAAGTAAAAATAAAAACAAGTAAATGATTTAGTTTTAATTCTTTTTATATATTTTAAGGAAGGGAAAATAACACGTTTGTAACTTCATTGTATGTGTATTTTGTTTGAAACGAGAAAATTTTATTTTTAAAACAATTTTACACTCTTACATTTATAAATATATAATTTGTTATAGAGATTAAAAAAATATAAAATTATTTTTATTTATAAAAAATGAAAATGAAATTGATATAACCCATTAATTGAGATTGAGTTTAAATGCAAATATATATATATATATTTTTTTTATTTTGGAAGGTGATAATTAATTCAGCAATGAAATCAGAAGTTTTTTTCTTCCTCCTTCGCAATCACTCTGTAAAAACAATAAAAGATTTTCCAATACAATAATACATATATATTACACGATCGTGTGTGAACAAAATTGATCATACAATGAAGTGCACTGAGTGTTAAAAAAGGAATTAAAGTGATACCAATCCAAATGGTGGTTAATCTCATTATGAGAATAAGACGTATATTTTAAATTAATTCAAAAGCGCAGTCAGGAGCCTTTTCATATCGGCACTGCAATCGCTCTGTAAACGCAAAACAATGCGAGAATTTATTAGCGCCTTGAATTACATTAATAATAACATACAGCATTTTTTTATGTTCAAAAAAGAAAATATCAAAATTTTGAAAAATTATATCCATTTCCGATATAATTTTTGATATTTGCTTTTTTAAACGATTTAATATTATTCACTATATAAGAAACTAGTTGGTTCAAAAACAATAATTTTAGTAAGAAATTTGATATATTTAATTTACAAATATAGTTCATGCCCATGCTCAAATTGACAAATTTTAATTAGATTAATTAATTAATATACAAACAAAGCTTTATTTGTTATTGGCTAAATGAAAAAACTTACTCCGAAATAAAAATTGAGAAAAAAAAAATAATAATTTAGAAAATGAAATAATATATAAACATTCTTTAATATTCATAAATAAAAAATTGTAAATAAAAGAAAGAAAACATAAATAAATAAAATATAATTAAAAAAAAAAATTTTAAATATATAAATTGTTTAAAATATAGGATTTATTTCCAGAAAAATAATTTCAATCGGTGACATAAACAATGAATAATCATCTTTGGTTACATTGTGATAAAAATTTGATAATATAATATATAATGATAAAACTTGTTTTTATATATATATTCGACACAAAACGCGAGTGATAAAAATATTTCGATTTAAAATTGAAAATGAATAAAACTACGTTATATTTAATAAATAATAATTGAAACGCAATATTATTAAACTTTACTATACATATACATTGAAAATTTTAATTATTGAAATACAATATTATAGTAATTTAAATCTCAAGAGTTAATGAGTGAAAAACAATGAAATAATTAAATTAATTCAGTTGGTCAGGGCTAGTAAAAGTTTCCTGTAGTCTCCCGAACAGTCACCCTGAAATTGAGTCACGGTTAAAAAGAAAATATATATAAAAATGCAAAAATAAAAGTTAGTTATTATTATTATTATTAATATTATTAAAAGCAAGAGTTTTTAAAATAGGATTAATACGCGATGTGTGATTGTTACTAACAAATGAAAGAATAGTATTTTGTTTCGTTCAGATATTTATATAAAAAAAAAATTCTTTGCCCCTAAGTAAATTAAAAATTTAATTACTTTTCAATATTCAATGGAGATAATAAATTCTAATTTTTAAAAATTAATTATAGAAGTTAATAGAATTAAAATTTGTTAATTTAATAAATTAAAATTACAATGATTAAATTAATTAAATAATTCTAAAAAAATTAATTTTATCTTGTAATAAAAATAAAATTTGGTTGTAATTCTAAACTTTGAGATATGTTTTTCTTCAAAATTTGAGCCTTCTATTTTCCTATTTTTAATTATTAAATTTTGGGAAATATATATACTTACATCGATATCACCAGCGAGAGACTGACCATACATTTTTTGATACATTTCTTTAATATCTCCCAAATCGATTTCGGATCTTGCCACAATAATACGAATTAATGTTTTATCATCAGTTCCCATACCTGACATGGCTTTGTGTAATCTTTCGGCGAAATATGCAGTTTTATCACGTGCGCATTTTACTGAAATATTTTTTATTTTTCATTCAGAATGAAAAAGAAAATTGATATATTTTTGTAAATAAAAATACAAATAAACGCGGATAATTAAAATATAATATAGTTAATATAATAATAAATAGAAAACTAATTAATATAGTTTTTTTATTTAAAAAAAAACTAAAAATGATTTTACCAACTGCAAGGTAGCCATCCTCGAGAGAGCCAGAGAATTCTCTCTTCACAGCATCTTCCACGCTGTTTCCAGAGAGACGTTCATATTCTTTGAAAATTCTGCGAAGTTGAGGGAAACTTTTTGTAATCAAAATAGCATTAAATGTGCTTTCATCAGTTCCCCATTGTCCTTCTCCAGCTTCTAAAAGTCTCTGAGCGTCCATTACGGCTGCTGCCTCATCGACATTAGCGTCTTCATTTCTATTTGCCTGTAAAAAAAAATGAGAAAAAAAAATATTGAGAAAAACCCTCGAGAACAAAAAAAAAACTTCTTGATAATTTTTTTTCTCGACATTTTCTTTTTTAGAGAATTAAATTTTACTCACACATGATAGAGAAACAAGCAATCTTTTGAAATGGCCAGATGTATCTCCTTTCAAGTCATCTTCAAGTTCTTTATCGTACTCTGCAATCAATCAATTTGTTTCGATTTAAACATTATAACATCAAAGAAAATTTAATTGAACGTTTAGCTAACGACTTAATTTCAAAATTAAAATGGAAACTGAAAAATTAGTGAGAATTTTATAAGTGGAAGAAATAGTGTATTTTTAACCCAAAAAATAATTTAACTATCACAATAAACATATTATTTTTATTAATTGGGATTACTAAAATTATTTATTATCGACATTTAAAAAAAATAAGTTTAATTTTTTTAAATTGATTGAAATTTTGAATAAAATACAATCTCACAAGACGCTTGATGCATTTTATAATAATGATGGGTGTGCTTAGGAATTCCGAAGGTTAACACTATCGATAATAATTGACTCATAGAAAACTTATACAGAGTACTAAGGAATCTCGATTCATTATATTCTTCTCTCAAGGTTATTAACTTCAGGGACACTATAAAAAATTATTCAATATAAAAGGTTTTAGGTGAATAAAAACTTAAAAAGATATATAATTCTTGAAATTTTTTTTTAGGAAAAAATAAATTTTTTTAGCAAAAAAAAAAAATGAAACTTACGATCCTTGTAGACAGCAGATATTGTTTTGATTCCATAATTGCTTAGAGATGCAAGAACTTCGATTATCGCATTTTCGTCGGTACCAATACCGGAAATTGCATCGTTTAATTCACGTGCATAATATTCTGGTAGCGGTGTCATCAAACTGATAATAGCATTTTCGAAATTTCCACCAAGTTCCGATTTCAATTCAGAAATTAAATCCTTGCCATACATAGTTTTGAATTTATCGGCAATTTCAAGACGTTGAACAATTCCACGACGTGCCAAAACATCAATAATTGTTTTCTCGTCTGTTCCAAATCCTTTCATTGCACCACGTAATAGTGCTGCATCCTCCTCAGGATCGAAGGGATCAGCTGGATAAACAGTTGGTGTGCACTGCTTAAACACGAAAAAAATTTAATTTTAATTTTTTTTTAATAAATTATGTTTAAAAAAATTTTTTTTAAACAAAAATTTATAGTTTTTCAAATTTTATATTATTACCTGCACGTGATAGTACTGTGATGCTGCCATTTTATCTGTTTCTGTAAATAATTTAATTGTTTATTATTAGCGTATTGACAATTAAATTTTTTTCAAATTAATTTTTTAAAAATTAATAAGTGAAAAATATTTAGGTGTTTTTAATTGTGTGGGAAGGGAATTTTTTAATGCGATAAATATTGATTTTATTATTCAATATTACAAATTTTTCTTTAATACTGTTAAGAATTTTTTTTCTTAATTCGCATATATTTATCATCTGTTATTGTACTGCAATATTCTTAAACGAGATACATGTGAGTCACATATTTTAATTGAAGAAAATACATATACATATCTGACTGTTGACTGTTCCGACAAATGTATTATTTACTTATGTTTCTATTTACAGATAATTAACTAATGGTTGAGTCATTAAAAAGTTGTCACTCTTTTGTATTGATTTCAAGAATTCAGTGTAATTAATTTACATATTTGTATAGTGTTAAAAGAAAATTAAGTAATAACTATATTTTTCTAATTAATATAAATAATAATAATATAACAAAAAAATAATATTAAAAAAGCTTTTTAAAAAACAATCAGAAAATAATAATAAAACAATATAATAAATAAATAAAATATAAAATTACATTTTTAACGGAAAAGTTAAAAAAAAATTTTAAAAACTGCACTTGAATGACATTTCACTGACACTTGCTTCTAATTTAAATAAATAGAGTAATTCAAATAACAGCGATGAACTCACTGCGCGGTAGTTTATCTATTATGAAATTATCGCGTTAAGAGTAAATCTTTAAGGATATGCACAACTCTCGATTACAAACCAGAAATATATTCTCAAATGGATGTCAATTGAATCTTTGCCAAAAAAAAAATAACAAATAAGTGATATTGATGCAATGGAAAATCTTTTGGGTGTGGCAGAATAGGTTTCTTATATTCTCTTATATACCTTATATAAATTATTATTTGTTGGTGATGAGATCCAATCCAGTCGAACTCTTTTGGAGAACTGCAGAGAGAAAAGTTGGTACCGGCTTGACCCGCCGCGGTTTGACGCCGGTTCTATTGGGAGCGGTAGTCGTGGCGATGACGCATTCTTTGACACATTGGTGGGAGAGATTTGCTATAGAGGATAGACGATTATATAGAAAAAAAAACTAGTAGTAGGATCTTCCATCATCAACTTATTGGTGGGAGTAAAGTTTGTTTGAGAGAAATGCAAGTCTCGACTTTTATTGAGGACATAATAACCCAATATAATATATAGGAAGAGAAAATCGACTTTATTTTAAAAAAAAATTATTTAGAAATATTATTTCTAATAAGTTTTTTTCTATTCCGGAAATTAAAAAATTCATTTTATTTAGGTTTTTCTGTTAAAGTTAACTCCTATTTTAGAGATTTTAATCTTTAGAAAGAAATCTGAGACTCTCTTGTTAGAATGTTATAAAAAATACAGAAAGGAATTTGGATTTAAGAATGTTAGACTCTCATATATTGTATTTTCCACATAGTTCTCATTTGCATATGAATTTTCATTTGCTTGAAATTTAATATAATATTCAAATTTTCATTTATTTAAAATTTTATCTACTCGAATTTTCTTTTGAGTAAAATTTAATTAATTCAAAATTGTTAATAGAATTTTTTTTTAATTTTTCAAAATGATTTTTTGACAAATTACATTTTGGATTAATGGAAAAATTCAAATAAAAAATTTTTTGGGTTAAATGAATAAATTGTTTGTCCAATTTATTTGTGTGTTTTATCGAAATTGAAAAATATAATTAAAGAATAGAATATACATTTTTTTTATAAATATTTAATACGTGGAAAAATTTTCTTGTAAAAGATTCTTATTTACTCTCTCTATCGATTATTGGGTACATTAGAAAATTTGTGACAGGAAAAAAAAATATTTTTTTCTCATTTTTTTTTGTATAAAAATATTGTCTAATAACGATTACCTGTCACGTGAAATAAGACCATAAAAAATAAATAGACAAATAATGTTACACTAAGAAGGTCATTTTCATTACGGCATACACAATTATCGTAATAAAAACTCATTTGAGTCGAAATTCTTGTAAAAATGCCAACTCACATTCCTTAGATTATAATAATACAAACATCGCCAAAAACAATTAAATATTAAAATAAAATGCTTTTTAAGCTTGTAGCTGTGATTGAAAATCAATAAATCGTTTTTACATAGGGGCGCAGAATTATATTGAAAAGAAAAGAAATTTTATAAATAGTAAAAATATTATTATTATTATTAATGAAAAAGAGTAGAATTATTTTTGAGTAGAGGATAAAAAGAGATGACAAAGTTAAGTTAAGGATATTTCAATGGAAAAAGAATGATTCATCATTGAAATATCTCGTGTAAAAATAACGGAAGTAAAAGGACTATATCTCGTGAGAAAGGTGTGTTTGCAATGTTGCAAATGCCATAGAAAAGCATTGTAGCGAAATGCAATTGACTTATATTATGAGACCGGAAACAATCAGACAAAAATTTAAAGTTCAAAAATTACTAAAAATTAATTACATTTTGTATATATGTACAATAATTATTCTATAAAATTATTTATTATAAATTTATTAAATCATTCTATAAAATATTAAATTAATAATAAAAATAAAAATAATAATAATAATAATAATAATACAATAATATTTTAATAATTTATAGTAATAAGTGTATAATACAAGCAAGTAATAAATAATATATAAACTTCATTTAATTAAAGACGTAAATAAAAAAATAAACAAAACTCCTTTCAGCTACCTAAAGCATTGTTTGGATTAATAAAATAATTTCAATTATTCCAAAAGGCCAGTGAAAGGTATTTGGAAATTTGTTAATCAATCTCCCGTGAATAATAAAAAAAAATTCAGTTAACCTTGAGGCATTGAACTCGATTGACCTAAATATCAAAACCATATTTCATATTAGGAATAAAGTGTACAAAATGCGGAAGGAAATAAAATGTAATATATATAATGTGGTGAGTAATGAATAATCAAACTGAATACATATTAACGTAACGTACATACGATTATTGATTTCAATCACTTTTACGTGATGATATTTAAACACAGACGTATATTACGAAATTCATTATTTTTTTAATTTTTAAAATATTTTCAAAAGAAACCTTCAATTATATTAATATAATGATAGAATAAAAACAGTTCTTATCTCTCTTAATCTAAATTAGTTAAAAATAACTAATTTTTAGTAGAAACATTATTACTAAGAATTAGTTAATTTTAATTAATTTGTCTCGACTTTTTGGAAAATTAACTAATTAGTTAAAGAAAAGAATAACTAAAATAATAATTGTGAAATTATTTAAATCGAATAGTGAGACATTTTTTGTTTGAAAAAAAATAATGACGAGACAAACACGTCAGAGGATGATGCGCGATGATGTAGCTGATATTTTCTTAGAATGCAATACGCAGATATATATAATTTACAAAAGATGTTTATATATTATAAAATGTAATGAATGAATGAGTAATTCTATGGCTCCATCTTTATTGTAGAATATATCGTTTCATTAAACCTACGTGGTACATTTACCATTTTTAAACACGGAAAAAAAACAATTATTATATGACTCATCATTTGCTATATACAAAAACCTGTTACTATAATTTGTTAACTATGGTGTTTCTATCTATATGTTAATTACTTTCACGTGCGCGTGCGATTTTCGAGGTTTTAATCAAGGAAATTCCATTTATCCTTGACTCGCAAAAAAATACACTCTAGATCAAATTAATTAACTTCTACTAAACATTGAAATGAAAAAAATTACTAAATGAAGAAAATAATATAAAATGTATTTTAATTTTTTTTATTTTCTATTCTAAAATTTTGTATATTAAAATTTATGAAATTTATTTGCAAGACATAAAAATAAATAGCTTTATTTATTTTCAAACCAAAAAATGCTTTGTCAGGCAAAACTAGATTTGAGATATTTTAAGACAAGTCTCGGTTATTGCAATAGACAATAATGTATTGTTCAAATTAGTCTCTTTTTTCTTACATAAAAAAACTTGATATTATATATTCTGTTATTTATTAATAAGTGAGCAATTCTTAATTAACTAATATCACATAAATATACGAACATATATTCCTTTTATTTTCATAAGTGTCTTTTCATCAGTTCAATTTGCTTTTTTTTAAAAATTGTATTTACATACGTCAGTTTTGTTTTGTTTTTTTTTTGTTTGTTGCCTTAGTTCAAATGTTTTATTCCTTTTGCTTTCCAAGCAACAAGTAGATTCCAAGCAAAATAGAGAGAGAACAAATGTACTTGCGAGGCTAGTAAAATAAATCCGTACCATAAAACTCCATACGGTAAACCCTAAAAATAAAAATGACTCTTAATTTTCTTTATCATTAAAAAAGATTTTTAATTATTAGAATTAAAAAAAATGATTGGTATTCATACCTGCCACATTTGAATGCTTGTTGTATCGTCGTTACTTCTTAAATAAGTCCAAACATCTGTGGAATAATAGATCAAAGCGTAGAGAATTGGACCAAAACAAACGATAATTACACTCATCATGTAATGTTTAATTCTTTTGATACCATTTTCCCTTATGGCCTTTAATCCAAGATATGAAAATGGTAAACCTATACACCATATCCACTCCCACCACAGTGCCTGTAATTAATTTTCACAGTTAAATTAAATTTAAAAAATAATTATTTAATAATAATACCTGTGGTATTTGTAATTCTTCTATTTCCAAAATAAATATATCCAAAAAATCTAATATATCTGCTGATAATTTAGCCAGCATGACAAAGAATAAGAGGTAATGAAAAAATATGCACCATTTCAGTCTTGACTTGTTGATAACACTGTAAACAAAATACTTTTTATAATACAAATATGGCTTTCTTTAATTAATTCAGAATCAAATTGAAATATAAACATTATGCTATACAGTAACTTGTAAGCTAAATATATTTATCATTTGATAAATAATCATAAATTACATATGGAAAATAATGTAATACAATAAAAAGCAAACAAAATAAACAAATTTTAAAACACAATATGTGTATGCATATAAAAATAGGTTAAAAACGAACAAATGAAATACTTTATATCAACATATTCTGATTGTCAAACATTGAATATTTTGGTTCATTTTGCGTACCTTAATTGATATTGTGTTGCAACTTTTTGTCTATGAGAAAAATCACTGCCATCAGTGCCAAATGCTTGATGAGCAGAACTCCTAACAGACATTTTTTCACAGATATTTATAAACAAATTTTTTTATTTTTTTAAGTTTTTTAAATTATTTTCTTTTTTAAATGATGATCAATTTTTTAGAAGCGCAACCCAAGGTAAAACATCACACTAATACAATAATATATCGTTACCACCGACGAGTGAAACTATTTTTAAACGTGGAACAAATTACAAAATCAAAAAGAAACTCGTGGACCCTGTCAAAAACGGATGCGCATTGCGCATGTAAACATCTGGTCTCGTGGCATCTTCCGGATACAGTAAACTCAATCGGTAACACCATTCCCGGATAATCCACAAAAATTTAATTTTTACCAATTAAAATTTATTTAATTCTAATTATTTATTCGTTCATATATTGTAAATAAACTAAAAATATTTCATTATATATTTTTCTTTAATTTAATTATTTACAATTACTTTTTATTCAATTTTATAAATAATTTAAACAAAATAATTATATTTAATAATATTATTGTATCTACGATTTTGTAACAATATGTTCAATAATTTTAATTGGGGGTCCCTTTTTAATTGTTACATTTTCATTTATTTGCGCTCAAATAAATAAAGTCCATTTATGCGGACAACGTTGGCGCCAATATTTAAATCAACGAAAAATCAAATTCTAATTTAAGTTTTATTAATAATTATTACTTTTTATTATTAATTCTTAAAAATTTATTTATATTTAATTTTTTTAAAATTATTATTTAAAAAATTACCGATACAGAAATCTACATTACTGACTGATGGTGAAGAAGTTTTTTTTTTTGAAAAATGAAAATATAAAAAATTACCGATACAGAAATCTACCTTACCGACTGATGGTAAAACAGTTTAAAAAAAATAAAAATACCGACATAGAAATCTACCTTACCGACTGATGATAATTTTTATATATTAAAAACTACTTTACTATCAGTCGGTAATGTAGATTTCTATGTCGCTAATTTTTTATATTTTTATTTATTTAAAAAAAACTGTTTTACCATCAGTCGGTATGGTAGATTTCTGTATCGGTAATTTTTATATTTTCATTTTCCAAAAATCTTTTTTACCATCAGTCGGTAATGTGAAATGATATGTATGTCTACTTTCACGCCGTGAAATAAATAAATAATAATAATAATAAATTCATTTGCACCTGATTTTTTCTTGTTTTATTATTTTTATTGACAATTTCAATTTTAAATGTTTCATTCGACTGCCCATAGAGTGCGGAAATTTATAATTAAGTATTCTTACAGTATATAACCTTATTATATATAGTTAATTCGAAATGGAGTGGCAGTTTAGGTCAAAGTTACTCACTATTAAGCTAATAATAATAATGTTAACACGAGTAACAATGAATCATGCGCACGTAGAAGAAAATTACTATATAATATAGTAAAAAAAACAATTTCTGGCACATTTAACATGAAATGCAATAATAATAGAATAATTAACATATTATGCAAAATAAATTAAGTAGTTTTTTTACGTAAACTATATGAAAACATTGATGTTTTCTTTTGTTTTTTAATTGTGACTATATTTTTGTTAATATCATGACAAAATATTAACAAACTTAATATTTCAAATCGTGGCTACTAAATATACAGAGTTTTTTTTCTATGAAAAATAAAATTTGTGATTTAAATGAATAATTAACAAAATCTTATAAGTTAAAGGCGATACCAATTGTTTTTTAAAATAAAACAAGTATACATGCTGCGAGAATTGTGTGTATGTAATCAGTCTTGTATCGCTCGGACTTATATACTTGTAAAAAATTTCGACTATCACAAAAAATGTATACAATCTACTCGTTTTCTTCTCTCTCTTTCTCTCTATACTTTGGTTTTCACATCTCGCATTGCATTATTAAATATATTAAATTTTATAACAGTAATTATTTTAATTAAAAAAATATTAAAAATTAAAATACTCAAAATATTTTTGTATTATGTAATTATTTACAAAATTATCTTTAAAATTCAGAGATAATATTTATATTTTCAAATAAATTATATTAAAAAATGTACATTTTAAATGACAATAATGTAGTAAAATGAGAATATTTAAAAATAATGAATGCAATGCGAGTGTGGAAAATTGTAAACAATCTTAAAAAATAGACAAAGTAAAACTTTACAAAGGTACCCTATGACGCCAAGTTTAACAGTCATTCTCATCATTCTCATATTAAATAAATTCAACTCTCATTTATACACATTCAAACAAAGAATCGAAATAATTTTCTTTTTTTTAATATTCTTCTTCATCGTAATCATAATAATCATCTTCGTCGCCTTCTTCGTTACCCCCTAATAAAGCTTTCATTCCCATTTCTGATTGATCTTGTTCCTCGATATCATCGTCAACATAGTCATCTGCTTCGTCTACTGCAATATTGAAATAATTTAATTTTTGATGCATCTTTTGATTTTTTTTTTAATTATTAAATATTTACCAAGATCTGATATATTATTCTCAGGTTCTGCATGTTCTTCTGGAGTTTCGAGTGTATCCGATTGTGAAATCTTCCTCTTTTTTGTAACATTTTCCTTGTGAATTTGAAAATTTGGTTTCACGTCGAGATTTAATTTTTGTTTTGGTCTAACGAAAATGTTAATAATTAGTTTTTAATTAAGTGAATTTTTAAATTTAAAAGCAAAATTCAACTACTTACTTAACAATGGAAGAAGAATAATTAAATCTGTCGATTTTTAACGGTGATAAGAATGGCGATTCTGGAGGTTGATTCCGTTGATTCGAATCATTTAATCCTACATCTAAGCTTTTTAATACTTCATAATTAATTTTCGACGATATACGTTTTTCTTGTAACATTTTTTCAATAGCTTCACCTAATAAACAAAATAATATAAATAAATACTTTAATTTAATATAAATAATTTTTACCTATAAATAGAAAATAATTCAAAATTTACCTGCACTATTGGCTGGTGTTTGATTATTCTTTTTTCTACTAGTCGTTCTTCTTCTTTTCTTCTCTGGTTTTCCTTCTTCTTTTTCCTTTTGACGCTTCTCTTCTTTTTCTATAGTAAAAATTTGATTTATTTCATTTTTGTTTTATTAGGTATCAAAAATTATCAATTTTTCATGTTTTTACCTTTCTGAGCTTCTAAATATTTGGCGTTAACGTTGTTCCATAGATTATTTTTACCTTGAGCTTCTTTTTCGGACATTATGTAAGAATCAATTTCATCATCATCCAAACCAGTCAAATCTAATTCACCAGAAATCTGAAATTTATTTCAATGTATGAATTTCTATTAGAATTTTTTTTTTAAACTTATTAAATAATTTTAAAATTAGCATTTCTTACATTTTCAAATGGCATGCAACGTTTCTCTTTAACAGCATTTTCATTTCCATATAAAGAAGTAGAAAGATTCATGGATGCAATATCTGGACCTGCGAATAAATAAAAATATGTGTACAATTTTTTTATTTTTCTTATATATTTTTTTATTCCTTTTTAAACAAACCTAATCCAGTTATTTCTTCTTGTTCTTCTAATGCTGATATTTCAGCTTCATCAGAAATACAATCTCGAATAACATCGATATTACTCTCGCGAATAAATTTGTCTGCATCAGTTTCTTCAGCAACGACTGAAAATTAAAACAATTTTTAAACGAATTTAATTAATAATTAAATATAGTCAATTAAAATGTGTTATTTTTTCTTACAGCTATGTTTCACATTTTTAGTCGTTCTTTTATCTAATTGTTGCAAAATTGCCTTTTGCAAATCGTCTAATTCTTGCTCAAAATTATCCAACTGTAATAAAAAAAAATTCATTTTTATTATTATTATTTTATTATAAAAATATTTATTGCTAATTTTATCAGTCTTTTATAATTATAGAATAAATATAAAAGAAAATTTTATACCTTTTGTAATCTTTCCTTATCTCTTTTTCGTGCCATTTTAAAAGAAGGTGGATCTTGCTCCTCTTCCAAATCAACATTCATAAATTCATCTAAAGTTAAAGCACTAGATGGAGTTTCGCCAAATTCTATTAATCTGGTAACAGACAGTGAAGATATTGTTAAAAACTTAATTTTATTTTTTATTAAATTAATTTTTCCCAATGTTAATAATAATTCTAACTTATTAAGGAATATTGAAAAATTAATAATTGGTAAAAAAAAAGAAATTGTACCTTTTGCGTAAGGTCGATTCGTGTACTTTAACGATTCTCACAATATCTGCAGGGGATCTGTTAAATTCGTGTAATCTTGCTGCTATCAAAAGAGCTGTGGAATAAATAAATTAATAATTTAATAATATTAATTGTAAAATTTACGTATTTTTAATCACAAACCTGCACCACAAACTCCAGAAGGTCGTCGACCACTATGAATACTGTCCTTCTTCATTCTCTGAAGCAATCGGCTAGCAGTCATTTGAACGTCATGTGTTTTATCTCCAAATTCCAATTTGTTTGCAAATCTCAATACATATAAAATTGGATCTGTAAATAATTAGAAAAAAATCGATTATAGAAGAAATTTTCATCTCGTTCTTCAGAAGTTTAAAATCTGATTATATTAAAAAAACATTCTTTAAATCATGAAAGAAATATGTATTCAATTTTTCCTCACATTATTTATTTCTTTAAAATAATTTTTTTCTAAATGTCGCATAATTCTTAAAATTTATTATAGAAAATAAAATGTTTTTTTAAAGAATAAAATCTAATTTTTGCTTCTCTCAAAGAGAAAATGTTTTTGAAAAAAAAAAAAAATTTTCTGAAAAAGTGAAAGTAAAATGGAAAAAGTTTGCTTAAAATAACGAAAAAAAGGCTACAAATATAGTAGACAGAGAAGATATTATATGCATATATAGATTCAAAAGATGATGTTCTACAGCAGCCGGGGTACATTTTATCTGACAGAATAACCAGATAAATTTGCAAAGTATCTTTTGGACACGCGCTCTCTGCATTATTTCCTTCTATCGACCGATGTGCTTGCTTTGCCAGCACTCGTTTTCAAAATGGAGATCGTGTAGTTGTGTTCTTTTAGATATTAGTTTTGCGGCTAAATTAAAAAAAAATTAAAAAAATTAAAATAAATAACAAGTGTCCATTAAGACGCTTGGCAATGTCGAATCTTTACTCGAAAATTGGTACCAAACCAGTGAAACGTTTTCAAGACAATATAGCTGTGACTCAAACAAATGCCTGGGTGAACGGTGAGGATGACAATAATTTACTGGAATTTTATCCCCCTCCCCCCTTTATCATCCTCTAATTAAATTCTTTTTTTCATTTGTTAAAAAACACTTATTCTTCATGCAAATCAGTAAGATTTGATATTTTTTAATTCATATATTTTAATTATCGACATCAATAAATTATCATTAAGGTGATGTATAAATTATCCCATATAAAAATTTTATATACAAAAACGATGAGGGATTAATTATTATAAAAAATCCAAAATAGAAAATTAAATTTAATTCGAATTTATGTTATAAGTTTTAATTCAAGGCTTTTTTTTTTTAAAAAAAAACCTTTTTTTTATACACACCGGAAAAAGCGAATATTGTGATTTTGGAGCATGAATAACACATGTGTATTGGGTGTGTATATACGTGTGAGAAAAAGGGTTACGCGCAAGCGTAAAATACAGAAGAAGATCATACAGTGCGATAAAAGCGTCTCTTGTTTGCGTAATGCTCGCTCTTCAAAACTATTTCGTGTTATTTTCATAATAAACAAAAAAAATTTACAATAAAATTGTGTAAATAATGTTACGATAGAGTATATTTATTTCGTATATTAGCGACATAAACATGTCCATGTTTACTGATGGTAATTCATTTTAATTTTGAATATACTCCAAAAATAATTATTCTGTTCCTAATAATATCCACTAGACAAAATTAACCACTTTTTTTTTACTTTCTCTCACAAAACAAGTAATTTTCGTTTCTATCTCGCATTTACGTTTGACATATTAACATAACCTCCAATATTTTTATTTTTCTCCCATGTAAAAGATATTTTTCTTTTTCTTGTAAACATTTTTTGTTGTAAAATTTTTTCTACTATTTTTTTTAAAAGAACTTTGTTTATTATTCGGAAAGTAAAAAAGAATAATAAATTTTGTGGGGAAAACAATAAGTATGTATTTTGTGTAATTTAGCGGAATCACCTAGCAATGTATCTGGATCACCGCCATCAATAAGTCCAATCACTTCATCGATAGTACTGCAAAGAGAGGGTGTAATAAATCAACCCCTAAGTACACCTGCATCACCATTGTCATCGCTATGCTCACCATTAGCACAATTAAATCTATTGTCAACAGAAGATTGTACACAAGATCCTAATTGGCAAGCAACAAAATCCACAGTTCGAGAACGAAATGCTGCCATGTTCAACAATCATCTTATGGCTGACATTCAATTTATTGTTGGCAATCCAGGTAAAAAAAATTGTCTCCGGCAATGTTTTTTCTTTTCTTTACTAAATTCAATAATAAAAGCAATAATTGTCAACAAATTTTTAAATATTTTTTCGTTTTCAATAAGTTTTTAAACCCAAAAAATAGCACCAAGTTACAATTTCGGGCTTCATTAAATTAATTAACTTTACAGGTCATACGCAATCAATTCCCGCTCATAAATACGTATTAGCAACTGGAAGTTCAGTATTTTATGCCATGTTTTATGGTGGCTTAGCAGAAAATAAAAGGGATATAGAAGTACCAGATGTAGAACCAGCTGCATTTTTAGCTCTTCTTAGGTGATTATTATTTAAAAAAATAACAAAAATTGCCAAATTAAATATCTATTTTGCAAAATGATAAATTTTAAAAGAAAAAATATAATTTCTTATTGAAAAAAAAATTCCCTTTCAATTTTCAGGTATATGTATTGTGACGAGGTACAATTAGAGGCGGACACAGTTTTAGCGACATTATACGTGGCTAAAAAATACATTGTTCCACATTTAGCGCGAGCGTGCGTGAATTATTTAGAAACTAGTTTAACAGCAAAAAATGCATGTTTACTACTTAGTCAATCACGACTATTTGAAGAACCGGATTTAATGCAGAGATGCTGGGAAGTTATCGATGCTCAAGTAAGTTTGAATCTCAAACCATTTTTACTAACAATGAATGATGAAATTACGAAAAAAAATAATATTGAGCCAAATAATATTTATTCAACTAATAAATTATCAATGAATTTTTCATTTCCATTATTATCACATCCCAATTCATTAGACATTCAATTTAATAATTCACAATTTAAAAATAATATTAATGATAAAAAATCTTTTTTTAATTTAAATTCATTAAATAAAAGTTGTTTTCTATTTGATATCAAATGGACAAATAATTGTCCAAATTATTCACTTTATCGTGATAGAATTCAATTTATTGATGAAATAATAACAACAACACATATTGAAGTGGAAAATATATTTTTTCGCGATAATTACGCTGTATTGTATAAGAATATTGAAAATTATTTTCAAGAAAACTGTGATAATGATGTATTAGAATGTTAAAAAAGTTTATATTCTTCGTGTTGTATATTTATAGAGTAAATATTTGTGAGAAAAAAATTTATCTCAAATCAGTTAAAAATCAAAAAACATATTGAAATTTTTTCGCTTATCAACAATTTACTGTATATGAAAGAGTTTAAATTGTTAATCGTATAAGATTGTAATCGTTAAGAGCTGATATCATCATTAAAAATAATTAATTGAAAGTTTAGATGGACCCATTAAATCTCTTCGTTGGTCCATTTTTATTATTAGCTAACAATTCAAAGTCTGAATGATAAAAACTTCACAGAAAAAAAAGAAATTGTTAAATGATGTCTATATGTAGTTGAAAAATGTACAGTATTAATGTACAAATTAATAATATGTTAATTAATTAAATTATTTGATTGTATAAATAAATTATAAAAAAGGTTGTTAATCGCACAAGATATACAAAAAAGAGAATTCAAATCGTTAAATTCTGTATTTATCACTTGTTACTGTAAATAAAGAAAGTAAAACGATTTAACAGTCTTAAATAAATTAATTATATTCTACTATTTTCGTTACTATTTTAATTATTATTTTCATATTACAAACTTGATTCTCTTTTTGATATTTTTGAAATGTTTTAATTTTTTATTATTAAATATTTATTTTTTGAATTGTGATTTTATAACAGTTTTTTTTAAATAAAAACGAATTTTTTTTTCTAACAGGCAGAAATGGCGCTAAGGTCAGAGGGTTTTGTGGAAATTGATATTCACACACTCGAATCAGTTTTGTCACGTGAAACATTAAATTGCAAAGAAATACATTTATGGAATGCAGCATTAAGATGGGCGGCTGCTGAATGTTTAAGACAAGATCTCGAGCCAATACCAAGTAATCAAAGGCGTTTATTAGGTAAGAATCTAATTGTCCAATAAAGAAAAATTTCACTAATTCTCAACTATGAATTTTAGCGTCATAAATTTAAATTTAGCACCTCTTTCACTTTGTTCTTCCAGGCTCTGCCTTAAATTTAATTAGACTACCAGCAATGAGTCTTGAGGAATATGCAAATAATGCCGCGCAAACGGGAATTCTCACTCAACAAGAAACAATTGATATTTTTCTTCATTTTATCGCGAGCACAAAACCTCCACTTTGTTATCCAATAAAACCAAGACAGGGTCTAAAAACTCAGGTGAATAATAAAAAAAAAAGTTTATTGATTAAATGAATTTTTTTACCAGAATTTAATTTCTATTTCTTTTTTTTTGCAGGTGTGCCATAGATTTCAATCGTGTGCGTATAGATCAAATCAATGGCGCTATCGAGGAAGATGCGATTCAATTCAATTTAGTGTTGATAAACGTATTTTTGTCGTTGGTTTTGGATTATATGGAAGTTCATCGGGTGCGGCTGATTATAATGTTCGAATAGAATTAAAAAGATTTGGACGTGTATTATCGGAGAATAATACAAAATTCTTTTCTGACGGTTCAAGTAATACATTTCATGTTTATTTTGAAAATCCAATTCAAATAGAACCAGAATGTTTCTATACGGCAAGTGCAATATTAGATGGAGGTGAATTAAGCTATTTTGGACAAGAAGGTATGTCAGAGGCAACAGTTGGCAGTGTGAATTTTCAATTTCAATGCAGTTCAGAAAGTACAAATGGAACTGGCGTTCAGGGTGGACAAATTCCCGAATTAATATTTTATGGACCACCAACGGAAGATTGACGTAATTTTTCCATGGAAATTATGGTTTAACTGTTGTTATATATACTTCATCAATTATTAACTTGTTTGTAAAGAAGTGTGCGTTTTTTTTGTTTTGTTATATCCCTGGCTTTTAAAGATTTACGAGTGTAGAGAATTCCGTTTTTGTTGGAATGTCAATGAGAGAGAAAGTAGTGATAGTTTAAGACTGTTAATTTCATCGTGAAATGGTAAAAGAGTAGAAAAAGAAAACGGTACTTGTAAATTAGAACGAAAACGCTTGAGTCTTTTTTAAGAAAAAAAAAAAAAAAAAAATAGAATACGGCCAACGAAAAGTATTATCGACGATAACGATTAAGGCTTCTGCATTTCTGAATCGCGAATGAAATTAAATACCTTTCATTTTGGTATCGAACAAAGATTTCTTCGCAAAAAAAATCATTGCCTTTTTGTCAAGTAACTTAAAAGCAAAAAAAATAGATTTAATCTAGAAGTATTAGTGCAATAAAGTGTATTATCCCTGTTATTAAAATAACAAAAGAAAACCTCGTAATTAAAAGGACGTTTAGTAAAAAAAAATGTATTTAATTGCAATATAAATTAGTATCGAGATGATTAGAAAAACAAACATAGGGACTATTTTTACTGTGCGGGGAAAAGAAAAAAAGAGAAGACAGAACGTCCAAACAGGAAACGATTTCTGTGCCAAAAAATTGAAATAAGCGCAAAAGTCGTAGACCTTCTTTGAATCTTTCAATCTAAGGCGATATTAAGCGACCTATTTACAAAACAAACAAAAAAAATACGAATAATAATTCTATTTTTCTGCACACAGATTCATTACTGACTTAACTGTGTACCTAAATAAATTAAATTAAAGATAATTGTCTTTATTGCTCAGCGAATTTTTCATTGTGACTTAATTTATGCTTCATTTTTCAATCATCTTTATCATTTAATTAATTCATTGTCATTAAATGACTCGTTTTGGAATCTCTGAATTTTATTATTTTATACACTTAAGTTATATATATATATATATATTATATATAAAAATAATAATTCTAGTTATTTGATTATCAAAAATGGTGAATTTTATTTTTAAAAACCCCGTTTTCTCTTTCCTTTTTAATAATTGAGATTTTTTTCATTATTTAAAATAGAAAATTTTGTATAATTAAACAAAAATTATTTTAATCAGATCACAAAGAAATGCTAAATATGAAATTATTTTTTATAAAATGAATTTATTGTACAAAATTATTTGATGTGTAAAATTACAATGAACTTTGAATTTAGAGGGAAATTAATATTCATTAACGTGAATAATCATTTCATTTAGATAATTGAAAATTTGACTAATTTAGCATTTATGGTTTTCTGATTTTTTTTTTAAAAGTAAACTTGACTTACCCACTGCCGGCATTTGAATACATAAGGCATGAGCAAATTTCAGATAAGTTCGTCCCAATTCGTGAACACAGATTTGCAGAATGTCACTGATATCGATTAGCAGATCTGTAAAAAAATATTTTTTTTATTATACAGTCGAGCATGAATGAAAAAAAAGAGATTCGCAAACGTTGCTGTCTCACTTAAATAGGTTTGACTGAATTAGAAAGAAAGTTCTTTTATATTTGTCCTTTAATAATTTATTTATGAAAACTTACGGGGTGTCCCATTGGTTCTGCATGTCATGTAAACACAAGCGGCGTGATTAAGTTGTTGCTTTCTTCCTCGTGTTAAATTACGAGCAAGAGCCATTTTATAAAAATTCATTGATGTCTCAATATGAAGATGAGCTAATCTAAAAAATTAAATTTTTCAAACTTGAAACCCGATTTTTTTTAAATAAAAAGAAAAAAGTTAATAAAGTTTAATTGTAATATTAGATAAAAATTTAGAAAATTAAAAGAATTTGTTTAAAGAAAATTTTTTTCTTTAGTTATATTCATTTTAAATTAAACTTACGATAATTGATTACACAAATGAGTGATTCCCCTTTTCGCGTTTTGAATAGTAATTTCTCTAGATTCCTTGCCACTCATTGGAAATGCTGGAAAAATTGTTTTAATTTAGAAAAATTTAAAATTTTCTCTAATTAAATTTTTCTATAAAAAATAATTTAAAAATTTGTTTATTTACCACCGCCAAAATGGTAAGGACCACCGGTGCTGTCGCTTGCAACAAATTGCCCGAGAAGAGTCATATTTCCAGATGGTGATTCTTCGAAGGCAGTTTCGCTGACAATTAACTGATCTTCCAAAACAACACCACATTGTGTACATACTGCGTCTCCTCTCGCTGGATCTGTTTCTATCTCAGTGGACCCACAGGCCCGACACTTAGATTCTGACATCTGTTAATAAACATTTTTAATTAAAATTTTTTATACAAAGAATATTTTAAAAAAAATTGAAAATATTATTATTTTTGAATTAGCTTTGTTTACTATTTTCAGTTTAATTGTTTATCATTCTGATTATGAATGTCATCAGATTTTCTGATAATATTTTCTAAAAAAAAAATAGTTTATCTATTCAAGGTAAAAAAAAATATTATTAAAAAAAAATAGTCATTGCTCTCACCTGCGTTAGCTTTTTGTTTAATTCTTTAAATAATACAACTATTGCTACAATAAACGTTAAAATAAATGATTTCAGAAATTTAAATTATCCTAACTGATAATTAATAATTAATAATAAATTCTATTTAAATAACAAAAAATTACTCCACTTTATAGAAACGTTTCAGTGAAATTTAAACTTAGAGTTCCCTTAGCTCAATGGTTATGTCTCCCAACTTGCACAGAAGGAGTGATTCTTGGTTCTATCCCCGGTGCGTTGAGATTTTTTTATTGTGAAACTAAACCGTACAGAAGCACGTGCTCTCAAGTTTAAATGTCAGTTTAAACTTTGACAGTATATTTAAATCATCTCAAATAAAATCATATTATTGAAAGGCTGATTATGTGCAGAGTGAAACAACATGCTGATGAAATTTATGATGCAGTTTTTTCGTTTAAATTGAAAATCATTTTAATCATAAAGAATTTAATATATCATTTTTCAAAATAATTAATTAATGAATTTTCTTACAATTCATTGATATATTACAATAAAATTTTTTAGAAACTCTAACCTCAATGAATTTTAGAAACACGTTTCCTAGAAAGCAATAAAGATAATAATTTTTGTTCATACCGTGAATGATGTTCAGTATTTTTTTAATTCAGACAGAAAATAATTCTGCTGTTAATTGGAAATTTCGAAGAAATGAAACTTCCTTGTTAATTGTATCCTTTTGAATCCTTTTAAAACGAAAAATTCTTCACGTTTATGGATCTGGGCAATGTATGGCAAGGTAGACACACTTCTACACTTTTAACTCCATTTCATTTTTACACAAGCCCTTAAATACACATATACATTCTCCTCTTGATTTCACTTGTTTCTCTCCTCGTCTGTAGCACACATGTTATTTCTGGAAGGTTAGAATAATTCAACTGCGCATGCGTAGACACTTGATCCTCGTTGTTTAAAGAGAAAAGTCCATTTCATTGGTAGATGTTTTTCAGCTTGTCCAATTTCCACCAATCATGATACAAATACAGAAGTCGTTTCACATAAGTGGCACTATATGGCGCGAAATTTAAAATTAATATTTTGTCCAGATGTTTGTTAATTACTTTGCAAGGAACCTTTTTCTTCAAAAATGATTTTTAAAAAATTATCTTCATATTTATTGCACAGTTTGCTCCAAAAAGGTAATTCCTTTTTTCAAATAAAGAGACAATTTGAGAATACGGCCCTGGATTTTGCGCATGAATACCTTTCATCAGGAAAAAGGATGAGTCACAAATTGTCGGATACATTTCTTGCCGGCTTGTTAGTTGTTACCAAGTTGCGATTCAGTCTTTTCAGTGTTTCGTTACCGAACACGCGGATTTACTCATCTTATATAATTGAATTGTATCATTGTTGTTGTTTTTTTTTGAATTATAAAATCGTCTCTTGAATAATTTTTCAACATGTCTGTTAAACGTGAGTTAAAAACAAAGAAAAACAATTTGATTTAAAATTAGATTCCTGACCATATAAGAGAATATAAATTAACTCTTGTCAATATTCAGCAAAATATTATGTACATTATTTTTTATAACACTAAATTTTTTTCTCTAATACCAATATTTATATTTTATCACATTTTGTTTATTTATTTATATTTTTATGTCAATTATGTTTTGTAACTTTTAAACTCAGTTGCAATAACTGCGAGAATGTTTTTTTTAAACTTTCCAAAAAGTAAATCCAAAAACTATCGTTAATTTTTGTGTAATTATTTAGAGAAATTAAAAAACAAGAATTTCTTTTCTGGAATGTAGTGAATGTCATTCAGTGATAAACCGTTATAAAGTTTGTAAAAAAAACCGTTAAATTTAACGCTAAAGTCATTTAACTGTCGAAATAATTATTTTGTCAGTAAATAGAAAAAATAGGAAAATATTATTTATGGAAATTCATCGAATACAGATATTGGACAAAACTGTTCTTAAAATTATAAAAAATGTTCATTATCAAATTGAAAATGTCAATTTTTCAAAATTGTTAAGTTAAATGTTTTAAAGTAATTTTTGAGTTAATTAAAAAAATTTTTTGATTAATTAGTACACAAAAAAATTTTCTAAAAAAATCTCCCTTGATAATAAATTTTCAAAAATTGCTTCAAATTAAATCATCGATCGTATTGTTAAAAATTTTAAAAATGTAAACAAGAACATTGTCATTGATGACAATGTCATCAAGAAATATGTATAATCATATATTTTTCTATTTATTGGCGAAATAAGGTTTTATTTCAACAGTGTTAATGGAAAAGTAACTGTTTAAAATTCATAACGTATATTGTTAATCTCCGTTTGTTTATAAATTCCAAAGCAGATCAAGATGTAAATAGACAAGCAAATAATAATTAACATCTGTAAATTATTTCGTTAAATTCTTTGATGAGAATTTAAAAATAGAATCTCCGACAAAACATAATTACAATTATCATCATAATTCTCATAATATTAACTTGTTATTTACTTCAAAAAACGATATTAAATAATTTTATCTTTTTCCATTCTTATATAAACTTTCGTTTTTTTTAAATTATTTTTTATATTACTTAATGTGAATATAAATTATAGCTATTATAGTAGTTCTATAATTACTATAATTTATTATATAAATTATAATAATTATCAAACTAACTATTGTTTAATAAAATTAAAGATAATTGTAATTTTTTCAAAGGATACATTTCTATTTTCTGTGTTCTTTAATAATTGAGTGTTTCTCTTTATGTTGAAGCAATTAATCCATTTTTTTTCTCTTTTTATACGTCGGTAAAAATTTTAAGTTTCTTCTTCTTGAAATTTATGGCATTTCTCAATGGAGTATTGCATAATATTACAAGAGCATAAAAATTCCAACAAGAACAATTTATGTGTCGCCTTAACATTTATTCCTATTCTAGGTTGTCGTCATCCACCTCCTTATAATTCTTCGCGGCCTTGCAATCTATATACGATTCGCATTTTATTAATTGCTTCGTAACTTGAAATTATCTTGTGAGATTTTTTCCCCTCCATTTTCTCTTTCTTCAAATAATTGAATTTTTCATTGTTTCATTCTTTTCTTCCGAAATCAGAAAATAATCAAGTTTCCTAAAACAGAATAATAATTTAGTATGTAAAAATAATAATTGTAATTCTTTTTATTTGTTTAATAATTCAATTAGAAATTTTATTTTATTTATTGAAGAGATAATTATTTTTTTATAAAACAGGAAGTCAGGAAAATGTTTCTAAAAGTGTTAGCAATTTATGATTGTAAGTTAATTACAAGAAGATGGGATCTCGGCGTTATGATAATTAATTGTCGAGTCTTCGTTCTAAACAAGCAAATTGCATCGCTAATAATTAACACATTTGTATTATTAAATACCGTATGTCGAGAGATTTACTTCTTTTTAGATTAGATTTTTAAAAATAAAATCTCACTTTCCCTCTGATTTGACTTAATTTAAAAAAAATTTTTTTTTTATTTTTTGTTAAAAAAAAAATTTTAATTATATTTATAAAAATAATAAATCTACATTTTCGTGAAAGAATTTTTCTTTCGGATTTTTTTTTGCTAATTATCTGATATGTAGAGGAATGACAATTGTTATATGAATGAAATCCTTTGCGTGGGAAGCGAAGTAGGTTCTCCATAATTACAAATAATTCGGAATCATCTACAGGTCGAGAGTTTAAATTTAAGCGGTCGTAGACTATAAAATGTCAAGTGAATATTTTTCCGAGAAGATTTAAGGATAATTCTCACTGCACAAAAATTCTTGATGTAGATATATACATAGTGTATATATAATTATACTTATTCAAGTTGAAAACGTCATCTGAATAGAAATAATCATGATCTCACATAATGACGTTCCTTTAAACTCAATTCGCCATGGAACAATTATCTGGTCCATTTAATTTTGATTTTTTTAACACAGATTTATTATTCATTCTTCAAGTTATTATTTCTCTCTCTCTCTCTTTTCATTTTTTTTTCTCGAAAGATCGTGTTTCGTTTCCGCAAAGAAAAATCTTTTCCCATTGAATTCTTGGGATATTTTCTTTGATTTATTTATTACATTCAAACTTCCTGTTCTTGATAATTATTTGTTATTATTTTTAATTGTATTTTGGTATTTTGTATTATTTTTTTTTATTTGAAATATTTTTTATATCAAATTTATTATCAATTATATTACTTTTCAGAATTGTACACAGAAGATAAATTGGAGTACCAGTTCCTTCCAACAAGAGGAAATCAGGTACAATTTCGTTTGAAAGCTGCAAATGATGGTCACATTGCTCTGACAACTGAACCTCAAGAAGGGGAACCAATGTTTGAGGTATGAGGAACATTTTTTTCCATTTTATAATTATATAAATTTTTTTTTAAAATCAAAAACTAAAGTAATTATTTTTGTCTATAATTTCAAGGTTTTCATCGGCGGTTGGTCGAATGCAAAATCCGTTATTCGTAAGAATAGAACCAAACCCGAAGTTGCTGAAGCTGAAACTCCATCAATTCTCAGCGCCGATGAATTACGCGGCTTTTGGATTAGGTATACAATAATATTTCAATGTATTTTGTAATTAAAAAATTGTTTCTCATTGATTAAAATTGATGAATTATCTTTTTTTCTCATTAATAATTATTTTTACAGTTATTATTTTAGAAATTCTTATTAATGATTAAATTATAATTGTTTATTTGCAATTAATAATTTTAGTATAAATTTTATTTTAATTATATTTTGTTTTCTATTTAGATGGAGCGATAATTTATTGACAGTTGGAAAAGAAGGATTTCATAATCCAATGTTGAGTTACGAGGATCCTGAACTCTCAAATATTCGTTTTATTGGATTTTGCACCGGATGGGGAGCTACTGGTGAATGGCATCTCGAAGGTAAGTGTGATTAAAATAATTCAATAAACGTATAGAAATGATGATTATATCGAAAGTGGGAAAATTTTAATCTAAAAAATCGAAAATAATTCAATGAATTTAATGAATAATTAGAATATGATTCAAGTCTTCGAATCGGAATCGATATTTAAAAACAAATAATTATATTATGCATACTTATTCTAGGCATATTAGTCACTGTTAATATGTACTTTTTTGCATAATTATCAGTAAGACAATTTATAGTATGTTTAATTAGTTTACTTGTATGATCTAATCAACATTTTTGCTGACAATTATCGAATTACATCAATTTGACAAGATAATAAATTTTTATTTAATAATAAAAAAAATTAATTATATTGATAATTATTTAATATTAATTTATATTAAAAGTGATTTGTAAAAAAGTAATTATTGGACAAATTTAATCTTTTTTTTAGCAATATGTTTCGCTGATTACGATGGTGGTTGTACGTAATGTATTTTTAACTGGAAACTCAAATTTGGCTTTTGTAATTTGCATAACTGCTTTTGGCCTTCCATGCACGTTTCTTTAATAATATTACGCAACACCCTAGTAAATTAAAAATAGATCTCAATTCCACCTATTAATAATCATAATTTTAATCTTTTTTTATCCCCCTAAATCCGCAAGAACTAGAACATTTTTTGAATTTTTTTCAAATCTTAAATATAAAGATTAAAAATTTAGAATATGTAACTTTTATGATTGTAAAATTTTCACGAAAGGATCGATAAGGGAATAATTATCTTTCAATCACGAATGAAAATGAATGGAACGCACGCAATCTGAGAAAATTTCCCATTTTAATAATAAAATACTGACAAAACTTCTTTTGTCCTTGCAACAAATATTGATTTTTAATCCTTGTAGGTCAGAGACAGTGTCGAGTCCGGCGCCGTCATATATATTCATTTAATTTGTAAAGAAGGTCATATAGAAAAACAAGTCGCTAAATTATCGTTTGTTGGCTAATTTTGTTTTTTTGAAAAATTCTTTAAAGAATCGTAAATATATTCTTTTCAAGTTAATGAAAAAAAGAGTTCTTGAAAAAATATTTATTATCAAGGACATAAAATTGTATGCACAAAATTGACAAACAATAATGGATAATAATTGGAATTATTGATTTCTAATTTTTTTTTCGTTGTATTTTCTATAAATTTCTTTATCAGATCGTACTCCTGGTTATTTTCTTTTATTATTTTAGTTTTATTTATTTATATTTTTGTTATTTTCAACAAAATATTGAGTTCATAGTAATTTTCTATAATTTCATATTTCAATTCTTTATTTGAAAAATAAATTTTGTGTCAAAAATATCGTATAATCTTAATTTTTTCCTTCTTCGTCTTTTTTTATTATTATTTTGGGAAAGATTAATGTTCACATTGCACGCTTTATACAAATTTTCGAATCTGGCTTTTATTTGTAATTTTTGTTCGACAAGATTTTTTTTTCATGATAACAAGGAAAAAAAATGGAATTATTGTGTCAGGTTTATTTTAATTCAGTCACTATAATAGAATAGTAACAAAAGATAGGATCTATATTTTTTCGTCCTTGTCATTACCCTACCTATCGTTTTTCTTTTTTTTTCTCATAAAACCTATATATTATGCAATATAGTAATTTGAGCTGTTGATTTACTATGACAGGTTTTGCGTTTCATTTGAAAAACTGTCAAATCAATTGTTAATAGAAAATAATATGGTTATTTACAGAAATCTATTTATCTATTTTATTTTTTTTGTACTATGAATTTTTATCTCATCTTATTTTTTTATTTTACTATTCATTTTTAGTTACCAAAAATTGATTTTATCAAATTTTCTTTCTATAATAAAAATAAAATCTCAAACTCAACTCATTATTTAATTAACTGAATTATTTTTATCTACTTTGTCGGAATTAAAAAAAAAAATAAAAATTTGGCATTATGAAAAATTTGTGAATTTTTTTTTGTACGGCTTCCTTTTCAAAAAATAGAATGCATTTGAGATGAAATTTAAATTGTTTGTTATTGTTGTTAATAGTATGAGTTGGATTTTTTTGTAGTAAATTAATTAAATAAAATATTTACAGATGAGGCTTCAAGACCTTCGGCTCCAGTTGATCCAATTTCATCACATGGTCCAGTTGGAGTTTGGTGTCAAGCTGATGGCGGAATCTTACCTCCGGATGCATTGGAAGGCGGAAATGACATCGATGGTGTTTTATATGTTGGTAGAGCTAATCACGAGGGTGCCCTTATACCAGGCAAAGTAAATCCTCAACATGGAGTTTGTTACGTTGCTTGGGGCGGTGAGGAACACGGAAAAGCCCAATACGAGGTGATAAAAAAAATTTCAAATCAAAAACAATAAAAAATAAACCTTTATGAGAAAATAAAAATCAAATTTTCATTTAGAATTAATTTTCGTAAATAAAAATTTATAATAATATTAATAATTAATTAATTTACAAGAACTTACTTGACAATTTCGTTTTTTTCGAAGGTTTTGTGCAACAGTTCCTCAATGTGGGTTCCAACAAGCGGTGAAAATATTCCGCCAAATGCCGTTCCAGGTGGACAAACGGAAGAAGGAGAGACACTTTTTGTAGGTCGTGTTAATCACGAGGGTACGGTAACTATTGGCAAGGTACAACCATCCCACAAGTGTCTCTATATTCCTTTTGCAGGACAAGAGGTCTCATTTCCTGAATTTGAAATTCTCGTTTCATAAAGAAACAATTGATTCTCTTGAATCAATCACGCGTGATGATTTTTCAAACACCTTGCACTAACAAACAAAAAAATTAATTGTGTAGACAAAAAAATACAAATAATTAAAAAAGAAGCCTTTGCTGCTTAAATTCACAAAAGTACAATTTCGCTTCAAAAAAAAATATTTTTTAAAAATATTTTACACATATTTTAATTTGTGGAATGATTCTTTTTTCAGTAATAATTAACGGAAAAATGAAATTGTACCTAAATTATATTGCATTTATATAACAAAACTGTATTTATAAATTATCATGAAATATTTTAGTCAGATAATTGTTAAAAGAAAAAAAATTGTTACAAGGTCGAATCGTCGAATTTTTTTTAAACTATGTTATACTGCCCAATGCCTTTAACTGTCTTCGAGTTTTTTGAAATGAAATATTTTTCCACGCTGTAAGCGCACATAATATTATCTAGAAAGCATTTTTACTTTTGACAATGTTACAAATTAATTATTAGTATTTATTTTTGAATCTCGTAGTAATATTTATGAAAAAAAAAATAATAAAGTTATAATAAAATAGTGGCTTTTGCATGTGATAAATTTTTAAATAGTGTGAATTTATAATATATTATATATAGAAAACCAAAAAAAAGCGTAATCTATTTTTTGATGATGTATGTTATTCATCTCCAGGCTTTAAAAAAAGCTACAAAAGAAATTATTATATTTTTCCAAATGTATTGCTGATTAAAATTTTTTCTGATGTTACACAGAATAATAAAAATCAAATCCGTCAAATTAAAATTCTCTTTTTTTAATACCACAATTGTCAAACCAAATATAGCAAAATAAATTTAAAAAATTTAATTTATAAATAATAAATAAATTAATAATTATAAATAATAAATTAATAATGATCAGTGGATTAAAGAGAAATTTACCTGATTTACAAAATCTCTTTTATTAATGGTTTTGACAATGTTGACTATAACACACCTTCTCGCTGTTTTGTATGAGTTTCTCCAGCATCGAGTGTATACGAAGATACATTTAGTTTTTATTTTATTTTTTTTTTTTGTAATAAAAATCATAGCGTGTGGAAACAGCTTAACATGTAAATATAGGTACAGGATTAATTGAGAGGACGGCGCTTGCTTGTGCTTCTTCAAAACTAGAGATTTCATGTGTTCTTTCTAAATTTCTTTTTCCTTTATTAAACTGAGTGTAAAAATTAAAATTTCATTTTTCCAAAATATGTAAAATTTTTAAATAATTTTTCAATTAAATTTTTGTCAATTATTTTTTTATATAATATTGTAAAAGAAAATTTTCCGAAAAATATTCTTCTTTTTAAATAATTTTCCAGCTAGCCAGTGCTAAATGACTTGAAAGTGTTATTGAAAAAGCTTCAAGCTTATAGAATATTTATATATAATTATTGATATAAAAACTGAAAATTGAAAGAAAGAAAAATTATTTTTTTTATTTACAGGAGAAAATTTCGTGTGCCATTTGTAATTTTCTATGAAAGATAAAATCTCAAGGTAAATAGAAAATCTATTGAAGATAGAATCTTTTCAATTTTCAATATTTTTTTTTCTTTCTTTTTTTTGTTTTGTATTCGTTAAAGCAGACGCAACAACGTCTTTTGTGATTTTTTTTTTCTTAAAAAAGAAAGATAAAAAGAAAAATATTTTTAATTTCCCTGATGAAAATATTTTTCTTTTAACGAAAATTGATATTTTTATATCCATAGTAAAAAATAAAATATTAATAGAAAATTAAAATTAATGAAATTGTTTCAAAATCGAGTTAAAGAAAATAATATTTTCATCAGTTTTTTTTTTTGAAAATACAAAAGTCAATTCTTTTTCGACGTCGCCGAGAAAGTTGCGCTGATTAATTTACATTGAAGATGCCATTCACGTGCGTGTATTTAATTTAGGCAATCACTCATTTTAAATGTAGACGTAGTTTCCTTGGACACATACATTTATTTCATTCACGTACAAATTTTTTTTCTTCTTTTTTTTTGCAAAAAAAAAGTATGATACTAATTAAGATTCTTCAAAATTCATTCACAATTAATTGTAAAAATTAAAAACTGAGAAAATTGAATGATTTTCAATACAAGTTTTTTTTCAAATTGTCAACACTTATTCTATAACTACATTTAAAAATGGATTTTCTCTTTCGTTTTGCAAAAAACGATGTCAATAAATATGTAAATTCTCTTTTTTTTCATTCAGAAATCTTTCGCGCATTCATAACCAGGTATAAAGACACATACGGGAAGTGCACATGGGTAAAGAAGTCCATTGTGGAAAAAAAAATTATTCCAGAAATTTTAAAAGTCGAGGGGAAAAAATTGTAGGAAAAAAAATCTGAAATGATTTTTTTTGTCTGGAATATTTTTTTTTTCTTATTATGGAAGGACAAAGGGTGGTAGGATAGACTCTTCTAATAGACTTTGCAGACGGGCATAATAGAAATAGTTGATCTAGCATCACTGTACAGGGTGTTTTCTGACAATATAATATATTATAAAAAGCGAAATCAACTCGCTTCAGGGCCAAGGGAATGGATTTTTCGTTCTCTATTTTAAATAAGAAAACATTTTCCAAGAACCACAAATTTTTGTTTTTTTTTTTCTTATTGTGGCCCTGATATCAAAATTGCGTTTCCATATTTCAACATCTTTTAATTCAAAATTATTAAAGTCCAAAAACTGATTTTTAAAGAAAATGTCAGCCATTTTAAATAAAAATAGATTTTTTTAGAGTAATTGACTTGAGAGGAAAAACAAAAAAAAATGTTTTTTTTTAGGAAACGGGGAAACACCTTGTATAAATATATCAATATTATCTATCATTTACATTAATATTCTATATAAAAGATCATATTGATACATTTCAAATCAATAAATTCTTTTTTTCTTTCATTTTTTCACAAAAATTTTTTCTTTCTATTGACCAAAGATTTAAAGAATTTGATTTGTAATGTAAAATGATCGTTCAAGTAAGCATGATATTTTCTTCAATATATATATAATTATATTTTATCATTCTTTCCTGTTTTTGTTAGCGTATGTATGTGTGTGATATATTTACGTTTTAATTTAATTTTTTTTGTGAATAAAATTATTTATATTCACTTCAGCCTTGTTGCGTGCAGCTTTGTTTCGCGGTGCTTGTATTTTTACTTCTTTACTAAAAAAAAGTAAAAAAAAAAGTTTAAGACAATTCAGTAATTAGAAAAAAATTATAGAAATTAAATTCTAAAAAGAATTTTAAAAACTAGATTAATAATAATAAAATAAAAAAAAAATGAGCCTGTAAATTAGTCGCATTTCAGAGATTGGACTTTGACTTTTTTTATTAATTTGAATCTCTTTTCGCCACATATATGGTGAAAATTCGCGATTTTTATTCGTATACAATTTTCTCTCTGATTTGCAAAACATATTATATGTATAGAAATGGAAAAATTTAGCACCACGAGAAACGCGCGCTTTTTATTCATTAGAAATATTGCATCTGACAGAGCGTCGTCGTGTACGACAGATGTAAAGGACGCGCTTTCCTCTTCGAAGAAGACAACAAATTTATTATTCAGCTCCCAACTGAGCTGACATACTTCGCTATTTTATCGAATCTTTTTTTATCTATCGCTCTCTTTCTCTCATTTTTTTTCTCCTATGCGCTGTGATTTCATATATCACACATTCATTGACTATTTTTCGCGGAACATAGAAAAAAATATTGAAAAACAAAAGAAGTTTGAATTTTCAAAAATTATACGAATTTCATATTTTTTGAAATAAAAACGAAAATAAAATCGAAAATAAAAAAGGGGGAAAAAATTAAAATAAATAAAGAAAAATAAAAAAAAATTGAGAATATAGAAAAAAGAGAAAAATATTTTTAAAAAATATGAAATAAAAAGTTATGTATTAAAATTGAATAAGTGTATCGCTAATATCACGCCATTTCGTTATTAACACATACATTATTATGCAGTACATTGCATCTTATATTATTTTAATTCGATTATGTAATCTGTACAATATTCCTACAATTCTCAATGAGACTTGAGATACAAAATAAAATAAAAAAAATTTAAATTAATGACAAAATTATTCTATAATTCGAAATATAAAAATATGAAATAAACGAATTATTCTTTCAAAAGATATAGAAGATTTTAAACATAAAAAATTGAAGGACAAATATTCCAAATATTTCAAAGGAACAAAAAACTAACGAAAAATTACTAAATAGAAAAAGAAAATTTTAAAACATTAAAATTGAATTGAAATTCAAGTCATCATTGAAAGATCTTATAAATATATACACAAACGTATACACATTCGTACAAATTAAAAAAAAAGACTTTCACACACAGTCGTGAGACAAATGTTGAATTTTTCAATTTCTAAATTTACACCACGTTTTATCTACGGCAATTAATTAAAAAAGAAATATTTTTTTAATTTATCCCAATTTCCCATTCTCTTTTTCTTTCTCTAATAATTATTATATACGTGATCACTGATCCGCGAGCTCTCAGTGTAAATATATTTATGTATATTATTTATATATATATTTGTGTGTATATTTTATTTTATATTTATATAATAATATAGATTCCAGAAAATAACACTCGTACAAAAATTGACTAAGCCCATATTTGCTTTCTACGATGTGTAGTTGGAAATAGTGCTTTTACACCTTGGCTTTAAAATAACTTTCGTTATATATTATATAACGATTAAATGAAATTTTTTTTTATCATCAGTCATGGGTGATAAAAGAGTTTTTAATAACGATTTTTTAGTTTTCGTTTTTATTTTTATTTATTATTTAAAACCAAAAGGTTTCATTTTTTTAAAATGCCTATTCAAAAGTAAAAGCCACCCAATTGAAATTACACGCCATTATAATCTAGAATTTTTATTGTATAATTCCGCTCTTATATTTCTAGATATGATGTGAATACGTATTGACCTGCGATTTATCTGATCAGTTTTTTTTTATTATTAAATTGATGCTCTGGCTTTTTTTTCAAACGTCACTGATCAATGGAAACCGAGTTTTTTTAAAACCAGGGCTCACTAGTAAATAATAAAATACAACAAAATTTTTTCCGAAGAAAGTAATAAGCAGACTTTAGAATTTATTTTCTAAAAAAAAATAATTTAAATTCCTTTTATTTTCATTTTATCGAATGTTTGTTTCAATTTCTAAATATTCGAATTTTTTGCATAATTTTTTGAATTTCTATTTCATTTAAAAATAAATCATTAAAGTCCGCTTCAACTTTTTCTCGAATAATATTTTGTTGCTAAAAAGAAAGCAGATTTCAAAATTTGTATGTTTTTCCCTTAAAAATTAATTCCTTTTGATTATATTATTGCGGTTTTTTTTGTTTGTAAATAATCGACTAAGTATAGCCTAATGCAAGGATGTTATTGGTGGTAATTAATTCATCAATTAAGTTTTTTTTGGTCCGTCCCTTGCAAATCTTTACACACATTCACACGGTCCGACTCGAATCATGAAAAAATTTATTCTTCGAATGCAATAATTATTTTCAGGAAGCTTTTGATGTAGAAATTATTTTTTTTGAAAACTATATTATGTTTTAAATTTTCGATATGTTAGGATGGCAATTGAACTTTGTTTCTTTTTTTTTTAATCGTGGGAAGGGGGGTATTTACACTTTTCGGATTAATATTCTTGTCGGACAAGATAGGAAATTGACGCGAAAGGGTTTAACGATTTAGGCCAACTCGATCTTTTTTTTAGCTCTATATTATAACATTTTGACTTTTACTCCTGTAGCAAAAATTTTCTTTCAAAAATATAATCAAATTTTTCGTTTTTTAAAACATATTTTTTTAATTTTCAAAATTTTTCATTTTAAATTTGAAAACGAGGCACTCTATTCGTCTATAGAAGAATCTTTCGACTTTTGTATAATTAAAATAAAACAATGGTGAATTAAATATTTAAAAAGACCTTAGAGCTAAGTTTTAGAATAGAACCACTGAGCTTCTTTTTTTTTTTTTTTTTTTGCTCAATTATTGAGATATGCTCGAGTGGCAGTGCAAAAGTTTTTTTTATGATATGTTTCTTGCTACAGGAACTTTTTTAAAATAAATTTTTCACATTAAAATTGTAAACAAAATTTAATTATTTCAAAATAAATTTTAGATTTAAAATGAAATTCGTTTCCAGCGAAGGGAAAGAAAATTTTTACGAGGAGAAGTCAAAAAAATTCAAAGGGATAAATATGATATATTAACAAACCATTTTTTGCTGACTAGATTCGAGTCCATCCTTTGGTATAACACTTTTTGTCATTCACTGGTGACGGGGATGGCCACCGTTTTTTTTTTTTTTTTAAAGGAGGGAATCTGTACAAACTTGAAACATCGTTTTTCTTCTCTCTCTCTTTCTCTATGGAATTATCTTTTTCATTGACGATTTTTTCGAGAAGATCCACAACTAGATTTTTTTTATATTTATATATATTCCTAGCTCCATTTGCCGAGATTTTCATCGTCTGGAGCAAAAGGACTTACTCAAGGGATGCAAGAGTCGGTGTTAGTCGCGGATTCCGGCTGTGAAAGAGCAACAGAAAAATCGGAATCGAGCACAAGATCGCTGATGCAACCCACAATGCCTTTTGTGTATCTTCCGCCCGTCGTCCTCACGATATCTGGCGCTCCGCCTTGATAAAAAAAAACATAATCATCAAAATATAACTGAGAAAATATTTTCAAATTAATATCAAATATTGGAGAAAATGTTCTTTTTTTAAATATGAAAAATTATTGAAATTAGATAAATAAATAATTTATTTATTAAATAAATATTAAATAAAAAATTAAGTTCATAATAATTAAAAAATAAATATACACACCTATAAAGAGACCCGAATCAGTATTCAATTGTCGCAATTGACCGGGAGATGAGACAGAAACTCCAGGTCCACTGTCGACAATAAGAGACGACCATTGTTCATTCCTGCAAAAAAAAATGAATAATTAACGTTGGGTTAAAGAAAAATAAGAAAAAAAATTAGAAAAAATTTACCTGACGGCTCTAATTCGATGCCATAAATCGTCATCTAATCTAGTGAGATTATATCTAACTTCAGCTTCACCTGATCCAAGATTGTAGGATAATGTGAGAAATCCTTGATCGAGAGCAAGTGACAAAAAATCATTATTTGGATCCTCATCTTCTAAAGGATCCGATTGTCGACCACTCCACAATAAAAGACCATTACTGCTACTTGTCCTAAACCTCATATTTATATCCACTCTGTAGCTGATAATCCTAAAAAAAATTTTTCTCAATATCCAATAATGAATACTATAAAATATTTGGATAAATCCATTCATTTTTTTTATTACAAATATTTTCAGGAATCAAAAAATAATTAATCTGTAATTTTTCTTTTTTTTTTGCTTAAAATTAAATTATATTAAAAATTAAATAATATTAAACATTAAATTATTAAAAATTAAATTAAAAATTATATGAAAATAAATATTAATTATATAGATAAAAATATATTAAATTCTCATTTATTTAATTTCGAAATAAGATGGAAAAATTCGTGTAAAAAAGACATTTTTGTGATTTGTCCCACGCTTAAAATACATAAATTAAGATGCTTTCGTATACAGGTAAACTAATCAATTAAAATTAAATTTACACAAAAGGAGAGTAATTTTCCAGCTCAACGAGAAATCTAATTAACCATCAAGAGAGTATATAGAGATAAGGGTGAGAGAAAGGACTTGCAAGCTTTAATCGAATTGTAGACAAAATTGAATAAAAGGGTTGATTCTAACTAATTTTATATACATTACATATTGAATCAAAAAAAAAAAAAAGAAAGGGGGCGAATAAATCCTTTTCATCACTATAAACATCTTATTTTTATCTATTTTTCCATTCAATTATTAAATGTAAGAAAAATTCCTTGCAAATTTTTTTGATACAGTTTTTGATCATTCTTGTTCAAAGAAATATTTACAATTTATTCAAATTTTTGTGCCAATAGTAGACTATTAAAAATTTTTTTTTAAGAAAATAAATATGTATGTAATGACTAATTAGTAATAATATAAAAATAAAGAACAAAAAGCAAATATGATTGACATTTTTCATATATTGTAATTTAATACAGAAATTAACGAATAAGAAAAAGACGATACAAAAAAAATTTTTTCTCTCGATATTTAAAAAAAAAAACAATAAAGGTGGAAAATAGCTTAGCTGACCTGGAAAATTCACAGCAATATTGAAGAAAGCATATGATATCACGATGACTCTTGAGAAATCGATTTAAAAAGTAAAAAATAGCGTTAAGAAAAATGCTACCCCTTTTAATATTTTTTTTTATATGAAATTACAATCGATTAACTATAATTCCTTGCAATTATTAGTTATGCCGATTCAATTAAATAATAAATTTAAAAAAAAGATAAATCGAAAAAAAATCCGATGAAATTTTCTTTTTAAATATTTTCAGAGAGGATTGTTTTTTTTACCTTTTCATAGTGTCAGCATCATTATAATGTAGATAACTTTCGGTGCCGGTGAAACTTGGTACGGATTTATCCTGTTGTGTGTGCCCTTGGGATGAAGACGACGATGATGATGATACAATAATATTGGATTTTGTCGGTGAAGTTATTGAGGCGATATATTCGTTTGTCGATGGGCATGGATGTGGCATTCCTGGTCGACATCTGCAGGTGAATCTTTCTCTCATTGGACGACATTCAGCATCACCACAAGGTCTAGCCTCACAAGCATGTCCGCAATTTCCTACGTTCACACCACCCAAAGCTTCAGCGAGAATTCCAACCTATTCAAAATCACAAAGTCTATTATTCCAGTCTCACTCAATTTTCATAGACTCCCCTCTCTCTCTTTACAATAAATTTTTTTTAGTTTCTTAAAAAAACTAAAAAAAAGAATAATTATCAAGAATTAATTTAAATAATTCCCAAAACATAAGTGAATTAAATTTGTAAATAATTTCTATTCAAAATAAAAATTTCAAAATTTTTGAATTAAAAATTTTAAAAGCATTAAAAAATTAATTATTCGCGGTTGAATTAAAGCACATTTGTTGTTAAAGCAAATTTATAATTTATACAAAGTTGTAATAATATCTCGGGGGCTAGAAATTTGGAATATTAATTACCTTCCAGTTGAAGTTTATTATTAATTAGCTTATCAGTTATTAACAAATGAATACTTGTATAATTAAATTTAACTGAATTATTTATTAATTAAAAATTATAAATTTAATATAATTATTTTTATAATATTAAATATGTAATTATATTTTTAACTATGTTCGTAAATATTTAATTATATTTTTAAATATTGAATTACATTTAATTATTCAAATATATAAAAAAATTATGTAATTTACTAATTTACATAATTTTAAAATTTTAGGCAAATTCGATATCATTTTTCTGCGTTTATATATCGAAAAATTTATTCTGAATGGTTCTCAAGAAGATATAAAACTTTTAATAAAAGAATCTTTTAGACACTTCTTTACCAGTTAACGATTAAAGTTCAACTTCAAAGTGGGCGAGTTTAATGTTTAAAAATTCAAATCCGGAAACGTTAAGAATTTAAAGGATGAAATTTCTGGAAAGAGTGTAATATTGAATGTGATTTAAAAATAAAAATTTCAAATCACATTCAATTACAATTCTCAAATATTTACGTTAAATATATTATTTTCCACTATAGTGAGTGAAAAAAAAAATGTAGAATTATAAAATTTTAGTACTGAAAAATGGAAAAAATATATAAATTTTTATAAAAACAAATTAATGTCATAACAATTAATTGTAATTATCAATTGCAATTGAAGAGAAAAAAAAGTATACAACGAGAAAAAAATATTAAAAATGAAAAATTATTAAGACTGAAATTAAAAAATAGAAAATTTAAAAAATTTCAACGACAACTAGGTATAAGAAATGTTTCAACGACAACAAAATGAAAAGTAATAAATTTTTTACTTTCGAATGAAAGGCTTTTAATTCCTCCATGCGCTTTAAAGCTGAAAGTGTGTTAAAATTTAAAAACATCCAAGTTAAAAGCATTGAGAACTCAATTTTAATAAAAATGTCCCCCATTTTAAAAATGGAATTTCCCAAAAAAATGCATGGGTTTCAAATAAATTCTCGAAATATAAAATACTCTCCTTCTTTGTTTCGCATATAAATAAACTTTTTTGAAAGTACAAATATGGAGTTTCTCAAAAATAAAAGTAAAAGGAAAACAGAAAATTGGTTTAAAAGACAGAAATATTGCAAAAACGTGACTTACTTCTCGACGATTTAGAATAACAGTTTGTATGCAGCCAACAAAGCTTGACTTAGTTTTCATTTTTGGGGAATAAATTTCTGAAGATGGAGCACCGCCTAAATAGAGATTCAGGGGCAACGACAATTGGGTGAATGCTCCTGGTGCAAGGATTTCTTGCGCAGGTTCCTCCTCAATTTCCAAAGACGCAAGACGTCCGGTTCTTGAGACTCTCACTTCCACCCATTCGCCCATTTTCACAGGTGACTCGCTCCTAAAAGAAAAGAAAAATTTTATTTAATACAAAAAAAATTCCAAACTATTCTTTAATAAATTTCATTAAAATTTTTATTAAATTTATTAAAATTAGAGAAACATTTTATTCGCATTTATTTGAGACAAATAAAAATATGTTTGTTATAAAAATATAACTTTTTATTTGTTTCAAAATAAAAAATTTCAATTAGCACAAATAAAAAATTATTTAAGTAGCGCAAAATAAATTTTTTTTTAAACCAAATGAAATTTAGTAAAAACAAATAAATATATATTTATTGACTATGAGACAAATATATCATTTCTCTGCGGGTGCACTTATTACACTAATTTTATTTAGTATTTTTAATAATTTATACATGAAAATTATTAAACTGTAAAATGTATAAATATTACGATACAAAATATTAAAATGTAAAATACTGGGTACATAATGGAAAAATATGATAATCGAAAACATAAGTTTTCCAGGAAACTATCTCGTTTATTGAAATATTAAAAACTTCAAAGTTGAAATGAGAGTTTTTTTTCGAAGGGAAAGAGGAAAGAAAAATTTGATGATAAAAATAATAAAAAAAAAATACTTTCTTTTTAATAAAAAAATTTTCCATAATTTATATATAAGAAAAGACGTGAAACACTAAAAAGCAAGCAGAATTAATATAAAGACTCGAAAAATGGCTTATCTTAAGCCTCGATTCATCTTTCAACGCTCTAAACTTCCCTTTGAAGAAGTTCCATTATAACCGTCCGACCGTAAACCTACTTATACTACTGGCATGCCTTGAGGCTCGCTAATCCTAAAATGAAATTATTAATAAAGGCTTTCCGCTTTGCAGAAAGTGAATATGAAAAGGTGGAAGGAAGATACCACTCTCCTTTTCTCTCTCTCTCGTTCTTTGCAAGCAAATAAAATATTTACAAATTTTAGACTAATTGCTGCCTAATTGTTTTTCGAGGCTTTTTAAAAATTCATATGAATTTTAATAGCACTGCGTATAAATCCTTGTTCAATATTCAAATGGTTTACCAGCCATGAATATCTCCTGTCCTTTCGCATATTATAAATTATTCATTTTCACATCAATATTTTATTTCAAAAACACTCATATTTATAATTCTCCAAAAAAGTCACTTTTGACAATCAAACTTTTTCTTTTTTAAATTATAAATAAATTTTTTTCGTATTAATCTCTTTATTAGTAATTACAAACAATTAATCAATAAGTATACGAAATTTAATTGTTGAAATCAACGCAACAAAATTATTATCACTGCAAATAACTAAAAACAGACTTTTTCAAAATAATTAATAGTTATAAAAATAAATTCATTAATTTATTTAACGAAATATTTTTAAAAATTTTATGAAAGAATAAAAAAAACAATTCATTTGAACATCATGTATGGCGCACTTTTTGATTGGTCCAGTGGATGCTGAGCTAAACTAGAAAACAAATTCGGAAAAATTTTTGAAAAATTAAATTCGCGAGATAATCGTTCGGGAATACCGCTATAGTGATTAGAAGAAAGTTCTGAACAAAAAATGTATGGCGCACTTTTTGATTGGTCCAGTGGATGCTGAGCTAAACTAGAAAACAAATTCAGAAAAATTTTCGAAAAATTAAATTCGCGAGATAATCGTTCGGGAATACCACCAACAAAATAGGGAAAAAGTTTCGAACAAAAAATGTATGGCGCACTTTTTGATTGGTCCAGGGGATGCTGAGCTAAACTAGAAAACAAATTCGGAAAAATTTTCGAAAAATTAAATTCGCGAGATAATCGTTCGGGAATACCACCAACAAAATAGGGAAAAAGTTTCGAACAAAAAATGTATGGCGCACTTTTTGATTGGTCTAGTGGATGCTGAGCTACACTCACTAAAACTGGGAAAAAATTTTCGGAAAAAAAAATTTGCCAGATAATGACTCGGGAATAATGCCAAAAAATTGAGCAAAAAGTCTCGAACAAAAAATGTATGGCGCACTTTTTGATTGGTCCAGCGGATGCTGAGCTACACTCACTAAAACTGGGAAAAAATTTTCGAAAAAAAAAATTTGCCAGATAATGACTCGGGAATAATGCCAAGTTCTTTAGCAAAAAGTAGCGAACAAAAAATGTATGGCGCACTTTTTGATTGGTCCAGTGGATGCTGAGCTAAACTAGAAAACAAATTCGGAAAAATTTTCGAAAAATTAAATTCGCGAGATAATCGTTCGGGAATACCACCAACAAAATAGGGAAAAAGTTTCGAACAAAAAATGTATGGCGCACTTTTTGATTGGTCCAGGGGATGCTGAGCTAAACTAGAAAACAAATTCGGAAAAATTTTCGAAAAATTAAATTCGCGAGATAATCGTTCGGGAATACCACCAACAAAATAGGGAAAAAGTTTCGAACAAAAAATGTATGGCGCACTTTTTGATTGGTCTAGTGGATGCTGAGCTACACTCACTAAAACTGGGAAAAAATTTTCGGAAAAAAAAATTTGCCAGATAATGACTCGGGAATAATGCCAAAAAATTGAGCAAAAAGTCTCGAACAAAAAATGTATGGCGCACTTTTTGATTGGTCCAGCGGATGCTGAGCTACACTCACTAAAACTGGGAAAAAATTTTCGAAAAAAAAAATTTGCCAGATAATGACTCGGGAATAATGCCAAGTTCTTTAGCAAAAAGTAGCGAACAAAAAATGTATGGCGCACTTTTTGATTGGTCCAGTGGATGCTGAGCTAAACTAGAAAACAAATTCGGAAAAATTTTCGAAAAATTAAATTCGCGAGATAATCGTTCGGGAATACCGCCAAATTCTTTAGCAAAAAGTAGCGAACAAAAAATGTATAGAGCACTTTTTGATTGGTCCAGTGGATGCTGAGCTAAACTAGAAAACAAATTCGGAAAAATTTCGAAAAATTAAATTCGCGAGATAATTGTTCGGGAATACCGCCAAATTCTTTAGCAAAAAGTAGCGAACAAAAAATGTATGGCGCACTTTTTGATTGGTCCAGTGGATGCTGAGCTAAACTAGAAAACAAATTCGGAAAAATTTCGAAAAATTAAATTCGCGAGATAAGCGTTCGGGAATACCGCCAAATTCTTTAGCAAAAAGTAGCGAACAAAAAATGTATGGCGCACTTTTTGATTGGTCCAGTGGATGCTGAGCTAAACTAGAAAACAAATTCGGAAAAATTTTTGAAAAATTAAATTCGCGAGATAATCGTTCGGGAATACCGCCATAGTGATTAGAAGAAAGTTCTGAACAAAAAATGTATGGCGCACTTTTTGATTGGTCCAGCGGATGCTGAGCTAAACAAGAAAACAAATTCGGAAAAATTTTCGAAAAATTAAATTCGCGAGATAATCGTTCGGGAATACCGCCAAATTCTTTAGCAAAAAGTAGCGAACAAAAAATGTATGGCGCACTTTTTGATTGGTCCAGTGGATGCTGAGCTACACTCACTAAAACTGGGAAAAAATTTTCGGAAAAAAAAATTTGCCAGATAATGACTCGGGAATAATGCCAAAAAATTGAGCAAAAAGTCTCGAACAAAAAATGTATGGCGCACTTTTTGATTGGTCCAGCGGATGCTGAGCTACACTCACTAAAACTGGGAAAAAATTTTCGAAAAAAAAAACTTGCCAGATAATGACTCGGGAATAATGCCAAAAAATTGAGCAAAAAGTCTCGAACAAAAAATGTATGGCGCACTTTTTGATTGGTCCAGTGGATGCTGAGCTAAACTAGAAAACAAATTCGGAAAAATTTCGAAAAATTAAATTCGCGAGATAATTGTTCGGGAATACCGCCAAATTCTTTAGCAAAAAGTAGCGAACAAAAAATGTATGGGGCACTTTTTGATTGGTCCAGTGGATGCTGAGCTAAACTAGAAAACAAATTCGGAAAAATTTCGAAAAATTAAATTCGCGAGATAAGCGTTCGGGAATACCGCCAAATTCTTTAGCAAAAAGTAGCGAACAAAAAATGTATGGCGCACTTTTTGATTGGTCCAGTGGATGCTGAGCTAAACTAGAAAACAAATTCGGAAAAATTTTTGAAAAATTAAATTCGCGAGATAATCGTTCGGGAATACCGCCATAGTGATTAGAAGAAAGTTCTGAACAAAAAATGTATGGCGCACTTTTTGATTGGTCCAGTGGATGCTGAGCTAAACTAGAAAACAAATTCGGAAAATTTTCGAAAAATTAAATTCGCGAGATAATCGTTCGGAAATACCGCCAAATTCTTTAGCAAAAAGTAGCGAACAAAAAATGTATGGCGCACTTTTTGATTGGTCCAGCGGATGCTGAGCTACACTCACTAAAACTGGGAAAAAATTTTCGAAAAAAAAACTTGCCAGATAATGACTCGGGAATAATGCCAAATAATTGAGCAAAAAGTCTTGAACAAAAAATGTATGGCGCACTTTTTGATTGGTCCAGCGGATGCTGAGCTACACTCACTAAAACTGGGAAAAAATTTTCGAAAAAAAAAATTTGCCAGATAATGACTCGGGAATAATGCCAAGTTCTTTAGCAAAAAGTAGCAAACAAAAAATGTATGGCGCACTTTTTGATTGGTCCAGTGGATGCTGAGCTAAACTAGAAAACAAATTCGGAAAAATTTTTGAAAAATTAAATTCGCGAGATAATCGTTCGGGAATACCGCCATAGTGATTAGAAGAAAGTTCTGAACAAAAAATGTATGGCGCACTTTTTGATTGTTCCAGCGGATGCTGAGCTAAACAAGAAAACAAATTCGGAAAAATTTTCGAAAAATTAAATTCGCGAGATAATCGTTCGGGAATACCGCCAAATTCTTTAGCAAAAAGTAGCGAACAAAAAATGTATGGCGCACTTTTTGATTGGTCCAGCGGATGCTGAGGTACACTCACTAAAACTGGGAAAAAATTTTCGAAAAAAAAAATTTGCCAGATAATGACTCGGGAATAATGCCAAAAAATTGAGCAAAAAGTCTCGAACAAAAAATGTTTGGCGC